TTACAGACCACGGAGTCCGGAGGGGTTTGTTTTCTGGCAGCAGACAATACACGAGGAGATTCTCTAGCAGCCAAACAGGAAGAACGCCGGACGAGCAGCCTACCACCCTAATGATTGAACACTGATAGTGAGTTGACATATATGTGTCAAACTCACCACCTTATCTAGTAAGGGGCTTGTCACCCTATTTTTTATCATCATTTTTTATTATTCTATTTTATGTATATATGTACTGCTTTTTCTGCATGTGGCAGATAATAAATTTATGTCAGCTTTTTCCTATTGGGGTTTCACCAAATATTTCTTAAAGTGATACTTCACAATTTATGAATTGTTATAAGTATATATGCTTATATATTTTTTATACAATCTGCACTATCATTGCTTTTTTTCCCTTTTTTCTTTACATATATACCATTATTGCTGGAAGTTACACTTAAAATCGAAACCAGTTTGTATATATATACTCTTTCTTCTGTCTTATACATACTGACATACATACATACTGACATATATACAGACATACATACTGACATACATACATACACACATACATAGCTAATTTTGCTTACCTTTTTTTGCAGGAGAGTGACTGTGGCTAATGGGAGTCGGCGTGGCTCCTGCGGCCTGGCTCTCTTCCCTCCTGCGCTGAGGTAGCTGGGAGGAAGTGACCACCGGCCATCACTTCCTCACAGCAGTACTTGCGGCTGTGATTTTTTAAAAAGGGGCCCAGTTGCGCTATTGCATGGCTGCAGCGCTAACCGAGCCCCTGAAGACATAGGGCCCATCGGGTGGCCCTGAGTGCTTGGACCGGGTTCAGGACCCTGGCGGGCCGGATCTGGCCCATAGGCCGTAGTTTGAGAAGCCCTGCTCTAAAGTATGCTTCTAATTGAGGCTGGGTGGTATGATCAGGTAAGTTATATAGTTCTTAATAATATTGTTTGAAAGCTGATCCTATTTCCTTTGGAGCTAGAAGGGTCTGTTGTCCTACAATAATTTTATTTATATAATTTTTAGCCCGTCTTAATTTTCTTGGAAAACATTTTCTCTACCTTATTTCCTCAATAGTAATAGTGAGATTTTAGTGTTTATAAATTTTTGGCCCTGTTAAATAGATATTCATTTATTTTATTTTCAACCTTTTTGATTTTATCCGTTGTTTCTTTGGAGGGGGATTGTTTATTTTCTCTATGCAGTTGTGCTAATTTTATATATAATTGTGTGAGGTTTTCCTTATTCATTTGTGCAGTTAATTTAATCAATGCCCTCTAAGAACACATTTTAAAGTGCACCATTTCGTATCTTGGGATATTTCAGGGTCTAAATTTTCTTCAAAGTATCTCCTCAGGGAGAAGAAGCCGGGCCTGGAGGTGCCAATCAGGTCTTTGTTTTTTGTACTGATCTCTTAATTCGACTATCACAGCATTATGGCCGGACCATGAGCTAGATATTATCTTAGATTCTTTTGTTATTCCCATTGTGTCTATAGCCCCCAATATAAAGTCTATTCTGGAATAGGCGTGATAAGATTTTGAGAAACAAGTAAAGTCTTTTTCTTTGGGGTGCAAATAGGGCCGGTGCAAGCGTTTTTGGCACCCTAGGCGAAAACAAATTTGCCGCCCCATTTGCTTCACATAATCATGAAGACTAGCACACACGCTGACTCAAGTAGACACACACTGACCACGCAAACTGACACACATGCACTAACCCATGTAGACTGATGCACACAGACTCATATATACACACTGACCCATGCAGAGACACACATACTGACACACTGACCCATACAGACACACACTAACCCATGCAGACACACACTGACCCATGCAGACACACTCACTGACCCATACAGAAAGACACATATTCTCTGACCTTACCTTCATTGCTGTTCATTTCCTGTGCCTGGCTGCCCTTTCTCTGCACCTTATGCTCCCGCCCAGTTCTCCCCACGTACAGGGGAAGGGGCTGGAGCAAGGAATTGAAGCGCTGCCACAATGCATGCCTGAGAAGGGGGGTGGGGCCTGGCTGAGCAAACTGATTTGTTTGCCGACGGACCTGTGTTCTAAATTATATAGTGTGTTTTCAACTCTTCCAGTGTTATGGCCTATCATGCACTTTATTTTTGCCTTTTTCCACTTCTTTTTTAGAATAGGGGATGTTAAATCCTTCAGTGTCTCCTATATGTGTCTTGTTATTAATATTAATCTTATACCTTATAATTATTCTTTCCTTTTCCCCCCCTTTTTCTCTCCCCCTTTCAAAATTAATCAAACTTGCACCTAATTCTAAGCTTATTAATATTTTATCTTGTGATATGTAATGTAGTCCTTTTCTCTCTTTTAAGAGGTCATAAGTGATCTTTTGTGATCGAACCTTGTCCTCAATTAATCTTATATTAATAATGTGTATCCTTATTGTGAATCTATTTAACCTTATTAAAAGTGTAATTGTTCTTCTTCTTTATAGTGAGCATTTAATTAGTGAAGTCCTTTTTTGGAAACTGATGATAACTCCTATCTTTTGTTTTTTTAACATATTTAACCTATTATGGGAGCATCAATGCAGTTCTTTCTCAGTCCATTATCTTTCTCTATACTTTTTTAAATTGAATAGTACTCAGCAATTTTACCCATTGGTAGAGTACAGGACGTTGCATATATAACCATACCCTTTCGCTACTGTTACTGAAAACGTGTAGTTAATTATATTATGGGAGGGAAAAGGGGAGAAAGAAGAAGAAAAACAAAAGTTCCTTCAAATCTACTAATCTTCTTATACTTTGATTTTAAATATTTCCATCTCTTCTCTTTTCTTGTCTTTTTCTTTATCTTCTTTAGAGATCTGTCAAAAGATTGTCCTTTATCCATTTACGCAGTGAATCCAGATCCGGAAAGTCAACTACTTTAGATTGATAGTATACTGAAATTTTCAGAGGAAATCCCCACTTAATAATGTTCTTATCTCTTAAGTGGCTTGTTGATGTTGCAAATGTTTTCCTTCTTTGTCTTGTGTAATATGATAGATCTGGTAAAATTTGGATCTTGTCGTATGGATCTTGCAGCGTATTATTTTTATGTAGATTTATTACATGATCTTTAACTTTTGAAGAGAAAAGGCGGGCAATTAAATCTCTGGGAACTGATGTTGGTAGATTAGATGGTCTTGCGATTCTATGATATTTTTCCATCAGAAGTAACAGAGGTTGAACTTGAATGCCAAATTTTTGCATGAAGTCCGTTGTGGCGTTTTCCCTGCATGAGCTTTTTCCCTTCAGCAACATGAAGTTTTCTTAGATTCAATACTGATCACGCTTTAATCACTTTCCTCCTTTTCCTTCAGCCTCCCATGCACATTACTACGTCGATTTAACTTCCCCCTGTCTCCAGCTTTCTCCCTCCAATGAACTGACAGATGGCAAGCCGCACTCTGACCCACAACACTCACTCCTCCAGACCTCCGCAAAGTCTCTGCCTACAGCCCGGATTTCCCTATTTTTGCCAGTATAGCTTGTATTTCAGACGGATGGATGCCAAGTCACATACCGTCTCGCCTTGCTCCTCTTACCACACCTTCCTTCAAGCACATAAGCGCTCCTATATGTGTCCTATGTCACCACGCCCCCGAGATCCTGGGGTGATTATCTTTCTCTTTTAACTCGTGACTTGACACAATTTGAGTAGCTCAAATGTGTTGCAGAGGCATCTAAATGATCTATCAAATGCTTATAGTCAATCCCCCATGCATTGCTTGTTGGCAGTGAGATCTACAGATCTACAGATCTCACTAATGAATAATAACAAAATGTTATGATCTTAAAGTAAAAGCACTCTCTAGCACTCCTAGTTTGCTGCCTAAAAGCAGGTGTTGTGGCAATTTCTCCTTCCTTTAACCATACTTCACTTGACCATCCCTTTTACACTCATGCTTATCTTTCCACAACTGTCTCTCTTCCTTGACAGTTTTACCTCACAAAGTTTCTCACTAAGTACATATCTGTACATATCACTACATGTCTGACAACGTTTTTCTGCCAGTTGTATCGTTGCAATCTGTATTTATTCTGACTGGTTCATTAGATTAGCTCCCTGAGCCATCAGACAGTTTGCATGTTATATAAAAACCTGCCGCTCTCAACAGAGAATGGCTCTTCAACTTGCCACCTTTATTGGGAAGCAATTTTGAAACTTCGCACTTGACAATATTATTGTTTGATACACTATGTAATAGATGTTTTTTTACAACTCGTTATCTACTATAATTGATTACCTGTTTGTGACAGGCTTATTTGTTTTTGCCCATATTCCTCGATAAACTCTTATTGACAACAAAATGTTGTGCAATAAATGTTGACATTACATAAAAACAATGGCACACTAATTCCCATTTAACTAAGTCCCAACTGAGTTTGCTACAGCCTTTCTAGCAGATACCTGCAAACACTTCTTGACTTCCTAGGACTCCTGTTTATTTAAAGGGACACTTCATTGCCCAAATACAAAATAATTAAAAATCACTGTTTAGCAGATATACCCCAAATTCAATTATGCATTTTTTCATTGAGGGTAAATCTAAAAATAACTTGCAAACCTGCTGCCATTACAAGCCTCTCCCTTTTAACCTCGTCCTCCAATCCAACTCTCTCCTTGATCCTCTTCAGTCTGGCTTCTGCCCTCTCCACTCTACTGAGACTGCTCTTATCAAAGTTACTAATGACCAAATCACAGTTAAATCCAAAGGTCACTACTCCATATTAATTCTCCTTGACCTCTCTGCTGCCTTTGACACTGTTGATCATGCTCTTCTCCTTCAAACTCTTCAATCGCTCGGTCTCTGTGACTCTGTCCTTTCTTGGTTTTCCTCTTATCTCTCCCAACGCTCATTCAGTGTCTCCTTTTCCAAGGATACCTCCTCCCCTCGTCCTGTCTCAGTTCGAGTTCCCCAAGGCTCTGTCCTTGGTCCCCTTTTATTTTCTCTCTCTCTCTCTCTTTTTTTTTTTTATAACTTCTTTATTAATCCTTTAAGAAGTGCCATAAAACCAATCCCTTTAGGAAAGCTTATGGCCTCCCAGAGTAACCACTACCTTAAATACCTGTCTCTTGCTCTCTCCTATAGGGCAGTGCTTTACTCTCTCCTCCAGCTCTGCTTCACTCCCACCCTAATTGATTGATATTTCCTGTCCTAACGTGTCTTATACCCCACCTCTTATAGACTGTAAGCTCGTTTGAGCAGGGTCCTTTTCAACCTATTGTTCCTGTAAGTTTTATTGTAATTGTCCTATTTATAGTTATATCCCCCTCTCATAATATTGTAAAGCGCTATGGAATCTGTTGGCGCTATATAAATGACAATAATAATAATAACCCCGCCCAGACTTTCTGTGGCTGTCCAGTCACAGACTTCCCAATACAGCTCAAAGAGAAATCTTTGCAGGTGCAGGTGCTCTGAGCAATTGCTGTCTCTTGAGTTTAGCTCCACTGGGCTAACCAAACCAGGAAGTAATTTTATCTGTTGTCTACTTGAAAGACAAGTGAGTGTTTCCAGGTTAATTTATAAAAGTGTAAATTTTTATTGAAACGTGCACTTTCTGCAAAATGAGTGAAAGAGGACACACTCTTCACATATTTAACTTTTCGGCAAGTTAAAGTCCTTTACGGGTCTGGAGTGTCCCTTTAACTTGTCTTGTGCAGAGCTCTTATACAGAACATAGAATTTGAATACAAATATTTTAGCTTGACTGGTCCTTTGAATAAATATGTGAAATGCCTTAAGACCTATATATATATATATATATATATATATATTTGTGTTCGGGGCAAATAGCCGTATATGGAGTAAGGTTCCAGCATAAGCGTAGGATAGTATAAAGGGAGCAAGTCGGTTGTGGTGTGCCGAGACCGACGATACGGTAGGCCTGTAAATAAAGAGGGCCCACCAAGGAGTAAGTAAGTAAAGTAAATGGAAAGAAAAGAGAAAGTGTTGAAATGAGGAGTGGGTGGGAGGGTCATTCTGATGCTGACCTCAAGCGATATCATTTTTTTTTTTTTACAGGAAAGAAGTGGTTTATTTTAATAAAAGAAAAAAAATACATTTTTAAATTTAAGTGAGAAATGTCCAATTAAATAATTAATCATAGTTTATTGTGAACTAGAAAATATGTATTAAAGGTTACATTGTATTTGTGTAAGTAACAGTCTCAGTAATTTTTTTTCTCTCTTGCTTTGAGTGATGCTATGTAATGGGCTTCAGCTCTTCTTTTTATTGCCAGTGATAATTTATTTGCTAAATCTGTTTTCTTAGGTTCTTTTATATTGTCTAATTCATTCAATTCCATCTCTTGTCCAAATATTTCAATCTAAAAAAAAAATGACATTACAATATTATTAATACACATTTTTTTCCATCTGTAGCAATAAGGATAGAATTTGATTTCTGTTTTTCAAAGTATAGTGACCAATCTCTCTGCTCATGAACTTCCACTCAATATCTGAGGTTTCAATGAGAGAGCCTAGGACCATACACTGATAGGCTGAGAGAGTCAGCTAACACTCAGCCTATCACTAGTTCCTCATTCAGAAAAGAGAGTGAAAGAGATTTGTACGGTTTAACCCTTTTAGGTAAGCCAATGCCTGGGGCCTCCTCACACCATAACAACTTAATTCTGATTAAGTTGTCATGGTGCCTGGAGCGATCCTTAAAAGGTTCTTAATGCACAAAGTTAGTGTGTAAGTGTGAAATCTGTACAATCTCAAGATACACTCACCCTGAAAACAATATGCACTATGCTGAGTTTCTTTATCTTTTTGCATGTTCTATGTATGGACACACTATGAGAGACACTGTTTAACCCCTTAAGGACACAAAACATGTGTGACATGTCATGATTCCCTTTTATTCCAGAAAGATCCTACAGGGGAAATTCTCATCTGCTGAATTTATAATATAAGTTTTTTTGTTTTCACTGCTCCACTTTTCGGCTCAAGTTTGTAATTTACTGCCATTTCAGCATGCCTTCCAATTCATTAAGTTTTCAATGTACAATATATTTGCTCTATAGCTGTACCTGTGTTATTCTTGCAAATGATGTATTGCTGATATATATATGTTACCTGTGCAGTCTTAACATCCTCTTTATAGTTTCTGAGATGCTCCTCCGCCATTCCATTTAAAGTGTCACGCTCAGCAACGGTTTGGCCATTAATAACTTGAAAATAAGAGAAAAATCTTTAATACATAATTGCACGGCCTGTGTAAATATATATTATCTACAGGGAAGAAGGCAGATTAAAGTAGAAACATTGATGACATATATACAGCTGGATTTCAGTTGTCTTTTCCCTCCAAAATATGATCTCCTGTTTCAGTTATTTCTACTAATATTTCATCTTCTTGCATTGTAATATTTTTATGTATTAACTTAGGGCTGCACAGGATATTTCAATAAAGTGTGCAATCATGCTTTTGGGGCAGGGCTTGGCTGCTTATCAAGCAAGACGCAGGCTATATGAACAACTAGAATTAGTCCTATGGTAACTTCACTGGTGTCTTTTATTATTTACTCAGTATTGCTCACAGTTTACTCCAGTGACTTTTCATTTTTATTTTATTATTATTTTAAGCATTGTTTTCCCATGTTTTTCATTTGCTATATTTACAAATTGTGCATATATTTTGACAAGCTTATCACTACCGCTTTGTTACCTCTTTTATATCTTATGATGACATGTCTCTGTTTTATTTTAATTTTACAAAAATGAGATGTTATTTCTGCCAGTTTAGATTCTGACATTTATTCTGCGCAAGCCTAACTGTTATTCAATTGTGTGCTGGAAATTTAAGCATGCACACTGTACGATCATCTCAATAAAAATATAAATTACCATAAAAAAGAAAAGGACAGTTTGCAGTGTTCTGCCTAACATCCTGCTGCAGAGATTTGCAAAAAATATGTAACAGCGTTAACCTGCTCCCCTCACTATGTGATGCCATGTTGATCTTAGTAAATGAATGGTTATCATATAGTAAATTGTACGCAATACACAAACAATGATGAGATAAAAAAATAGTGAACTTACTTAATAAACCAGGTATTTGAAAACTTATAGGACAAAATAGTTCAGTTGAGTTGTAGAATTTTTGCAATGTTTTGTCAATTTAACACTTACAGATACATTGAATAAACCCACCCTATTTGTATAATAATTCACCCTTATCCATAGAGTAGCCAGTCATAACACGTTATGTCACAATACAGTCACAGGACTCATTATCCATTTAGCAAAATACAAAGTGTCAAATTGGAAAAACTTTGGATATAGGGGTTGTATTATGCTAATGTAATATCTACAATTATTATTAAACATCAGCTCACTAACATTATTTAATCAACAGTAGTACTCCTAATTGGCCACTGTGTGTCACTAGAACCCCACATTCTCATATTGTCTGCAAAGATATTCACAGCTACACACTTTTGAAATAACTTTTATTTATTGATTTTTTTTTTAAATCCAATATATCTTTCTTCTGATGGTATGAACTTACTGTTTTAAGAAGATGTTCACAGAAAATGAAGGACTTACATCAAACTGGTAAATTTATACTTGGGGACATTTGATGGCTACTATATACATGTACAAACCCAAATGGTTAATTGTAATGAATTAAAGTCAAAACTTGAAAATGTAAGCCAAAATAGCTAATTTGGAAAAAATCACAAACAACAAAATACTACTGTCTGTATGAGTATTTTAGCCTCAATGTTGCAATTTGGTTTTCAATGACCTATGGAAGGGACACTATAGACACCCAAACCACTTTAGCTTAATGAAGCTGTTTTGATGTGCAGATCATGCCAATTCGCTGTCATTTAGGAGTTGAATCACTTTGTTTATACAGCCTTAGTCACACTTCCCCGCACAAAACTTGCACAGTATTTTTAAACACTTCCTGTAAAGAGACATCTAATGTTTAAACTTCCTGCACAAACGGTTCAATTTAGACTGTATCTCCTGCTCTGTTAATAGTAGACATGTGCATTTGTTATTGGACGAATAGGATTTCGTCAGAATTTTCAGAATTTTTCGTATTCGTTTACTATAACATAAGCGAAAGTCCTACATACGAATTATATACGAAACAAAAGTGCAAATGCCGAATACATTACCTTTTCGTTTCAGTTCTTTCGTTTAATAGACTGCTTGCTGCAGGAGAATTAACCCCCAAAGCACTGAGGAGAAACAAAAAAACCTGGATCTCCCTGCAGCAGAATCCTTTTGTCTCCTCCGAGGACCACCCCTTTACCCCATTAGAACGTTAACACCAACAACTTAAGTGCGAAACAGCAATGAAGTAATTAATGAATGCTTCCCCTGGGTGGCCATCTTATAATCCGAACATGGGCAGCGGTACTTGGTCATCGAGTGTCTGGACCTCTTTTCGGCTAGGCATTTGCGCGAACGCCGGTAAAACGTAGAACACTGCCCGGTCTATTTCCCGACCACCTATACTAACAACTTTTGGGAGATATGAACTACCGAACAGGGGGAGCATTCGTATCCTGAAATGAAGAGATTCCCTTGCATGGTGTTCGTACAGGCCAGGGCAGTCACTAGTAGTTTTAAATGACAGCGAGCAGCCACTGGCTGCTCGCTGTTTAGGCAACATGCCCCTACTTGCGGCATACTGTGAGCAGGGGCATGCGGAAGGATTTAACCTCCCTTTTATTAATATGAGGGCCATAGTGACCATCACAGGTTTTAATGCATTTGGGGGGAGAGGTAGGAATTGTTAATATTTATTACAAGGAGGGAGCTGGTAGCGCTGCCGGCTCCCCCATGCTATTTTTTTTGTTACACGCGCAGTATTATTTTCATCCTAATGGACAAAAAATTAGTTTTTACCGAATTTCATCCGAAAAACTAATGTTTTACGAACAAAATTCGTAAAGGACAAATAAAATGTTTATTTAGTACGAATTCATTCGTACAAAACAAACATTTCACTGGTGCACATGTCTAGTTAATAGCATTCTAGACCCTGTAGGAGCCTCCTGTGTGTGATTAAGGTTCAATTTACAGAGAGGAGATAAAACTTCTAAAGCAAGTTAATGTCTGATTGAAATTTCCCCCCCCCCCCCAAATAAGTCTTTATAAGGCTAGGAGGGAAGGAGACTGGGGGGAAAGGGACTGCATTTTGTTGTTTTAACATTTCCAATGCTACCTGTCCTGTGAGAAATAGGCAACTACATCCAACTTGTCATGACTGCCGCTTGGACTATGGAAAAATAAGTTTTACGGTAAGTTACGGTAAGTGAGTCAGCCTCCATAAAGAGAAACAAAAGTGATTTAAACTGCAACTAAGCAGTGAGATCTATACTCTAAAACTGCTTCAATATGATCAAGTTGTTTTGATGCCTATAGTGTCCCTTTAATCGCAACTGTGACATGGTTGTAATTAATTGTTCTCACAACTATGGGTTTGTATGTATATTTTGTAACTTCATAATGTAATTGATTTTAATTAACACTCAAATGCAGATCTGTTTGAACACAAGAAATATGAATATTGTGAACATCTTTGATTCACCATAAAAATATAGTTAGTTTATTTGAATAAAAAAATTACTTACTTAAATCAGCAGGTTTCATTAACAAAGTTAACAAATCCAGTACCACAATATTTGCAGTTTTTCTATTCACGTCATTTACTGTATTTGTGTCAGGTGGTGGTTCTGTAATAAAACAAAAGGGATGAATGTGGAATGGTTTTATATTATAGTTAGTTTAACATGTTAAAGGAACACTCCTGTAACGGAACTCCCCGTACTTTGATCGAGTACCTTCCGTTGATGGACGCTTCCTAGCTTGCGCCAATGACCACAAGCACCGCACCGGACACCACAACCACTGCGGACTGCACAACCGCCGTAGCTTAACTGAAGTCTCGCCGTCTTCCTTCCACCCTGAATCAGCCTCTGTCCTCCAGGACTGTGTGGGAAAGACCTCTCCTCCAGGAAAGCGTATCAGGAACAGCTCTTAAAAGAGCTAAGTGATTAAAGCTCAGGGGAGTATACAAAGTATAGCAATCTCCAGTGTGAATATAGCAGTTCCCCTTCAATCACGAGACAAGACTACATGTTGAGGGTCAAGAAGATCTCTTTTAATCAGCACCAACAGGCTTTCTTTTATGCAAGTTTTACACACAAAGTACCACCCACATGGGTTTGTAGAACAGCCAATCAAACATGTACAATACAGTAAAACACTCCCATTCATTTCAGCAAAATCCTCCCCTCTGCCTGTGATATAATTACTGTACACAATGGGTTAACGTAATTATCATAGGCAGGAAAAATACAGTTATACAATTCCTATAACTTTAAAAGGACACATGCAATATTAATAAAAGTTACATATTCGAACTCAGCATACTTCAAATATAAACATATCCAAAATTCAGGCAATTCCCTCCAGAGGTTAAAAAGTTAGTCGGAAGCACATTTTCCTGCCCAAAACAGTTCCATAGATTTGGGCTGTGCGGTCGGTCAATACGAATTATATACGAAACAAAAGTGCAAATGCCGAATACATTACCTTTTCGTTTCAGTTCTTTCGTTTAATAGACTGCTTGCTGCAGGAGAATTAACCCCCAAAGCACTGAGGAGAAACAAAAAAACCTGGATCTCCCTGCAGCAGAATCCTTTTGTCTCCTCCGAGGACCACCCCTTTACCCCATTAGAACGTTAACACCAACAACTTAAGTGCGAAACAGCAATGAAGTATTTAATGAATGCTTCCCCTGGGTGGCCATCTTATAATCCGAACATGGGCAGCGGTACTTGGTCATCGAGTGTCTGGACCTCTTTTCGGCTAGGCATTTGCGCGAACGCCGGTAAAACGTAGAACACTGCCCGGTCTATTTCCCGACCACCTATACTAACAACTTTTGGGAGATATGAACTACCGAACAGGGGGAGCATTCGTATCCTGAAATGAAGAGATTCCCTTGCATGGTGTTCGTACAGGCCAGGGCAGTCACTAGTAGTTTTAAATGACAGCGAGCAGCCACTGGCTGCTCGCTGTTTAGGCAACATGCCCCTACTTGCGGCATACTGTGAGCAGGGGCATGCGGAAGGATTTAACCTCCCTTTTATTAATATGAGGGCCATAGTGACCATCACAGGTTTTAATGCATTTGGGGGGAGAGGTAGGAATTGTTAATATTTATTACAAGGAGGGAGCTGGTAGCGCTGCCGGCTCCCCCATGCTATTTTTTTTGTTACACGCGCAGTATTATTTTCATCCTAATGGACAAAAAATTAGTTTTTACCGAATTTCATCCGAAAAACTAATGTTTTACGAACAAAATTCGTAAAGGACAAATAAAATGTTTATTTAGTACGAATTCATTCGTACAAAACAAACATTTCACTGGTGCACATGTCTAGTTAATAGCATTCTAGACCCTGTAGGAGCCTCCTGTGTGTGATTAAGGTTCAATTTACAGAGAGGAGATAAAACTTCTAAAGCAAGTTAATGTCTGATTGAAATTTTTTTTCCCCCCCCAAATAAGTCTTTATAAGGCTAGGAGGGAAGGAGACTGGGGGGAAAGGGACTGCATTTTGTTGTTTTAACATTTCCAATGCTACCTGTCCTGTGAGAAATAGGCAACTACATCCAACTTGTCATGACTGCCGCTTGGACTATGGAAAAATAAGTTTTACGGTAAGTTACGGTAAGTGAGTCAGCCTCCATAAAGAGAAACAAAAGTGATTTAAACTGCAACTAAGCAGTGAGATATATACTCTAAAACTGCTTCAATATGATCAAGTTGTTTTGATGCCTATAGTGTCCCTTTAATCGCAACTGTGACATGGTTGTAATTAATTGTTCTCACAACTATGGGTTTGTATGTATATTTTGTAACTTCATAATGTAATTGATTTTAATTAACACTCAAATGCAGATCTGTTTGAACACAAGAAATATGAATATTGTGAACATCTTTGATTCACCATAAAAATATAGTTAGTTTATTTGAATAAAAAAATTACTTACTTAAATCAGCAGGTTTCATTAACAAAGTTAACAAATCCAGTACCACAATATTTGCAGTTTTTCTATTCACGTCATTTACTGTATTTGTGTCAGGTGGTGGTTCTGTAATAAAACAAAAGGGATGAATGTGGAATGGTTTTATATTATAGTTAGTTTAACATGTTAAAGGAACACTCCTGTAACGGAACTCCCCGTACTTTGATCGAGTACCTTCCGTTGATGGACGCTTCCTAGCTTGCGCCAATGACCACAAGCACCGCACCGGACACCACAACCACTGCGGACTGCACAACCGCCGTAGCTTAACTGAAGTCTCGCCGTCTTCCTTCCACCCTGAATCAGCCTCTGTCCTCCAGGACTGTGTGGGAAAGACCTCTCCTCCAGGAAAGCGTATCAGGAACAGCTCTTAAAAGAGCTAAGTGATTAAAGCTCAGGGGAGTATACAAAGTATAGCAATCTCCAGTGTGAATATAGCAGTTCCCCTTCAATCACGAGACAAGACTACATGTTGAGGGTCAAGAAGATCTCTTTTAATCAGCACCAACAGGCTTTCTTTTATGCAAGTTTTACACACAAAGTACCACCCACATGGGTTTGTAGAACAGCCAATCAAACATGTACAATACAGTAAAACACTCCCATTCATTTCAGCAAAATCCTCCCCTCTGCCTGTGATATAATTACTGTACACAATGGGTTAACGTAATTATCATAGGCAGGAAAAATACAGTTATACAATTCCTATAACTTTAAAAGGACACATGCAATATTAATAAAAGTTACATATTCGAACTCAGCATACTTCAAATATAAACATATCCAAAATTCAGGCAATTCCCTCCAGAGGTTAAAAAGTTAGTCGGAAGCACATTTTCCTGCCCAAAACAGTTCCATAGATTTGGGCTGTGCGGTCGGTCAATTTCACTCAGAAAAATTACCTATTCGCATGCACAAATGGGGCACCGTTCGTGCAAATAGCTTAGTCTCCCTGTGTGTTCAAATCGCCGAACGGGACTTAGACGCTGCAGCTGAAAACGGAGTAGAGGAGAAGGTAAGGGTCAGCGGTGTTCGTGCAAATGTGTAGCCAATTTCAGTTCCGTGGATTTGGCTGCACACACCGCTGACCGCTTTCGACTAACAAAGATGGCCGCCGCCAAGTGTTCGACTATACGAACGACGGCCACCCAGCGGTCGGAAACATTGCGGTAAACCACCAGCCTGGGAGGTAAATTGACTGCACACTTCCACTTCTGTGTGGTCCGCCTGTGCAGTAAATGGTTCGGTAAGCCCCATTTACCAAACCATAAGGGAAAAAGCCATGTACAAGTTATTTTCACAGTCTGGGGACTCTGGGGACACAGTTTTAAAGGGGCATTGTTCCAATTTTCACTATGTCCCAAAACTGTGCTTAAAGGACCAGCACTAGTTCAATGAAAGTCCATAAGCCCAAATAATAGTCTTAAAGGGCCATACAACCCAGGGCCATAGTCACAAGGCAGGAGACTGGCTAGCAGGCCTATCCAGGACCAAGTGGCGAAGGGCACTTCGTCACAACTCCCAACACCATAACCATTAACGTAGGCTGTAGTTGTTATGGTGGCAGGAGTGCCCTGGTGCCCTCCCAGTTTATGTAGTAAAACCATTTGCTAACGTTTGACAGTTTGCCTGGGATCTGTCGTGCATGGACAGCTCATTGGCTGAGAGCATCAGCAGAACTCTCTTAGACAATGAGCTAAATACTGCACCACCGGGCTAGCTCTGAGCAGAGAGCTTCCCAGTTCTCAATGGTGGAGGTGACTAAAGTTTGTGTTACTTTAAACAATTTTTCATAAAAGAAAGTCTATAACACGCTGATCAGCCACAGCATTCAAATCACTGAGAGGTGAAGAGAAATACATTGAGTATATTGTTACAATGACACCTGTCAAGGGATGGGATATGTTAGGCAGCAACTAGGTCAGAAGATTACCAAAACGGCAAGTCTTGTGGTGTGTTCCCAGTGTGAAGTGGTTAGTATCTACAAAACGTGGTGCAAGGAAGGACAATATGTGAACCCATGGGCTCCCATGGCTCATTAATGGGAATGTAAGTGTAGCGGAGATGCAATATTCCCCAGGTTATCTCCGCTTATAATCCAAGTGAGGCTCAGGAACAAGTAATTAGTAAATCCACAGGCAAGGTTTCCAGAAGGTATAATAACAGCAATATCCCAACAGCAATCCCAATAACTGGACAACACACAGTTTCAGGAGCAGAACTGAAATCTTTAATCCACACTGTCCTTTTAAAGCATGCTCCCATGCAAGGGAGGGATTTACAATCATTAGTACAGTAGCCAATCCCGTCCTGGTAACCTCCCACACATCTCCTCCCCTCAGCCAGCATCATAATCCCCTTATCCAGTACAGTAATTCCCCCCGTTTCTGGATGTACCCCTAAACGTAGGGGTACCCTTTTAAATCCTACACCCCTGATAGCCCTGATCTGGGTGAACAACATATCCAAAAATCACCCAGATCAGACCAGGGGTTCGGGAAATCTATGGAGGGAATAAAATGACCGACCGCACTGACTGAGACAGCCGAATGTGGTTCCATGCGAATGGGCCCTGCGGTCGGTCCTGGAGTAAGGGAACAAACTTCACGAAAGCCTCTAGCTATAGAGACTAGGGAGGGTTCGCCTGAATCCCCTCGTTCGGTTCTTTCTATCTACCGAATGAGGGGCCGTTCGGTAGTTAGGAACCGAACGGACCGGGCTTGTGGAGGCTTCAGCGGTGTTCGCCTAGTCGAGAGTCCGATTTGAGTTCCAGACACTCAACGGCAAAACACCGCTGTTCGGGAGTTTTAAAATGGCCGCCGCCACGTGTTCGTTTTTCGAATGGCGGCCACCCCCGAGAACAAAGGACGGCTACTTCACTTGCCAATTACATGTTCGCAACAATGTTGCAATGGGTAATTGAGAACACACTTCACACATGGGAGGTCTGACTGTTCGGTAGTTTCATTCGAACAAACTAAGGGAATGAAACTAACTAACATTCAGACGAATCCAATACATCAAATACATAGACTTTGCCATTTTCACAGGAATGCATAGAAATACATGAATTGCTCAGGACAGCACAGGGCCATCCGCTACAGTAAGCAACAGAATTGGACCATGGATCGATGAAAGAAGGTTGCCTGGTCTGATGAATTACATTTTCTTTTAGATCAGGAGGATGGCAGATGGTGTGCATTGTTTACCTGGGGAAAAGATTGCAGCAGATACCACTATGGAAAGAAGGCATCTGTGCGATGTGCTGGAACAACAAACCCACCTCACAACTTGCAGGACTTTCTGTCAGACACGTTATCTATAAATATATTACACTTCTCATAAAATTTCTTTGATATTTAGTTAATATTTGTTATATTGTCTTCTTTAATTTCAAAATTTGATTAACATTAAATGTTCAAAATAAAGTCATCTAGCTGGTGTCTCTTGCCACCATAGATCCCAACATTTTGTATGAAAAAGACGCAAGGCCTAAGACCACAAGAATGTAATGTTAGGTTAAAGTATATGAAGAAAATATTAAGAGATAGAAGACATTAACAAAACAGTGAAATGTAAAAAAATAGCCGGCTTTATATTTAGTATTTCTTTTTAGTTTATTTTAGTTTTATCACCCATGAACAAATATAAATTTTTGCCTGCACTGAATTTCCATGTATAATTACCTACCGGCTGTCTGTTCAGTCGTTGCTGAAGAGTTAGAAAACTTCCTCAGGCTGGTTCTCTGTGAGTTTACGGACGGTGGAGGAGCTAAAAGACTGTGGAAGAAAATACTTTTTCAGTTGTTTCAGTTACTAAGTTGATTGCTACTTGTTAGGCTAACTAAAATTTTTGAAAGTGTTTCAGAAAGGCAATGCCATTATGCATATATATAAATTACAGCTGTGCATCACCTGCTTATATTAAGTTGGACTTTGGGAAGTTTAGATTGGATAGAGAATTCACAGCTTGACATGCAAATGAGCACCGAAAAAGGTACTGTGTTTCAGACTTCACTCTGCATTTCTACTGGTTTGCTTAGCAATGGACACTGTTTGAAAGCACAGGTTTTTTTTTTTAGAGCAAAACATGGGGTATGATCCAAATGGAACAGTGACCAGAAATCAGCCATGGACTGTACAGTTTCAACCTTTTGGTTCACATCAGCATGGCACAGATTTTAGTCTAGAAGTTGAGAACATATAGCTCTGAGAGCATATAGCTCGATGCCAAAAGGTTTGTGATGAGATACCAAACAGACATGCACAAAAAAACAAAACTGTTTTCAGGGATGGTTTTATCCTCTCTGCTATCCCAAGGGCAGTTTCATCAATGTGTCCTTCATATATGCATTCGTGCAAAGTTCTGTGTATGTGATTAGCTGGGTAAATGTAAGTAGTTTGTGTGTGCAGTGCTAATAGAGCATTGAGAGGCCAGCTTAGGAGAGTCCCTAGAGGGTGGCGACTGGGAGGAGTTTTGGGAAGCTGCATCTAAAGTTTCTGTTTGCGTCCTCTCACAGGAACAGGTGCTTAAAATAGCATTTTGCTGGCCTGTAACCCCAGTTTTTCTACATAAAAGAGGACATCACCCAACCAGCCTTTGCTGGCGTGTATGTGGACACAAAATAATTTACTTACACATGTAGTGGGACTGTCCCAAACTGCATGGTTATTGGAAAGGGATTAGGGACCTAGCAGCAAACGTCCTTCAGAAACCCGTGGAATTATCTCCATGGATATTTTTACTCTCACGCCCACTGGATGGTATGTCAAAACATTCTCAAAAATTACTAAACCTAATTTCCTTGTCACTAGAAGGGTCTTAGGGGCAGGTTGGTTTACGACAGGAGTACCATCCTTAAGAGGTTCTAGCAAAAGTAGAAGAAAACTTCATTGTGGATGAGTTAACGGCCAAAGTGAGATGCACAACATCCTCTTTCTCCAGGATTTGGGAACCTTGTATTTAGTTTAAACCATATGCATATGGGAGATCATGCTCACCAAAAGTCACCTAACCACCAGGAAGTCTCTAGTTTCTTAAAACTGCAATGCTTAGCTTTGCAGGGCTAAGGGACCTGGGACAGTTCACCCAGGCTGCTTGAACGATCTGAAGTGGTTTGGGTGCCTGTAGTGTCTCTTTAAGAGAAATTTGGGATTGCTTTAGGGAAATTTAGGATTAGGGAGGGTTAGGTATCAATGAAAATGGAACAATTGAATAAAGGCAATTTGGTTGCAACTTGTCTGTTTGTGGATAGCTGAATAGCCTGTGTTATTTAGCAAATTTCACCAGTCATCCGAACTGCAGACAAATGGAAGTGCAAATTTGGTTGAAATAATTGAATCTGTCTTCTGCAAGTAGTCGAAAGGACAAAAAAATAAACTACACAAAAATGAACTGTGAGCACTGAACAGCACTTAGTGAATAGTACCCTATGACAATAAATAAAACATTGTCCACAAAAGATTAACAGTTATTTATTAATGTGATATTTCAAAGTAAATTTAAAGCCAGAGTAAATAATGAAATTCCCGTCATGTGGATTTTGCCTATTTCAGCACAAATCCTTCCACTAGGCCAGGGTTTGTGTGGCATCTTTAGTATAGTCTATATTTAAAGCTTTCACTAGAAATCATAGACATGCATCATCAGCTTCTTAGAGGCATAATACATTTAAGTATAATTGTCAGTGTTTTATTTCCTTGTTATATTTTTTTCAAGTCAGGATTGTCCCTTATAATTTATATCTTTTTATGGGAGAATGGTTACCAACTATTAGAAATTGGAGTTATTTACCAACAATATACAGTATCTCACAAGGACAGAGAGTATACCCCTCACATTTTTGTAAATATTTTATTATATCTTTTCATGTGACAACACTGAAGAAATGACACTCTGCTACAATGTAAAGTAGGAAGTGTACTTCCTATATAACAGTGTAAATTTGCTGTCCGCTCAAAATAACAACACACGGCCATTAATGTCTAAACCGCTGGCAACAAAAGTGAGTACACCCCTAAGTGGAAATGTCCATTGGGCCCAACGTGTCAATATTTTGTGTGGCCACCATTATTTTCCAGCACTGAAATAATCCTCATGGGCATGGAGTTCACCAGAGCTTCACAGGTTGCCACTGGAGTCCTCTTCCACTCCTCCATGATGACATCACGGAGCTGGTGGGTGTTAGAGACCTTGCACTTCCCCACCTTCCGTTTGAGGATGCCCCACAGATGCTCAATATGGTTTAGTTCTGGAGATATGCTTGGCCAATCCATAACCTTTACCTTCAGCTTCTTTAGCAAGGCAGTGGTCGTCTTGGAGGTGTTTTTGGGGTCATTATCATGTTGGAATACTGCCCTGCAGCCCAGTCTACAAAGAAAGGGGATAATGCTCTTCTTCAGTATATCACAGTAGCTCCCCAGTGCCGGCAGCACTCATGCAGGCCCAGTCCATGACACTCCCACCCCCATGCTTGACTGTACACAAGGCACACTTGTCTTTGTACTACTCACCTGGTTACCGCCACACACGCTTGACACCATCTGAACCAAATAAGTTTATCTTGGTCTCATTGGACCACAGGACATGGTTCCAGTAGTCCATGTCCTTAGTCTGCTTGTCTTCAGCAAACTGTTTGCGGGCTGTCTTCTGGGACGACAGCCATGCAGACCAATTTGATGCAGTGTACGGCGTATGGTCTGAGCACTGACAGGCTGACCCCCCCACCCATTCAACCTCTGCAGCAATGCTGGCAGCACTCATACGTCTATTTCCCAAAGACAACCTCTGGATATGACGCTGAGCACGTGCACTCAACTTCTTTGGTCGACCATGGCGAGGCCTGTTCTAAGTGTAACCGCTGTATGGTTTTGCCCACTGTGCTGTAGCTCAGTTTCAGGGTCTTGGCAATCTTCTTATAACCTAGGCCATCTTTATGTAGAGCAACAATTCTTTTTTTTCAGATCCTTAGAGAGTTATTTGCCATGAGTTGCCTTGTTGAACTTCCAGTGAGCAGTATGAGAGAGTGTGAGAGCGATAACACCAAATTTAACACACCTGAGACCTTGTAACACTAACAAGTCACATGACACCGGGTAGGGAAAATGGCTAATTGGGCCCAATTTGGATATTTCCACTTAGGTGTGTACTCACTTTTGTTGCCAACGGTTTAGACATTAATGGTGTGTGGAGTTATTTTGAGGGGACAGCAAATTTACACTGTTATACAGACTGTACACTTCCTACTTTACATTGTAGCAGAGTGTTATTTCTTCAGTGCTGTCACATGAAAAGATATAATAAAATATTTACAAAAATGTGAGGGGTGTACTCACTTTTGTGAGATACTGTATATTCACCACACTGGCGGTCACCCACAATTAAGCAAAAGTCAGACAATATATTTGTTAAAAAGCAGGCAGCATATACCAAAGTATGGAATGAGTGCCTGTCCTTACTGGGGGCTGGGAAAAACTGTTCCTCACTTGGACTGAACGTATTGTTGCTATTAAAATGTCGGTACTACCGAAACTTCAATATGTGTTTCGGAACCTCCCGTTGAAGGTGCCACAATCTTATTTTAAAACCATACAATCTAAGCTGCTGCAGTTTACCTGGGAAGCAAGACGGGCGAGAATTTCTTGCAGACTATTATCTGCACCAGTGAAGCACGGGGGCATGGCGTTTCCAAATGTAAAATCCTACTACCAAGCGGCAGTCTTAACCCCTCTGCTAACACATTTGGTGAGGGACAACCAACCACAATGGGTGCACTTAGAGAACCTAGCTGTTAAACCCTTTTCAACCAATAACCTGATATGGTTGCACAAAAAAAACAGACCAAACACACCGTTAATACCCTTACAAGTACAACTAGCGTTACAAATTTGGGACTTACATAGGATGAAGTTCGAGACAGCCAACCCCCTCTTCAGGGCAACACCCATAGAAGCCATAACATACTGCATCCCAACATTTCATGCAACACCATGGATGGGCAGGGGAATCTCACATGTAGCTCAGGTTTTTGAATCGGGTGATCTGATGAGTTTTGAACGTCTCACCATGATTTATAACCTACCACACACATCACGATATTCATATATTCAACTTAAATCCTTTCTACACACAAGTAATAAAGATAGTAGAAGAGAGACTAGAGAGCTCTCAATCTGGGAACAAACAGGTATCACAGGCAAACTACCCCAGACCTTCAAACCCTTATCTGGATGCTACAGACTTATTCTGCCGTACCAACCCCTCTCCGACTCCACGCCAGCACACCAATGGGAAATGGACCTCCACACTCCCATCACTGAGAGACAGTGGTCCAATATCACATCTTCAACTAGAAAATTGATCAAATCTGCTCCCCTTATAGAGCAACACCAGAAAACAATATATCGGTGGTACATGGTGCCGCTACGCATACATAAACTGTATCCCAACGCGTCTCCGACGTGTTGGAGATGCAAACAAGAGAAGGGCTCGGTCCTCCACATTTGGTGGAAATGTCCACGCCTAATCAGATACTGGGAAGACACCCAAAAAATCATTGCCGATACCACTACCATTCAACTACCCCTTGATCCTAAGACTTTTCTACTGCTAGACATACCCAGGGAAACACCCACACAAGCGAGAAAATTAATGTACCACATCCTGCTAAGCGCACAAAAATTGATAGCACGACTCTGGAAAACAACAGAGGCCCCTAGCATTCCAACCTTCATCCAGGACATAGACAACCAAGCTATTTATGAAACAAGCTTCTCCAAGGCGCGGAATAGAACCAGCTGCAGTAGCAGTATGTGGGAACAGTGGCGCGTCTAGAGAACAGCGAACAAACAACACGTAAGCCACCAACAACCTAACTAAACACAAAGACTAGACGCAGAAAGAGGGTGGGTAGCAAGCACCTCGAGGTAGTGGGGAAAAACACTGGGTCAGGGAGTACTACAAGGCAGATTGGGACTTAGGAATTGGGAAATATGCCTAGATGTTCGGATCAGCTGTACTAAGATGCATAGGGAGAACAACCGTTTACTGTGTGCTGTTGAACTGCTGCAAATGTCAATTTTTGTATATTCCTAGCCAACATATGATTCGATGTAACGTGATTGAGCTTCCCCCCCCCCTCCTTCCCCCACCTCCTTCTTTTTTCTGTACCCCACCCCACCCACCCTACACTTATTGATGTGAAAACCAATAAAATACAAATTTAAAAAAAAAAAAAAGCAGGCAGCAGAATATTCCAGATATTCCCGTATACTAATAGAGAAGAGTTTTCTAAAAATGATGGTTGTCATAATATCGCAATCCAGAGTCCTATAAACCATGTGTTAAAGGGATGGTAGTTTTATTTTTTAGAAAAAAAACAACTTATTTTAGTTAGTATTTTTCCTTACCATTGCTAGTGAATGGTGAGCAGGAGACTTTGATGATATTACTAAGGAGTATTGGGTGTGAATAAGACAGTGTTAGAGGAGGCATAGGGTGTATGGGGATGTATAAGGAAATATCAGTAAATATGGGTTAAAAATATGGGTAACAAAGTAATAGCTGCAGTATGAAATGTGGAAGACAAAAAGAAGAGAAAATAGAGATCTTTGGAGGATATTAAATATAAGTACAACATTACCTTTCTACTGAATAGCCACCAGCTGACACCTTCAAAAACCAAAAAATTTAAATAAATAACAACAACATATCTACGGTACTAAAACTCAGTTATATTAATTTGCATGTAGTGTTTTATTTACACATTAATTTATTGTGATATGCATTGGTTTATAAAGAATACCTGTATTTTGCCACAAAACAGGGGAACAAAAGATGAGGCTTGACCTTCTCAAAGGAGCTTTCTGTGTTGGCAACCAGACACTAATGTTTTATATGAGGAATGAATGTCTGTAGATGTGAGAATTCTCAGTGTACCATTCTCAAACCCAATATCTCAACCTTTCCCACATCTCCACCTCATTCTCGACATCATAAAGGGACTCTATAGTCACCAAAATAACTATAAAAACACTATAGTCACCCCTCTTCCCACTATTACAGTCTTAACCCAAGGGATACTATCACCCAAATTGTTTCAATATTTCACTATTATCCCCACTGTCTCAATTCTCAAAGTGGACAGAAAATACAAAGTGATCTGTGTAAAAGCGCTTATATACTTATATACTTAAAGATTAGCAGCTACCTCAAAGTATGAGTATCTCCTTCACAACACATGCTATAGAGTAAGTGGATGTAGAAAAACTGAGTGGAAACAAGTTACCACCAGTGATAGTAGTGGAGCGCTAAAAAACATCACTTACATCATTAATATACAGCAATTTAGGAATGAATATACAGCAGTTTGCTAGATAAATAAGAAAAAACAATATAGTGTAGTATTTTACATAAAGCCAGTGTGAGTGTTAATATAATCGATATGCACTCACGTGGGTTAGAGCCAGATAAGGACAGGCTCAGATCTCATGAGCAGATGTGTTCAGGAAACGTACAAACACATTAAAACGTTTAGACGATAAAATTAATGTCGCAAAACTTTTTAGTTAGCAATATGTCTCCTGAGGACTATGCCCTAATCACTGAAGAAATACAAGGTAACTTAGATAAACTGGAGAGAAGTGTGGTGGAAATTAAAAAACGAAAATACATTGACTATACGAAAAATCAGACAAGATCATATTTAAGAGGAAATAATCACAACAACACATATAACACATAAGGTTAATATCCTTAATAAGCAAGGGAGAAAATGTAGCCCAACTAGAAATTATCAAAGAACAACTCCTCGCCATACTCCACAAAGGAAGTTACCTAATGTTACAAATTTACAAAGGGAATATGACACCATTACCAAACAATACCACAAATCCCCAGAAAAAGTAGTAAGACCAAAGGTACAACAAATGAGAGAAAGACCTAGAACACCCCATACAGGCAACCAGAACATACAGAGATTATAGACCCAGAGAGGAAAGGAGTACACATACTAATAATAACAACATCTTTCCTCACAATAAATATAATCACCTCACAAGATCCTCAAAGGGAGAGGATTTTTGGAACTCACATGTTATAGGGAAACGCAAAACCACAACAACTACATTCCTATCACCAGGGAAGAGGAGAAGGAATGTAGAAGAAGGAGAGCTAAAAGAGGAGTCCGTATACAGAAAAGGAAGAAAGAAAAAACACGAAAAAAGAAAGAATTAGGATTATTTAAGCTTTCAAGCAAAACTTTACTATACCCCAAAATAACCTCCTACAGATCGGCCTGAAATTTGCTCCAACCAAAAAAATTGAAAAATTCTGTACCTATATAGATTTGTACAAATTTAAGAGGAAACTGTGCTTAAATAAATTCTTCTCAAGGCAGCCATTAGAAAGAACCAATACCCCAACTGTCAACTCAGAATTCGTACATACCAACTTGAGGGTGAATTCTCAATTTTTCCCCAAACCATGCATTTCAGAAGAAATGGGCACGTTTGAACTTATGGTAATGCATGACTTGGAAAAGATAAAACCCTCAAGAAGATACATACACAACCTCACTAAGAAAGAAAGTGAGGCACTGAAAGAACTAAAGAAAGATGAGACCCTCATTATCAATCCTGCTGACAAGGGGAAGGTATAGTTCTTCTAAACACAGATGACTACCTTAAAGATGCCCTGAGACTTTTAAGTGATAACAATACATATAAGGTATTGAGCAAAGACCCAACAAACGAGATGAAAATTGCATACTACAGGCTGATTGAGAAAGGAAAAACCTTGGGTATACTAAACAAAAAAGAATCAGAATTTTTAAACATTCCCCATCCTAAGATTCCATTTTTTTATTACCTTCCCAAGGTACATAAAGACAAAGAAAACCCCCCCTGGTAGACCTATAGTTTAAGGGATTAACGCCATCTCGAACCGTTTGTCACATTATATTGATTGGAACCTCCAACAAATTGTCCAAGTTATTTGAGGGATACCATTAACATCCTCCAGATTCTGAATGGTGTACAGTGGGAACAAGATTTCTTTTTAGTGACGGCAGATGTGGGCTCACTGTACACCATTATTGAACATGAATGAGGCTGTCAAGTCACCAGAAACATTTTGGAAAATCCCAAGAAGTTCCGTCAGATTCAAACTGAGTTTATTCTGGAGGGGATCAAATGGATCCTATCAAACAACTATTTTTGGTTCAACAACACCTTTAATCTTCAGATGTGTGGAGCGGCGATGGGGACCAGGTTCGCACCCAGTTACGCAAACCTATTCATGTCCTTGTGGGAACATGAGTTTATCTTGGAGGAACATAGGTGGGATGCGAACCTGGTCACCAATCACTGCTACATAGACAACATATTTTTTATTTGGAAGGGAGATGAGAACTCCCTAGTTTCATGTCTGCTCTGCCTCTCAGTGATGCGACTTGCCATACGCTCGTAATTATAAATCGAATCTAGTCTACCTAAAATCTCTGATAACGTGGGAGCTTGTGTAGATTTCCACTTTTGGGCAATCGCTGTTTTAGTTGCCATGAGGCAGTGGATCATTAAATAGTTTTCCTCTTCGTGGAGGTTGTCTGGGAAGATGTGTAATAAAAAGCATTCTGGTGTCGGAGGTACCCCGATCCCTAGGTTTTTGCAAAAAAGTGTGTGGATGTCTTGCCATAATGATGTGATCTGTGTACATTTCCAAAATATATGGTAAAGGGACCCCTCTTGATTGTGACATCTCCAACATAGTTTGTTCGCTCCTGGATATATGTGGGCCAATTTGTTGGGGACCAGGTACCAGCGCATGGTTAGTTTGCAGTACGTTTCCCACTGATTAAGGCTATGTGAGGCCTGCTTTGTTAGCTTCTGAGCCCGATGCCATGTGTCTACTGGGAAAGTTCACTTCCGTGAACTTAGCTATCAGTGTCTGTCTTTGATGTATAGACAGACGTGGCAAATTTGCCTCGCCCAGAAAGGTGTCTATGTCAGCTGCTATTGGTTGGTGTAGTGATTTATCTTGTGTGAGGTTATATAGGCCTTTGTAGAAGTTCGCTAATTCATCCACTATGTCCTGCGGGTTAAATAGTTTTGTACCCGTGGCCGTAGTCATGTATGGGAGTTTTGTTTGTATATAACGCGATTTTAGACGGTTTGCTAGCACCTTGCCTGCCTTATTTCCATGCATGTAGTAGGTCAATTTCAGTTTGCGTAGTTGCCTTTCCATAGTGGTTAGAGACAGTGCATGTATCTTCCCTCTTGTCTGTTCAATCTGTTGGGACAGTAATCTAGATGGTCTTACTTTATTAGCCCTTTCTAATGTCTGGAGCAGTGCAATTAGTGTATCATTTTCGTTATAAGCTTTCTTTTTGCGTATTGACCCCGCTTGTATTAAGAGACCTCTAAGTACAGCTTTGAGGGCCAACCATTTGGTGCCTATACTGGAAGGGTCTGTCTGATGATTTTCATAAAACGTTTGTATATTCCTGCGTATTTTGGTGGCCGTGTCATTGTCATCTATGAGGGATTCGTTCAGACGCCACGCACTCCGTCCTCTAGCTGGGTATAAGGCCCTGAACGTGGTGATTATTGGCGCATGGTCAGACCAAGTTCTGTCACCTATTTGTGCTTCTATAACATTCGGGATTGTGCTTTTGTCTACCCAGCACATGTCTATGCGCGAGTAAGTGTGGTGTACCTGTGAAAAGTAGGTGTAATTATTCTCGGTCGGGTAGAGTGAGCGCCATGTGTCATACAGGTCGTTCGTGTGGAGCACTAGCTTGCTGGAGCGGTTGTTTGCCTTCTATACGTTTGATGTCTAAATTGGGGTCCAGCGTGCAGTTTAGATCCCCACAAATTATGGTGTGACCCTCCCGGAGGCTGGATATTTTGTGTAACGCACGTTTTATGAATGCAGTTTGTGAGTTGTTGGGTGCGTATATGGATGCTATCGTCAATTGCATGCCATTCATTGAGCCCACCACAACGAGGAGTCTGCCTAGCTCGTCTCTGTATGTATTGGTGAGTTGGAATACCCAATTTGCGTGGAACAGTATTGCCACCCCTTTAGTTTTGGTTGGGGAAAGAGCATGATACACTTGATGGTATTTAGAAGATGTTAGGGTGGGGGGATTGGTCTTACACATATGTGTTTCTTGGAGACACACTATAGCTGCCTGTGATTTGTGCATTGCCCTGATCACTGAGCTTCTTTTAAAGGGACTATTTAGGCCATTTACGTTCATGGAAAAGCATTTAAATTAGTAAGCCATAATGTGGGATGTTGCATTCTCTCATCTTGATACGGAGTTCGTATAAGTACTGACCTCTCGAACGAGTACATTCTACTGGGTACCTGAGCGTGCCTTAATGGTTGCTGGATTTTTGTGTATGCAAAATTTATCTCTGCTGCCATAGTATTGGGTAGGGGGGTGGCAGGTATAAAACAGGGGAAACGGAAAACTAAAAACATAAGTATATACAATGACTCTCGACCTTGAGAGTTTACATTGGAGTACAATATGGAGCCATCGTGCTCCACCATTGTAGGTCCTTTAGGGGGGTCGTGCGGAACTATACCACACCCGGGCCAGACTTGACACATGTCTGCTCTGTTGCCTGCAATCATCATGGGGATTTGGGAGCCAGGACAACAATTCCATTATCGTCCGCTGTAGGACTGGAAGGCATTGTTGCGAAAGGGGTCTAAGATATATGGGTCGCAGCTTCAGGGACTGTGTGCTTTTTTTTTTTTTTTTTCTTATCCATTCGGTTATTTTCGTTAATCTCTTAATAGTTTTAATAAACCTTAGCTATAGCATATCGGGATCGCTCGAACCCACTCCCAGCCTGTGTAGGACGCTTCCCCTGCCTATGGTGTGTGCGTTATTGGCATTTGGATCTGTCTTTAGACGTCAGTGCTATGCAATGGTGGCCCAGCTAGCGTAGTATAGATATCTGGATCGTAGCTAACCGGTACATTGCCATCCCATTGTGGGGTACCTACCCATACACAACATCAACACCAATCCGCCCCTGTTGGGAATATCACATTGTGTGCCAAACACATTTTCCAACCAGCGGAGTCCTTAGGCAGGCCAATGTGTTTAGCCCCAAATATTACCCTTCAAGCATTACACATAACAATTAGCTTTGCATAAGGTTAGCGCTTAACATTGTGGGGACTCGCGTCAGCGTCTTCACGGGTCCATGTGATTTGCATGGGCATTAAATCGGATAAGGCTCAGTAGAATGAGGGAGAGTAGTAAGCTGGTCTCTAGTGTCGTGGCATTATTACTAATATTATATATATTTTTTTTTTAATTTTTTTTTTATTTGATCATCTTAATGCTGAAATTAGTTGCACTGACGCGAGCCCCCATATAAAAATACCACTGTCGGTCGTCGGTGTCTCCGACTCCTTCCAGTGCCTCGAGGCATGGGAATGGCTGGAGCGTGGATCCCACAGAGAACAGTTTCTAGGTAGTGTCCTGAACGACTGCTGCACCCTCAGTTAGTCTGTCTTCCTATAGCGGTGTAAGGCATTGTTGTGAATGTGGTTCCCTGGCTTGATGACACTATGTGGATCGCTGGTGAGGGGGTTCTCCCACCATCTTCCATTCGGGACGGGTCTTCTTCGCTGAGGTCCCTGCAGTCGCCGTCGGATGGTCGGTCTCCGGTGTGTTCCATAGGCCCCAGCTTTTCAGCGCGGACATACCCTCTGACGGGTCAACTATGGTATGAAGCTTGTTGTTCCGCCATATTAACAGTTTAGTGGGGAAACCCCATCTATAAGCCTGATCATGATTTCGCAGAGTCTTGGTTATGGTTGAGAACTCTCTTCGCCTAGCCATAGTTAGAGCTGAGAGGTTGGCATAGATTGAGACCGAGCTATATGGTTCGGGTAGCATTGGCTTAGCTCTGGCTGCTTTTAAGAGTGCCTCTTTGGCCTTGTAATAATGAAAGCGCACAATAATGTCGCGCGGAACTTCTGTCCCCAACCTAGGTGGCTTGGGTAGGCGGTGGGCCCTGTCCACTTCCCAGGAGAATGCGGGATCGGGGACCAACGCAGCACTTATTGTTTTTATGTAGGCTGGAATCTGGTCTGCTGTGGTGGATTCCGCCACCCCCCGAAATCTTACATTATTCCGGCGGGAACGATCCTCCATGTCCGCCATCTTGTGCCACAGTTTTGTATTATCGTCTTCTAGTTTCTTTAATTTGTCTGCCATTTCATTGTGTGCTGAGCACAGGTCTTCTGTCCTCCGTTCAACCTGATCTGTGCGGTCTCCCAATTCTTCTAGTTCCTGGTGTAAACCAGATATGGCAGTCGTAAAGTCTTCTCTTATTGTGGCTCTCAGCTCCATGAGCATTGATTTGAGGAAGTCCTTTGAGATTTGGCAATCCTCTGTAGAGTGGTGTGGGGACCCCTCATTAAGGGCATCAGGCTCTGGGGATTGCGCTCTGCTGCCGGCGCCATCTTGGGCCTGTTTCTGCCGCTCTTTTTTGGTTTGGCGGACCGCATCCGTAAGTTTAGTTTGCTTTGAGGGTGACATGGGGTCACTCCTACACTGCCCCTTTAGTTTGTAGCTCGGTTTTCAAGCTTAATAGTAGCTTTTCTAGCCCGGGTGAAGCGGAGCTCCTAATCCGAGCGTCCGATCGTGCCGGTAGTTGGACACGCCCCCCACAAGTACGTTGTTTAAGAAAGTAAATGTGAATAGCTATATTCAAGAAAGCAGTTGCCACTATTCACCATGGCTCACAAAAGTCCCAAAGGCACAGCTTTTACATATCAAAAGAAACTGTACAGACAAAACAAAATTTCAAGAACAATCCCCCAAATTTTTAAAAGGTTTTAAAGAGAAAGGGTATAAGGACATTTAGTACACAGTCAGTTTAAGACCAAAGGAACCACCCAATTCTTTAAAGAATCCAAAGGATTCTATGGATGCGGATGTGGTGCATGCAAAAGCACCAGGTGGTATAAACATCTGGTTAAAAACTTTACACAAAAAGACAAAATTTTTCACATTAAACAGGTTATTACATGTCACTCAACAAGAGTGACATACTTGATTAAATGTCCCTGTGGCCTGATTTATGTTGGACGTTCGACTCTTAAATTGAATGTCCAAATTCAAGAGCATTTAAGAAATATAAAAAACGGCTATGAAAAACACAATCTATCACTACATTACAAAATTAAACATAATCAAGACCATAGAGGTACGGAGTTCATTGGGATTCAAAAAGTAGTGCTAGATTGGAGAGGCGAAGATATGATTAGAAAAATGAGGCGGACTGAAATGAAATGGATTTTCAATCTGAACTCATTGGTGCCTCATGGACTTAATAATGACTTCGAACTCTGTCATTTTTTATAAAAGGATTTTATGTCAATTCATATGAATATGTTCCATGACAATCTAAACTGTAATTATCTGTTTTGGAAAATAAATGTTGGGTTTTATATTTATATATTTTGCCATTTATATAGCGCCAACAGATTCCATAGCACTTTACAATATTATAAGAGGGGGGATTTAGCTATAAATAGGACACTTACAAGAAAACTTATACGGTTTTTGGGAAGACTAATTAGGAGAGGGTTCCAATAATCCATGCAGGAAATTACTAGAGCATGGACAAGCTCTTTAGTAGCATCTTGCGCAAGAAAGGGGCGGATGTGGGCTATGTTTTTAAGATGGAATCTACAGGATTTGGTAACATGCTGGATGTGAGGCTCAAAGGTGAGGCCAGAGTCAAATATAACACCAAGACAGCACGCTTGCAAGGATGTACTGATGTGGATACCACTGACTTCAAGGGAGAGTTAAAGAGGAGGATCAGTATTAGGAGGAGACGAGGAGTTCAGTTTTAGAGAGATTAAGTTTTATAAAGCAGGAGAACATAAAGTCAGAGATTGAGGAAAGGCAAGCAGTGACACGTTGCAGGACGGCAGGGGAGAGGTCCAGGGAAGAGAGATATAACTGGGTGTCATCAGCGTACAGGTGGTAGTGGAATCCAAATGAGGAAATAAGTTTGCCAAGAGAGACAGTATAAAGAGAAAATAGAAGGGGACCAAGGACGGAGCCTTGGGGGACTCTAACTGAGACAGGACGAAGGGATGAGGTATCATTAGAAAAGGAGACACTTAATGAGCGTTGGGAGAGATAAGAGGAAAACCACGAGAAGACAAAGTCACAGAGACCGAGTGATTGAAGAGTTTGAAGAAGGAGAGCATGATCAACCGTGCCAAAGGCAGCAGAGAAATCAAGAAGAATTAGTATGGAGTAGTGGCCTTTCGATTTAGCTGCGATTAGGTCATTATTAACTTTGATAAGAGCAGTCTCAGTAGAGTGGAGGGGGCGGAAGCCAGATTGAAGAGGGTCAAGGAGAGAGCTGGAACTGAGGAAGTGAGACATACGGGTAAAGACAAGTCTTTCCAGAAGACTACACTATATTGTGTTTTCCTCTTTATTTAGCAAACTGTTGTATATTCATTCCAAAATATTTGTATATTAATTACGTAAGTTACATTTTTTAGCGATCCACTACTATCCACTACTATCACTGGTTTCCACTCAGTTTTTCTATATTCAATTCTCAAAGTGTCTCATCTCTTTCATACCAGCATTGCACTATTTCTGCATGTCTACTTGTCCCCATTTTCTAACCCCTCCAGTGTCTCACGGTGTTTCCTCTTACCTTTCGTTGGTTCATCAGCTTCCTGATTTCTTCTTCTAATTCGCTTATTTGTTTTTCTGCTTTTTTCTGAAATTCATAATTTTTCTGCTGTTCCTACAAGGTTTGATGTAGATAAACCATACAAAGTTAGTTAATGTTAATGATTAAGAAGTAGATATTAAATTAAACATAATTTAACACTTTGATCTGTCTATTGAGCTGGGGCATATTAGGATCTCTAAAGTACCATGCCTTGCGTGCCTATTTACTAACCTATCTTAGACATTCCATGTTTTTGATTGTTACAATTTGGAATTAAAATGGATATTTATCATGATTTTTACCATATGATTTACAAAACATACCACAAAGTTTTAAAATGCAAAAATTTTTTTTATTGTGACATAAAAGGAAAAAAAAAATTCCAATAAAATCCATATAATTACATATTGTAACACAACAGATGAAAAACACAGTAAGTACATTCATAAAGCTCTCATGTACATTCTTCTGAAATTTGATGGATTACTAATATATATCACTTCCAAAGAAAACTATTTAGTTGAAGTTCTAGAGAACAAAAAAAAAACACGTTTGGGGCAATTGTGTGATGTTCATAGCATAGATTTATCCATCTTTCACTTAATTGTTCAGAGACCAGGAAAGTTTTATTCCTTAGAAAAATGTACTTACATTTATTACCGTTAGTACGAAGCTGAGATCAAATTCTTCAGCCAGACTTTTAGCAGTTTCTTTTCTGAACACCACTTGTTACTATCTTCAAGCAGATGTGTTGCTTGTGCAGTGATAGAGGCTGGAGCCCAGAGTAAGAGCCCAGTTTTTACCTAATTTCATTGTTAGCCATAAATCTTTTGCAATACCTCCAATTATATGATGTGTGACAGTGTCACTTTAATGCACTAAATTTGCAGCACAATGTGTTATTGCTATGCGTGTGTTGTTTTAATGCTGTGGGGTGTAGGGTTGGCTGTTAATAAAGTAGGTGTAGAGTTTATAAATATAGGTTTATATAATACTAAAATAGAAAAAATAGTGTGGAACCAAAGGTCCCTAAGTGGAAGAGTTATAAATAAAAGGGAAGTCCCTACCTTTAATAATCCTAAGGGTGTAGGCAATTAAAATAGACAGGGAGGAAAGATAGGGCAAGGGAATAGATGTGTGAAAACACATACAGGTCCAAACAACTACTTGCAGAGAAATAGCCCAATTCTAATAAAGTTGGGTCAAAAAAGCTCCAAACTGTAAGGTTGTAAACAGATAGGTAATTAGAGGAATAACAGAGGAAGGAAAAAGGGGAAAGGGGAATGGGGAGGAACACTTCCTAACTGAATACCTCGGCACAGTGAGAATCACAAGTGCCTACCTATTACCCTTCTGCCTACCTGACTAAAGTAGCTAAAAATCGAATTAATTAAACTAATCCATAAGTGCTACCCAAGTGAACAAACTGTAAAGAAAATAAATAAATAAATAAATAAAAACTCGACGCGCGTTTCAGCGTTCTAACACGCCGTCGTCAGGAGTAGTAAGCCTCTGCATAACTTTGTGCTCGTTTATATGGGGATTGTAGCAATCAACTTGAAACAGTTCACCTGTTGTGTGTCCACGCCCCGCCGTCTTGTCGGCCCATTGATTGGTCAAGAAAATGCCGTATTTGGATTGGGCCATGTGACTGGGGGGTGTTGCGGTTGATTGGGTGATACCCACTTGGGTGCAACCGGCTGCATATGGGGGGAGTGGCTTAGTGGTGTCAACTGGTGACACGGCTGTCAGTCTTAGTGAGACCTCCCATGTACCGTGAGGTCTGATTTAAGCATTCACAATCCCATAACGGGAGAATAATGCCGCATAGACAGGGAGTCACAAAGTGACACAGCCTCCCAAACTTAATGTGTCGAAACTGATAACCAATCTCACAGCATCATGGCAATACCATAATTAGGATGTTGTTAAAAAGATTTTAAACAATGCACCCATTATTAAAGGAATATTACACAGGCCATGATCAAATGACAGGTATTTGGTTGCACCCAAACACAAATAAAGAAAATATAGAGGGAAGACTTGGTGGTGGGAATGCAATAGAGCTTACTGTAAATATAAAGAAACACAGCTTTATTGATCTCTACCACCCTACAGAGTAATAGGTAACAACCTTATAACTATCTGACAAGGTGGATACAAGAGACTATCAGATTTATGATTCCCTATATTGCATCCCACTGAATAAAGTCCTCATGTAAGAAGACAATGGTTATAATATATAATCAGATGTTCAGCCTACTTATTATATACTCAGGACTTGATAGGGGTATACCTAACTATAGATTACATCTAAAAGAGAGAGTAATCATAAAAAAGCAGTAAATGAAAAGCCCTCATTCAGTCCAGCGGGTGAGAGAGTCTTCAATCTATAGATCCAATAGGACTCACGTCTCAGTTTCATATCCCAATCTCCTTTCCTTTGAGTCTGTGGAATATGCTCGATTCCCATGAACCTCAATTTTTTAGAGGAGTTTGAATGGTATATTTTTAAATGACGGGATATGGGAGTTTCAAGAGGTCTCCTAACTGAATTAACGTGTTCCCGGATCCGTAGTTTAAAAGGTCTAAATGTTTTCCCCACATATTTTATACCGCATGAGCAGATGAGTAAATAAATCACACCCTCTGTTCTGCAATTAAAAAATGATCGTACAGGGAAGACATCTGTATTATTACTGTCAGTGAATTCTTTGGAGTTCCTTTCCATAAATTCACATGCACTGCAATGTCCACATTTGTATGAACCCTTCGGTAGATAATTGTTAAGGCCCCTTTTCCGGGGTGCCAAGTGACTCTGTACCAGGGTATCTCGAAAATTACTCCCCCTCCTTGCCGTAACTGAGGGGAGAGAAGTAATTACATGTTTCAAATGTGGGTCGGACTTAAGAATCGGCCAGTAACGCCTGAGTGTATCCATCATATAGTCCCACCCCGCATCATATGTGGCAATGCATCTAATCAGTTTTTTATCTTCTGATTGTGCATTCTCATCAGTGAGGAGTGTGTCTCGGTCGGTTTTGATGGCTCTAGCGTATCCCCTCCGTAGAACCCTATTCGGATATCCCTTATCCTTGAAGGCTTTCCTTAATTCCCAGGCTTTGGTCTTAAAGTCCTGTGTGGACGAGCAATTGCGTCTTAGTCGGAGGTACTGGCCGATTGGAATACCAGCCTTGAGTGGCTGTGGGTGATAACTAGTCCAGTTCAAGAGACTATTCGTAGCCGTATGTTTCTTGAACAAGGTTGTCTGTACCAGTCCCCCTTCCTTTATTGTGATGGTAATGTCTAGGAAGTTAATTTGGTTACCACCTAGCTCACTAGTAAATCTCAAGTCAAAATCATTTTTGTTCAGGATTTTGACAAATTCCTCGAAATCCTTAATAGACCCCGTCCATACAATTAGTACGTCATCGATGTACCTTTTCCAGCATGCTATTGACTCTGAATATTTCCGTAAGTGTGGTACCTTTAGGATTTGATTCTCCCAGGTTCCTAAATAAAGGTTCGCATAAGAGGGGGCACAGGGAGTCCCCATAGCTGTCCCTTTTATTTGTTGGTAAATATTACCATTAAATAGGAAAATATTTTTAGTCAGTACCGTTCTGAGTACATCTGAGACGAAATCGATGTAGAGATGTGGTGACTGAAGCTCTTGTTCTAAAATGGTTTTGACATTATCAATACCTTTCATATGTGGTATAGAGCTATACAAAGATTCCACATCCAGGCTGCATAGCAAGGTTTGCTTTGGTATGGATAAGTCCTTCAAAAAGTTTAACATCTGCTTAGTGTCCCTTATATGAGAGGGTAATTTTGACACAATAGGGGACAAGATTTTGTCTAAATATATACTCAAATTCTGAGTCAAGTTGCCGCATCCCGACACAATTGGTCTACCTGAAGGATTATCGAAAGATTTATGCACTTTAGGTAGACTATAAAATGTTGAAAGTACTGGTTGTTTAACCAGCATAAAATCAAACTCATTTTTAGTAATGAGTTTGTCTATTAAAGCTTGGTTCAGCAAAGTTTTAATTTCAACAAAATATTGTGGGGTGGGATCGTGACTGAGAATCTGATAGGTTTCCCTATCATCCAGTAGGTGCTGTGCCATTTGGATGTAGTTAGACCGATCCATAAGCACTATATTCCCACCCTTGTCGGATGGTTTAATTACCAGATCATCATTCTCGTTCAGTTGTTTTAATGCCAATTTTTCCATTCTAGTAAGATTACCACAGATTTTAATGTTCTGATCTCCCAAGTTTGCCTTTTCAATATCTCTACAGACCATCTCCAAAAAGACTTCAATATTTTTGTAGTCTTTCAAATGGGGGGTGAATCGGCTCTTAGGTGCAAGGTGCGTGGTCGGGATGTTGTCTATAGGGTCATTAGAGTCAAGTAGTTCTATCAAAGTATCTAAGCAATCCATGTCTGTAACTGTAAGTCCTAGGCTTAATGCTTTCATTTCTTTTTTATGAGTATGGTACTTATGTAGAGCTAACTTTCGGGCAAACAAATGCAGATCTTTCGTCCACATGAATTTATTAAAAAGGGGGGTAGGTACAAAAGATAAACCTTTGGAGAGTGTTTTAGTTTGTATATCTGTTAGAGTGAGTGAGGATAAATTTATAACCCTTAAATCACCAGCTACTAACGTCGATATTGTCTCTGACCCCTGCCTCTCTGTGATTGTCTCGTTCTGGGGCGTTGTAGTTCGTCCGCCTGTCTCAATCCTAAAAAATCAACCCCTTTCCTTAGTATACTTTTGGGTGCTACTGGTACAGAGTTACTAGTTACACTTTCCCCTTCATTGTCTGTTGACTCATATTCTGATGTACTAAAATGGTCAGAGTCAATTCTAATTCTCCTTTTCGTTTGGCGATAGACTTTACCTGTCTCAAAATCTGAGGTATCTCTTACATATTTATGATGTTTTTTAATTTTTATTTGATAAGAGAACTTATCCAAGTTAGATTTAAGCTTTACTTCCAAATTTTGAAACTGGGGTTCATCTTTGAACTTTTGGATGTTCTCAATCTCATCATCCATTTTTTTTTTAATTTTAACTAGATGTAACGCCTCATATTTGCATATAATCGACATAAAAGTGGTTGAACATTTAGCTGCTGCATCCTCCCATTCTTGGTTAAAGCCTTCTATTTCGATATTCCTAGATGGTGGGACAAGGACCCTCAATCCTCTAGGTATGATCTTTTTGGCAATATATGTCTCTAGGGTAGAGATTTCCCAGCTTGTTTTAATTTGCTGTTTAAAAACCTTTGTTAATTTATTAAAGCCACTTTGTATGTCTACTGGAGGGAGCGTTTTAGGTGGAGAATTAGTAGAAAAAATGGCATCAGCGTCTGAGCACCATTGTTTATGATCTACTTTATTTGTGAGGAATCCCGCCATAATCTTAAATGGGGCTAAATGATTAATTAAGCTAAAAAATGCTCTCTATGGAAAAGATGTGTAGGGCTAGAAGTGGTGCATAACACCTATATAGATAAAAGTAGATGATTGTGGAAAAAGCCCTGATAACTCTTCCCTACTGGGGAATAACCCACAAATTGTAAAATAGAAAAAATAGTGTGGAACCAAAGGTCCCTAAGTGGAAGAGTTATAAATAAAAGGGAAGTCCCTACCTTTAATAATCCTAAGGGTGTAGGCAATTAAAATAGACAGGGAGGAAAGATAGGGCAAGGGAATAGATGTGTGAAAACACATACAGGTCCAAACAACTACTTGAGAGAAATAGCCCAATTCTAATAAAGTTGGGTCAAAAAAGCTCCAAACTGTAAGGTTGTAAACAGATAGGTAATTAGAGGAATAACAGAGGAAGGAAAAAGGGGAAAGGGGAATGGGGAGGAACACTTCCTAACTGAATACCTCGGCACAGTGAGAATCACAAGTGCCTACCTATTACCCTTCTGCCTACCTGACTAAAGTAGCTAAAAATCGAATTAATTAAACTAATCCATAAGTGCTACCCAAGTGAACAAACTGTAAAGAAAATAAATAAATAAATAAAAACTCGACGATTTGATCATGGCCTGTGTAATATTCCTTTAATAATGGGTGCATTGTTTAAAATCTTTTTAACAACATCCTAATTATGGTATTGCCATGATGCTGTGAGATTGGTTATCAGTTTCGACACATTAAGTTTGGGAGGCTGTGTCACTTTGTGACTCCCTGTCTATGCGGCATTATTCTCCCGTTATGGGATTGTGAATGCTTAAATCAGACCGCACGGTACATGGGAGGTCTCACTAAGACTGACAGCCGTGTCACCAGTTGACACCACTAAGCCACTCCCCCCATATGCAGCCGGTTGCACCCACGTGGGTATCACCCAATCAACCGCAACACCCCCCAGTCACATGGCCCAATCCAAATACGGCATTTTCTTGACCAATCAATGGGCCGACAAGACGGCGGGGCGTGGACACACAACAGGTGAACTGTTTCAAGTTGATTGCTACAATCCCCATATAAACGAGCACAAAGTTATGCAGAGGCTTACTACTCCTGACGACGGCGTGTTAGAACGCTGAAACGCGCGTCGAGTTTTTATTTATTTATTTATTTTCTTTACAGTTTGTTCACTTGGGTAGCACTTATGGATTAGTTTAATTCATTCGATTTTTAGCTACTTTAGTCAGGTAGGCAGAAGGGTAATAGGTAGGCACTTGTGATTCTCACTGTGCCGAGGTATTCAGTTAGGAAGTGTTCCTCCCCATTCCCCTTTCCCCTTTTTCCTTCCTCTGTTATTCCTCTAATTACCTATCTGTTTACAACCTTACAGTTTGGAGCTTTTTTGACCCAACTTTATTAGAATTGGGCTATTTCTCTGCAAGTAGTTGTTTGGACCTGTATGTGTTTTCACACATCTATTCCCTTGCCATATCTTTCCTCCCTGTCTATTTTAATTGCCTACACCCTTAGGATTATTAAAGGTAGGGACTTCCCTTTTATTTATAACTCTTCCACTTAGGGACCTTTGGTTCCACACTATTTTTTCTATTTTACAATTTGTGGGTTATTCCCCAGTAGGGAAGAGTTATCAGGGCTTTTTCCACAATCATCTACTTTTATATAATACTAAGATTTTATTTAATGGGACACTTTAGGTACCCAGACCACTTCAGCTAATTGACTTTTTAACTTTTGGTTGCCTACCTGACGATGGAAGTTCTCACACTGTGCATGAGGACATCAAGCGTCACCTGAAACCCTATAGGAAAACATTGTATAATGCTTTCCTATGAGGGCAGTCCTAATTTGAGTACGGCTCAGCCGGCTGACATCTGGTAAGTGACAGAAGAGGTTTTTAACCACTTCTGCACCATGGGGACGGGGGGAGGGGAAATGGCTGCAATGAAGGGGGGGGGGCTCTATAGTTTCCCTTTAATGATTTGGTGTCCTAATCTGATTTATAGAACATGTTTAAAGTTAATCTTCGGGTGTGATAAATGGCTCGTGTTAAGAGTGATTTGGTCAGTATATGGGGATAGAGTCATCCCTGGCAACATCCCTGGCTCCTGACACACTTTGATTCTCTACATATTCTTTTACTCCATTTTTACAATGTAAACGATCCTCCTACATTTTTTTGTCATTTCCAACTCTCTTTCAGTGGCTACTGTAGTATGTTATTTTGAAATGTTGCCATAATATAGACTCATTTTGTTACCATGTACTGATGGAAACATTTTAATATGTACATCAGTACTGTGATTGTATAATAAAAAAATAAAATAAAAATTTAAAAAAAAAAAAAACAATTCGCTATACATATCTCTCTATATATACACACAATGGCAGAGCTACTGCAAGCCTGAGGTGCCCATTGGGTGTGCATCGCAGCTAGGGACACTTGATGGGTAGTTCTGATCATGGGCCCTGTCAGGCGCCATGGACCTTTAACAGCACGACCGGGCACCTGTCAGATTGACAATGCTGGTAGGAAGTAAGGTCAGGTCACTCCCTCCCAGCTAACAGAGGGTCATACCTGCTTCACTTGATTTTCAAGATGAGATTTTTCTATTTCGTGTCTTCTATTTGTGTCTTCAAGAAGCATATTTAATCTGTCTTCTTCTTGCCTGAATTATAGTACAAAATGAAAAGAAACTTAAGGGGGGGGAGATAGAATTATAAGCTTAAAGGGAACTGTTATTTGTTCTAGTATTTTAGAGAAATGATTTTAAATGGCACATTACAAATAACAGCTTTATAACAGGTCTTGATATTTTGAGGAAGAATATAGATGTGGTCAAATGGAGCTCATAACCCAAATGTCTGGGCCCCCTTACACACACTTCTACATACAGATACTACATGCACACTCACAGGCACAAATATATTAATACAAACTACCAGACAGACACAAAGATAACGAATGACATACATGATTGCACAAACAAAATGCTACACCCAGGGCTGCCATCAGAACTCTTGGGGCCCCTTAAAAAATTGTTTCATAGAAACTGCTATGTTTATTAATGGGTTAAGCCTTCCCCGTAATCCTCTAGTGGCTGTCTCATTGACAGCCAATAGAGGCGCTTGCGTGCTTCTCACTGTGATTTTCACAGTGAGAGCACGCCAGCGTCCATAGGAAAGCATTGTAAATGCTTTCCTATGCGACCGGCTGAATGCGCGCGCATCTCTTGCCGCGCGTGCGCATTCAGCCGGCGTGGAGGATCGGAGGAGGAGAGAAGGAGGAGAGCTCTCCGCCCAGCGCTGGAAAAAGGTAAGTCTTACCCCTTTCCCCTTTCCAGAGCCGGGCGGGAGGGGGTCCCTGAGGGTGGGGGCACCCTCAGGACACTATAGTGCCAGGAAAACGAGTATGTTTTCCTGGCACTATAGTGGTCCTTTAAGTGGAATAATTCCACTGTATAGGTATTCTGCAGCATACCACAGTCATATTGATGGTAGCAGTGTCAGATAATATAAGTAGGCAAATAGCAGTTGTATTTATTAAACCAGACATCACTCTTACTGATATAAACATTTTCAACACATTTTTAATTTATTACTTCCAGACGCACACTACCGCCAGCTTTTTATCAATACATATTTTTTCTTATTAAACAGTATTGTAAATGTTTTATCTTGATTATGTCAAAATAATAAAAAATTGGATCACATTAAATACTGAGATCAATTCCTAATTGAAAGAGTTCATTGTTAAATGGCAAGAAATATACATGCTTGGATAAGAGACACAGGCAACTAACAAAACATAGGTATGACTTTTCTTCTCAGAGAAGGAAAAATTATGATTTCTAAAATGTGTTACTATTGGCACTTATATTTATTATGTATTGTATAGGGTTCAAATGATGTACCTATTCCCTGTCTGTAATATGTGCATGGCACATGCATTGCTTGGAATAGAATCTCTATTTTTCTTTCTCCAGTTAATGAATCTCGAGTTGTGGTTGTACGCATGGTCGTTCAACTGCTTGAGATTCTGGTTAAAGAACTGTAAGACGGACCCTGGATAGAATTATAGTAACTGTGAAATATCTCCTAAAATTTACTAAGGAGTTGCATTCCTCTTATTAATGAGTGGAACTGTGGCTCGGAGCTGAACTGCCGATTCCAAGAATCCTTCTACACTGGGGTTGTGAGGTAAGTATAGAATGAGAGGCTCCCGACTGATGGACTCTCTCTCTCTGGACTTGGAGGATCTCTGAGCTGCATTATTTGCCTTTAAATATATACATTAGGAACTTTGAAGAATTTTTAAATGTATTCTTTTAGAAAAATGTTTTTTATATTTTTAAAGCATTATCTATATAATCTGTTAAAAAATAGGGAAGGCAATATGGTGATACTTTTAAGGATGGACTTGCCATGTCTTATATAACTGCCATCCCCAAATACGGTATAAATGTGATATAAAGTTCTTCTGTATCATTCTGAAACATTTTAATTATGTGTTACAAAAAAAAGATCAAACTACTTCTGGTGTTATGTGTGAACTATGTAAATGTATTTTTAAAGGAATACTATAGCCATCAAAACAACTCAATGAAACAGTTTTAGTTTATTGATCATGACCAAGGCCTCTAGGCCGAAATGTTGTATCTTTTTTTTGTCCTTTTTGTTCTCCAATAAATACTTTTTTGCCTTCACCTTTGTGACGCCTGTGGAATTCTACTTCTTGTTGTTCTTGGTGCGCTGCGCACCCCCCTCCACAGAGCTCCTACTTAAACTTACTTGTGTGCAGCACTTTATGCACTGGCAGGGCCGGCGCGTCCATAAGGCGGCACAGGCGGCCGCCTTAGGGCGCACGGGCTCTGGGGGCGCAATATTTCAGTGACCGGCAGGAGGGAAGCTCTCTCTCCTGCCAGGCCACCATCTCGACCCCCGGCGCAGCGCGCGGCAGTGCTGTGATCAGGCGCGCGAGGGAGCTCTAATCTCCACCCTCTGCTCCCTCGCGCGCTGCCTACTGATGCCGCCGGAGCCGGAATATGACGTCATCAGGCAGCCCGCGAGGGAGCAGAGGATGGAGATTAGAGCTCCCTCGCGCGCCTGATCACAGCACTGCCGCGCGTCTGATTACAGCACTGCCGCGCGCCTCTCAGCAGCCCCAGCCCTCAGGGACCGATCCAGCATCCACACCAGCTCTCCAGGTAGGGAGGCTGGGTGGAAAATGTTTATTTATAAAATTATTAGTGAATGTATGTGATGTGTGTCTGTGAGTGACAGTGTGTTTGTCTGTGTGTGTGTGTGTGTCTGTGAGTGACAGTGTGTTTGTCTGTGTGTGTCTGTGAGTGACAGTGTGTTTGTCTGTGTGTGTCTGTGAGTGACAGTGTGTGTGTCTGTGTGTGTGTGTCTGTGTGTGTCTGTGTGTGTGTGTCTGTGAGTGACAGTGTGTGTGTCTGTGTGTGTGTGTCTGTGAGTGACAGTGTGTTTGTCTGTGTGTGTGTGTGTCTGTGAGTGACAGTGTGTGTGTGTCTGTGAGTGACTGAGCGTGTGTCTGTGAGTGACAGTGTGTGTGTCTGTGAGTGACTGAGCGTGTCTGTGTGTGTCTGTGAGTGACAGTGTGTGTGTCCATGAATGACTGTGTGCGTCTCTGTGTGTGTCTGTGAGTGACAGCGTGTGTGTCTGTGAGTGACAGTGTGTGTGTCCATGAATGACTGTGTGCGTCTCTGTGTGTGTCTGTGAGTGACAGCGTGTGTGTCTGTGAGTGACAGCGTGTGTGTCTGTGAGTGACAGTGTGTGATTGTATGAGTGTGTGTGCATGTGTGTGTCTGTGAGTGACTGAGCGTGTGTCTGTGTGTGTCTGTGAGTGACAGTGTGTGTGTCCATGAATGACTGTGTGCGTCTCTGTGTGTGTCTGTGAGTGACAGTGTGTGTGTCTGTGAGTGACAGTGTGTGTGTCCATGAATGACTGTGTGCGTCTCTGTGTGTGTCTGTGAGTGACAGCGTGTGTGTCTGTGAGTGACAGCGTGTGTGTCTGTGAGTGACAGTGTGTGATTGTATGAGTGTGTGTGCATGTGTGTGTCTGAGTGACTGAGCGTGTGTCTGTGAGTGACAGTGTGTGTGTGAGTGATTGTATGAGTGTGTGTGTCTAAGTGACTGAGCGTGTGTCTGTGAGTGACTGTGTGTGTCTGTGAGTGACAGTGTGTCTGTGAGTGACAGCATGTGTGTCTGTGAGTGACAGCATGTGTGTCTGTGAGTGACAGCATGTGTGTCTGAGTGACTGAGTGTGTGTGAGTGAGTGATTGTATGAGTGTGTGTGTCTGAGTGACTGAGCGTGTGTCTGTGAGTGACAGTGTGTGTGTGTGTGTGTCTGTGAGTGACTGTGTGCTTCGGTGTGTGTCTGTGAGTGACTGTGTGCGTTTGTGAGTGAGTGACTGTCTGTGTGTCTGTGAGTGATTGTATGAGTGTGTGTGCATGTGAGTGTATGAGTGTGTCTGTCAGTGTATGATGAGTGTGTTTGTCAGTGTATGAGTGTGTGTCTGTCAAATCAGTGAGAGTATGTTTGTCATTGAGTCTGTGTGTGACTATCAGTGTGTCTGTCAATGAGTGTCAATCAGTGTGGGTCTGTCAGTGTCAATGAATGAGTGTGTGTCAGATAAATGAGTCTGTGTCTGTCAGTGACGTCTGTGTGTTTGTCATTGAGTGTGTGACTGTCAGTGTGTACAGAGTGTAGTGGAGCAGAGCGCGGTACAGGAGCTTCTGTTTCCTGTACCTGGCCAGACTGACAGGAGGTGCTCACAGAGAGAGCACTCCCTGTCAGTCCGTCCGGGTACAGAAAACTGAAGTTCCTTTAGGGGATCTGCTCCGCTCGGCAATGCAATAATAGAGGTAGGAGGCACACACCAGGAAGTGTGACCACTAAAGGGGTGGGGGGTGCACCAAGGGACAGGGAGGGAATGGGAGAGAAACACCAAGAGACAGGGAAAAAAGGGGGGAGGGGGAAAGGGGGGAGGGGAGAAGAACACTAAGGGACAGGGAACGGAAGGGACCACTAATGGTCGGGGAGGGGAGAGGGGCTGGTTAAGAGGCACATAGGTGAAGATTTTGGAGGGGGGGGGGGCGGAAAAATGCATCTTCGCCTATGTACCTAAAAATCCAAGCACCGGCCCTGTGCACTGGTTAAGGATGTGTTCATGTCTCGTACATGTCATGTAATTTACATTTAGCACAATAAAAGAACTGTCTCACTTTGAGTGGTGAATACATTGTTGGTGCATTGCTGTTGGATTTTCATATTATCAAATATCTCACCTTTTCTGCAAATCTTCTTGAATAAGTCTCATCTGCTCTTCTCTTTGTTGCCTTTCAGCAGTTTCTCTCTTAAGTAGTTCTCTTTCCTCCCTGTACAATCACATTTGTTAAAAGATTCAAAACATAATATTTACATTTGTGGTTAAAAACTATGGAAGTTTTCATGGTCAATACTACACACTACTCATGTCCTCATCCACGGATCCCAACCACCACTTAGCAATTGCCATTGTGCAATTTATATATATATATATATATATATATATATATACACATATATACACACACACATGAAGATAAAGGTGGATTAAGGAAGCTTATCCTGAGCACTACTTAAATATAGAATAACTGCTTTTTAAAGTATAGCAGACATCAAGATATGCAGTCATTAACCTGTCTTTCCTTCTTTAGACCCACATAAGGCAGGTGTAATTTTAAGTTACATAATAAAAGGTGTTCATTTTTACTGTCTAGCATTGAAAGCAGGCTTTCCTAATGTTAATCTTTATGGGAAATGTTAAAACCTGCAGCAGTGGCTCATTCCCAGTCATTAAGCGTTATGTTTTATATAATGGAACAGAAACATAACTGGTAATCAAAGACCTCCAATAGCACAGATACCAATTACGGGTCAGCCTTATAGTCAACATAACAGCCAGATAACTTGTTCATTAGCATGATAACAATGGAGAGAACATGTTGTTCTAAAATACAAATGCATAGAAATGTAGACTTTTCAAGGATAAAAACTCCTACTTTTGTTATACTTAGAAAAATCCTTCCACGGCATAGAAACAATGTATCAAAAAAGTGTGACACTGTGGCTACACCATTCATTGGTGTCTACGAATATGTAAGGCACGGAGGATGAGATCAGGGTAATGTATAAATAAAGAAGGAGAGCCTACATTTCTAAGCGTTTGGACTTTGGCATCTGCTTGGTACCTATTGTGGTGCAAATCTGTGGACCTTGGATTATATACTCCTGGAGTATTGGAAAACTATTGAACAATTACTTAAACAACTGAGCAGGTGAGAACACCTATGAATATATTGTCTCAGTATGCTGTTCTACTCATTCCATGAGTACATACAAAACGTTGTAGTTTTGTTCCAAGTTTCCTGGAAGACTGTTGGCCTAACAGTTCCAATAGTCATTAAAGACAACTGTTTTGAAGATGTAATAATGATCTGTTGTTGTCAAGGGCATCTGGTTCTTTCCTCCCAATGCTAAAGATCTCAGTATTATTTTTTTATGCTGGGACAGGATGGTATTAATGCTTTTGATGAAATAAAATTGTGCTATAAAAATATTTGTCTCTGACACTATATTATTTATCAGTATTGGATGCATAATACAACTTCACAGTATCCCGGTGTTTTATGAAATAATTATTCCCTTAAGGTTTGCCTTGTGCACCCCTAACTTGCACAGTCTCCCTTTACAATGTTATAAACATTACTTTCTACCAAGTTTTATTTTAAAAAGAGTTCACTATGGAGAAAAATGCATTTACCTTGCTTTTCGTCTATCCTGGGGTCTGGTTCTTGGTGGGATGGTAACTCTTGAACGATGACTCCATTGTGGGATGGCTGAAAATAAATGATTAACTATAGGACCATAGTTTGTATTGACTTAAGGGGAACCCATCATAGGCAATACATGCATATACCTAAATTGTGTATTTTTTGATTATTGATTTTAAGAGCAAGATTTTATTTATCTGTATAAATGCCCTGACAAGCAGACTTGTTCAATTGTAATTTTCATAGGTCAACATTTATTTGTTTATTTATGTGTGCTTCTTGTCAGTCTAATTTATGGATGAATCCACCATAGATCCCTAAATTAAGGCATATCAAGACTGTTCATGTTCGAATATGACACTATCCTGCAATTTAGTGACATGTCAAGCCTCAAGTAATGTAAGAACACCTGGTAATTTATTGAAAGGAGTGAGGATGTATTATACAATAATACATAAAGATATGCAACATTGTAAAAGAACAATTCTTCACTGAAGGACACAATGCATCACTAAACTTTCATTTTTTTTTAAATTCCCCCATTGAAATTTTTGATACAGTGGATTAGATATTATTGGGGTAGATAACTGAACCACATCTCTTGTAGAATTGTACTGTTTTCTTTTAATGTTTCACATATTTCTATGTTCAAATACATAGCACACATTTTCTTAAACTTTTCCATAATTTCATGTTTTATAGATAAAAGCAATATGTCTAGAAAAATCAATTTAGAAGATTACTCCTTAACAAAGAATAATGCACAATGACTGACCTTGAGTTGGATCATACACTGGGTACAGATTGTTTTCGCCTTTGTTTAGTAGGCCAAATAGCTCAGTATAAAAATGTTTATTTATTATCATCTGAAACTCTTGGACAGATAACGCGGGGCCTCGTGTTTTCAGAACTGATTCCATTTCATGGAGCTGTATTAAAGAAGATTTAAATATTAATTGTTTTGAGAACTTGTAGCAGTAAATAAGATGGATACTGACAGAATGTGTTAAAGGATCACTATGGTGTCAGGAAAACAAAGCTGTTTTCCTGACACTATAGTGCCCTGAGTGTGACACTATAGTGCTCTCAGGGTTCCCCTCCCATGGCGCTGAAGAGGTTAAAACCCCTTCAGTTACTTACTTTAATCCAGCGCCAGGCTCCCTCGGCGCTGGTGACCTCTCCTCCCCCGCCGATGTCAGCTCCCTCTGCCGACGTCAGCGGAGCTGAATGCGCATGTGCGGCAAGTGCTGTGCGCGCATTCAAAGTGTCCACAGGAAAGCATTTTTCAATGCTTTCCTATGGACGCTCTGCCCGATGGAGGTGAAATTCGCCTCCAACGTCGCAGATGCGCCTCTAGTGGCTGTCCGGAAGACAGCCACTAGAGGCTGGCTTAACCCCAAATGTAAACATAGCAGTTTCTCTGAAACTGCTGTGTTTGCATCTGAAGGGTTAAAACCTGAGGGACTTCATTGAGCTGAAGTTGTCTGGGTGACTATAGTGTCCCTTTAATGTCTTCCAACATTTAATGTGTATGAAGTAACTGTTCCACATAATGTGGATCATGATCTGTTACTAGTTTTACCCAGATGCTAGCACAGAGCTCCAGCATGATAGTACATTACTGATCAGTGTAGATTTGGATAGTCAGTCCTACTTCATCAGGGTAATTCAACAGATTTTGTCCAATTGGTAAAATCCAGTGAAAATGGAACAATGTATAGGAGTCAGAATATTCACAAAGTATCGATTTTAAATTAAGTCAGGACCAAATGCATCCTGCAGGATGCATATTCACAAAGACTAAGTAAACAATATTTGCTGCTTGTGCTGCCAGTAGACAGATAATTAGGATTTTAAAAATCCAGGCCCAATTTGAAGCATCCTGGCTCAGATTTTAACAATCCAGGTCTGGATTTCAGACATCTGGCACTGTTTGGCAAATTGAAATCCAGATCATCTTCAGGGTCATTCGGAGCCTTGTCTGCAAAAGCCAGACATTGTTAAATGGAATGAACAATATCCTAATATTGCATCCTGAATGGCCCCACATTGAATGGGGCAAAACCAGCTGGTACTGTATGGCATCATTCAGAATACAAAACCTGGATTTTGGTGAATAATCCTGCATGTTTTTCTGCACTGATCTCTTGAGATTCTTATATTTATCATCCTTCTCTTATGTTTGTGAGCACCATTGTTCCTCTGAGTTTCCACTTCTCGTTCCTCATAGTCTTTTAGCTTTCACAGTGACATCTCTACAGCGTCTTTATGCATGATCCACATCTCTTTTCCCCGGTGTCAGCCCAGTATTACGTCTGTCCTACTTTCTCTTTCATACCCCATGCCTCTCAGCTTCCTTTCAGCCTAACATTTCCCCCTGGTCCTTCTTGCTTTTAACAAATTACCTCTCAACCTTCAATGCCACATTTATTCATTATATCCACTTTCAAACGCACAATTCCTTTATACTGTATTATAGATCCTACTGCCAAAGATCATTAATTTCAGAGAACTCAGAGAACTCTTGGTGACTGCCTGGTGACTGTCACTGTAGACAGATGGACTGCAGAGTTGCATAATGCAGTACTTCAAAGCTAATATGCAAAACCAAATGCTTCTGAGATTCATGCACAGTTGAGAGAAACAATAGTTATTGGTTATGTTATTGATCACACATGAACGGAAGTTCAGTAGAATTGTGTTTTTGTTTACTTCACTGCACTGCCCATCACAAAGCATCTCAGTAGTATTTATATGGAGGCGCGGGAATCAGATGTAACAGTTCCACAATAAACATATAGTGCAATATATGTGTTGAGATCTTGTCACGTCCACTCTGTTGGATGTTATGCCTCACAGAAAACTAAATGCACCCCTAGTCTTCACTGGTTTTACTTGGTGAAATCTACCGGTGGTCTCTCAGACAAAATCTTTTCACGAGTTGCTTTGAGTCACAATGTTTACAGATAAGAGAAATATTTGGTTTATGTACTGACGTTTAATTACCAGTCATATGTTGTACTTACCGAGCTGCAGCCATTTATATGATCACGCAGTAAAATAAGTAATGCAAAGCTCATGGCGGGCAGGCAGTTATAAGCTGGCTGATCAAGGCCAATAATATACTGGTCCCAAACGTACATTAAGGTGTTGACGTTTAAATAACCTGGAGCAAGAAAAAACATAAATTATTAGAATTATTGTTAGAAGTATATATATACATGGGCTAAAAACCTGTATCCCTAGGGTTTCAATTAGTATCCTTCTCAGGAAATCTCTAGCTATTAACATTGTTGTTGAGGTAACACTTCACGATGCATCTTGTATTACAGGTTTGATACTGTATGCATTATATGTATTTTATTGGGAATGTAAGCATTGTCTGTTTCACTAGAACATCCAATGAATAAAGATTGTCCTTTTACACATAAGGTATGCTTGGATTATTCTCTTTGTTCCATACATTTTGGCCTACTTCTGGGAAAGAGACCTGTACCCTTGCATTGCTAGCCTTGCATGATCCTGGTGTGATGTGTTAATTTGTTCTGATTTGTAATCATTTTGTATAGAGAACAATCAACCTGATCCAATCAGGCTATGTCTACATTTTGTAAGAAATCCATGAATTCTCCTTTATTTTAGCTAATTATCTAAACTTTGAATTACTCTTATATTGCAGACACATTGTCTCACTTTGCACCAAGTGTCCTCCCAAAGTCTGGTCTAACCTTCAAATTATCTTTGCATTCTATATCTTCCATTTCTAATTTATCTATGTAAACACTGTTTACTTTGTGATATTATTCTCTACTTCCTTAGACCCTGAGTTTGATTGATGAGGGCTGTCTTCATGTCTTGTTCTAGTTTTGGCACAATATTTAGTATTTATTTCCCCTCTGCATAGGTCTTTGAATATTAGATAAAATAATAATCTTTAAATATAAAACCCTAAACCTGTAAGACCAGGGTTGCTCATTGCTCAAGCTCTGGCCCTTTAAACCATTTGAAATGAATCAGAATAATTAGACGATTTCCTACCAACAAAGTAGACACGGAGAACTGGCTGCAGCAACGTGTGTATTCCTGACCGTAGAGCTTCCTCTGGGGTTATATCTACAGAAAACAGAAATAAATATACAGATAATTATAAAGAATTATTTCTGTCTTTCCTCCTCCACTTATTTGGCATAGAACCAAGATGGACCCACTCTGTACCAGGATAATACTAAATAAAGCAGTGTAAGTTTCTACATTATCAGAGTTCAAAAAGAATTTAAAATTTAATGTCAAAACAGTCAAACTGGAAATATTCTCTAACTCAGCTATGCTACCAGTATAACACGTTTGACCTTAAATTTTAAAATTCACTTTGAATTCACACTTTCGTGAATTACCTTGTTAATTTTATTTTGAATATCTCCCAAACGCATAACGTATAAGGCAAAAGTAAACAGTATATTCTAGGACAGTGGTAGGCAACCTTTTAGCAGCACTGTGCCGATTTAGGATTGTGATGTCCCGTAGCGTGCCGGTCCTATTTTTTTTAAATTAAGGTGTGTATGCTGCCGTATTCTGCTTGTGTTATTTATACTGTAATTGCTTTGTATCATTGTATTTGTGTGTATAGGAGCTATTATATTCTATATGTTCATTAGTAGTTTATGGTATCGTGTATGATACGTATGAATGTGGGCTGTGTATGGGGGTTGCTTGTGGAATTGTGTGTGGATGGATAAGTCACATTATGTGTTTGGTAGTGTGTGGGGGCTGTTTGGTGTATTGCATGTGAGAGGCTGCATGTGGGGTTGTGTGCAGCATGTATGTGGATTGTTAGCGGGTTACGTTTGTGCGGATTGTGTGTATGTTTGTTTGTGGGCTGTCGTATTATTTGTATGAGGGGAGGGTTATTCTGCATTTCTGTGTATATCTAGCAGTGTAGGTGGCTTCCCTGGGTTCCAGTCGGGACCAGGCTGGCCTGGTGCAGGTCAAGGACAGGAGCTGCAACAACAGCTGTGGGATGCTCTACTACAGATCCGAGATCACTTCCTCTACGTGCTGCAATGCATAAATTGAGGATTGTCCTTCACCACCTTTTCGTATTAGCAGATATCTGAAGTTTTACTGGGACTCCTGATAGGCCAGAGCCTGTTTGGCTCTAGCAGCCTGGAGTGCCGTGCAAAGACACCTTGAGTGCCGTGCATGGCACTAGTGCCGTAGGTTGCCCACCCTTGTTCTAGGAAATGAAAATTTGCCTTCAAGCAATACATGTTTTTATTAATATAAAAAATTCTAAATTTAAAGAGCCACTAAAGTCACACAGGCCACTTAATTTCAATAAAGTGACCAGGGTGCAGTGGTCTTGTCCTTTTGTGTTTGTAATGTTTTATTGTCAGATTTTTAGAAACTACAACATTTAAAAGGCAGGGTTAAATCCACCTCTGAAATAAGACTGATTGAATGCTTTCCTATGGGATGTAAAAAGCTTTATTTTAAGAAAATGTATTGATAAAAAGGTGAGGAGGGGCTCAATAACTAGGACAGGAACACTAAAGCATTATGAAAACAGGTTTGAATTCCTATCATTATAGTGTTCCTATAAGAAGATTTGTCTTCTGAACAAAAACAATAGACCCATGTTTAAATTGAAATATGAAGTAAAATATGTTTAAACTATATGTAGGTCTGTGTCACGGTTCTCACCTGATAGACAGACGGCAAGACGTGGTCGCTCTTGGAGTTCCCAACAGGGGACTTGAACCGGGGATCTTCTCAGTCCTGGTCCTGCTTTCTACCTCTGAGCCACAGCAGCTATTTACAGCGAAGACTGATTCCAATCCTGTTCATCCTGACATGGCTACTACTCTGGGGGCTGCACCTTGACTTGGCTGTGTTTCACCTGACTCTGATCAGTCATCAGCAGGGTATATAAACCCAGCCTCGCCCTGTGCTCAGTGTCAAGTCCTTGATCCTGTTTGTTCCAGTGTTCCTGTTTCATCGCTTCGCATTATTGACCCCGGCTTCCTGACTCGTTTATTCTGACTTCTGGCATCCCTTGACTTCGGCTACTCCTCGTTGTTCCTGTCCTCTGGCATCCTTTGACCTCGGCTATCCCTCGACCATCCTGCTGGTTCAGTCCTTGCCTGTCCTGCGTATTGGTACTGCATCCTGCACAGCCCCCGTGCACAGACCCACAGGCCAGGTGAATTCTTACCTGACCACCTCGGCCTGTGGCTATCTGCAAGGGTGAGCATCATATCTGCGCTACAGACTCCCAACTCAGGTAAGACCCTGACATAAGGACTTGACCATTATGGAGTCCGCAGAGATGTGCTCACCCTCGACCCAGCGTGTGTCCAGCCTGGCCCAGACTGTTTCGGAGCTGCAGCAAGAAATTTTATTCCTTAAAGGCGCAGTACATCCAGCCCCGGAACCAGCTTTTCCTGAACCGTTTGTCATCATGCCCGACCGATTTGATGGTAGCCGCACATCCTTTCAGTCTTTCAAGATGGATTGTGAGGTGTTGTTTTCTTTAAAGCCTCGAACATATGCCACAGAATTCATCAGGGTCAGAGCGGCTATCAACCTGTTGTCTGGACGCATCAAAGTTTGGGCTCACCAAATGTTGCAGACGAAGAGTCCTGTCCTGGTCAGCTGGGAATCCTTTAGTACTGCTATGGACTCACAATGTAAGACCACTGTGGCCAAGTCAGCTCCACGTACTAAAAAATCTCAGACTCTTCCTAACCTAGAAACCGAGTACCACCACTACGCCCCAGAAATGCCTCCTTATGTTCCAGCTCCCAGGAAAACTCCAGAGGTATCCGGTGTTCCACTTGACCCTGTGGAACCTATGCAATTAGGACTCGTCCACTGCAAAGTGACACCTAAGGAAAAAGACCGAAGGAGAAGCTATGGCCTATGTTATTACTGTGGAGAAAAAGGGCACTTCATCACGCTTTGTCCTGTTCGCCCTCCTAGACCTCCAGCTCTCCGACTTGGTACTAGTTTCCTTCGCCCTGTGTACACCGCATACCAGCCTAAAAAGCCAAATAGAAGCCGTTGTGCTTGCACATGCTTGGCTTCCGCGAGAAAACCTCCATCCCCTGCTCCAGAGCCTCCTGCATCTACTCCCGAAGTTGCTTCCTGTGATACCACCACTACTTCCTGCCCGCCCGAAGAGGTTTTACCTGTGGATTGTGCCGTTGCTTCTAATGGCACTATAGTCCGTAAAGAAAACCTTGAAATGTTCGAAAAAGCATTGTTAGCTGCGAACACTGCTCCTGCCAAAGTTTTGGAAGTGCTTGCCACCTGTACCCGGAACCTAAAAGACCTGGACAATTCTCCAGCCGTACCAGAAGCTGGTACTGCGGACTCCCAAGCTGTAAAGGGAATCCTTGCTGGGGAGTTTGACTATGGGGACTCACTGGATTCAGATAGTGACCCTGGAGAGGTGTACTATGCTGACAATGAACCCATTCACGCCCGGAGGTCGTTTTTAAAGGGGGGGGTACTGTCACGGTTCTCACCTGATAGACAGACGGCAAGACGTGGTCGCTCTTGGAGTTCCCAACAGGGGACTTGAACCGGGGATCTTCTCAGTCCTGGTCCTGCTTTCTACCTCTGAGCCACAGCAGCTATTTACAGTGAAGACTGATTCCAATCCTGTTCATCCTGACATGGCTACTACTCTGGGGGCTGCACCTTGACTTGGCTGTGTTTCACCTGACTCTGATCAGTCATCAGCAGGGTATATAAACCCAGCCTCGCCCTGTGCTCAGTGTCAAGTCCTTGATCCTGTTTGTTCCAGTGTTTCTGTTTCATCGCTTCGCATTATTGACCCCGGCTTCCTGACTCGTTTATTCTGACTTCTGGCATCCCTTGACTTCGGCTACTCCTCGTTGTTCCTGTCCTCTGGCATCCTTTGACCTCGGCTATCCCTCGACCATCCTGCTGGTTCAGTCCTTGCCTGTCCTGCGTATTGGTACTGCATCCTGCACAGCCCCCGTGCACAGACCCACAGGCCAGGTGAATTCTTACCTGACCACCTCGGCCTGTGGCTATCTGCAAGGGTGAGCATCATATCTGCGCTACAGACTCCCAACTCAGGTAAGACCCTGACAGTCTGGCTGTTTCCAAGCTCTCTGGGTATTGCTGTAGTGCTCCAGTCTTGGATATATACTCATTTATCATGTAATCAGTGCTGCACCTATCCCGAGGGCGGCACTTTCAAGAGGGGTATCAAAAAACACTATCCCCCAATTCCATGCCACCTCACCGGCAACCATACTAATCAACAAAGGGCTGTCATTTACAGTCCACACCCAAGACATTGATGATCAGGGACGTTATGTCTTTATAGTGGGAATGATAAACAATATCTTATACACAATCGCTAACATTTATGCTCCCAACACGAACCAACTGAACTTCCTGCACCAGGTCCTTCATAAACCATCCAAATTCCAACAAGGGATCCCTATTGTCCCTATATCCCTATAGTATGTGGTGATTTCAACCACGTCCTGGATGCAAAGCTGGACACAACATTTTCCCCAAGGGGTTTACATTACAGACCATTACACTGCACTGTAAATCGATACAGAAACTACTTTCCTTATACCGTGTATATGATATATGGAGGCTCTATCATGCAACAGAGAAATCATACACATTCTACTCCTCGGTGCAAAACACCTACTCCCCTATAGACAATTTCCTTATGTTGGGGTCAGCCCTAAACCAAGTGGTTCGCTGCAGCATAGGGGTCATAACGTGGTTGGACCACCATGCGCCGGTCACGCTGGAACTCAGAGACCATTATGAATATAAACAACGCAGCCCCTGAAGGCTGAATATCTCACTCCTGCAGGATGAGACTTTCACTCAGGAACTTAAACAATCCCTAACTTCTCAGACAATGATACACAAGACATGTCCCCTCAGACCATATGGGTGGCACACAAAGCGGTAGCTAGAGGCATATTGATTCGTAGGGCATCCTATTGAAAAAAAATGCTTTAGTGCTAAACTCTCGTCCCAACAACAAGAACTATATTGCCTCACTATCCAGAACCAATTACACCCATCTGCAGAGCTATGCTCTCAAATTACCTCTATTATGAGGCAATTACACCAACAAGCTTTAGACGCAGTGGGATTTCAGCTGCACCGCCTCAGAGCTAAATACTATATGCAGGGCAACAGGGCGAGCAAACTACTGGTCAATAGATTAAAAACTTTACAGGCGAACTGGAAAATTGACTACCTCCTGGCCAGGAATGGTTCCAAAGTAATGATACCTAGAGAAATCAGCAAGTCTGCAAGGTACTTTAGTGCCTTAGATAACTTGAACAATGACCCGAACACCCCAGAGCCTCTGGAGACTCACATAAATGCGTATCTCAACAAGATCAAACTACCCACACTAAGTCCCCAACTAGAAACCACGGGGCCCCGGTGCGAAAATTGCCCTGGGGCCTCCCCATACATCTACCTCCTAAGCCACATATCCCCATCCCCCCACACATACAGACAAACAGATACACATGCAGACACATACACACAGACACACACACATACACACAGACATACATACAGATACATGTAGAGACACATACACTCATATACACACACTCAGACATATACACACATACACTCACAGACACACACACTCACAGACACCACACACATTTACAGACACATACACTTACAGTCATACACACACACATACACTCAGGCACCCACACATAGACTCAGACACACACACATACTCAGACACACACACACATACACACAGTGAAACACACATACCCTTACAGACACATACACTTACACACACATTTACAGACACACTCAGACACAGTGTGCCATATGCCTGGGTGCCATATGCCCCCTGTTTTAACCCTGCTGTTGAAAACATTGCTGTTCTGCAGGAATGGCAATGTTTCTATTGCCGAATAAACCTGCCTCTAGTGTCAGCCACTAGAGATGCTTCTGTAAAACAGCAGAGTAAAACCAATCTAATCTAATCTGTGCAGCGCAGTGTTTTGCCGTACATACGCACTAACCTCTCAATGCTTCACTATGGAAAAGCATTGGATTGGATGAGATCAAGCAGCTTGATAATCTCAGCCAAAAATGCGGGGCCAGCTGTAGAAAGAGCAGCGTGGCCTGGGAAAAAAGGTAAATGTACTTTGAATCCTCATGTGGGGGGGATGGGGGTGCAGGGCACTATAGCGTTACAAATGCACATTTGTATTCCTAATGCTATAATGTACCTTTAATGGGCTAATGATATACTGACATACAACAATTTCTCTTTTCCTTTCTTCCAAACCATTCCAAAAAGTACAGTTAGAGCTGAGGGATAGAATTTATGACCAGAGTATGTAACCCCCTGTAGCAGAATGGGCCTTGGGACGGTACCCTTATGACTGTTCTGGGCTTTCCATGGCGGTTTTCCCCCTCCCCGTTGTCCCCTATGTTTGGGACTTGCAGTCCCTGTGTGAGACAAATCTCCCTCTTATTAAAACCCCATGCTTTTCCCCTGTTTCACCTGGCCTTTCATTAATTTCCGGTCCCCTGAGTTGCTCCCACGGTTCTGGTCGACAATCGAACAAACTACCAAATGGCAGGCCACCCAGATGTGGAGTGTGCAGCTCATTAACATCAATAAACCCGTTCACACCTCCACAAACCGCAACTACATGAACATTCCAAGCAGTCGGCTTGGTGGCCGCTATTCATATGTGCGAACACGTGGTGGTGGCCATCTTGGAATACGAACAGAGACAGCAGTGTTTGGTCGTCGAGTGTATGGAACTAAAATCATCCACTTGACAGCACAAACACCGCTGGGACTTCCACCTTCTGTTCCATTCGTAGAAATTCATGCGAATAGAGCGCGTGTTCATGGGGAGCAACCTCCCGAACTAGATATTGATACGAAGAGACACACGAACAGTTGTTATATTATATTCTAAGTATTTTGTACTCCCTAAAGAGACCGACCACACAGCCTATTATCATGGAACCTTTTTGGGCAGGCGCCTCGTGTGCGGTCGGTTTAAACTATACTCCGGTGGCGTTTCAGCTGTGTTCATGGGATCTTAGCGCTTTTCAGATATATTGGGCTCACAGACCCAGGTTATCCGGGGATATTGTACATGAGGGGGTACCTTATGGGGAAATGTATATTTTGGGGTGTTAAAGGTCCTGGACCTGAGAGGTAATGTAATATTGTGTACTCTGCTTCAGTCTACTCTCAGGTCCAGAGGGGAATGCCCATGGAATATGTATCTGGAAACCCCTTGCATGGGGATTCTCATAACAGGCTGTGGCTCCATTAAAATCAGTGTTGTCCAGTTGCTGGGAAGGTGTTTTCCTGTATTTGTCTGTTTCCTTGGAATATTCTACTTGTTCCTGAGCGCATCTTGGAATACCAGCGGAGGACAGTCCCTGCTAGGACTAGCTCTCTGCTACACCCCCCATCAATCTTGGGCAGACTGGAACATATAATTTAAGGCACAATTTTACTTTCTTCCCTGCAACTAAGAATCTTCATTTGATAACTGTAGCTTTAACACCCAATTTAACTTCCATCCCTGCAACTAAGAATCTTCATTTGAACACTGTAGCTTTAAGGTATGGACTGGGATTCAGAAGATACCTCACCAGATTCCTTCCACCTTTTTACTACATATAAATTTACTATTACATTGTTACCATTTTTACTTAGAGTTTACCACTGTAATATTTGTACTTGCCGTTACCTGTAGTAATTAATAATCTTGCTGATTGGATTTAATTGGTAAATATTTTAATATGTGCAACAAATGGCTAGTCCGTACCACCACTCCTCTCCCCTGAACATCCCTCTGCTTGTCACTCCTAACAGTAAATTCCTTTATATAACTGTTCATGCTTCTTCCTCAGGCCCAATTTAACTTCCATCTCTGCAACTAAGAATCTTTATTTCTACTCTGCTCTACCCACCCTGGTTCCTTCTAATTATATAGCATGACTCCTCCAGCTGTTTCCAAACACAGTCAATCACCTCCTCATTCCCTTCGCATGTTATCAATCACTGCAGTCACACTATAAATTCTCTCTGCCATCACCTTCAATGTCCTCTGCTACCTCTTGTCCCATTTCCCTATAAGCTCACGGGCAGGGCCATCTACCTTTTGTATCGGTCTGTTTATATTGTATTGTTCTCCCAATTGTACAACGCTGCGGAATATGTTGGCACTTTATAAATGCCAGTAATAAATAAATATATATATTTTGGTGCTGCACTCAAATTGAGGGATACAGCAATTTATAGTTTTGCTTCACACTATGAATAATGTGTGTTTTTTGTCTACTGAAACTCACAAAAGCCTAAAGTGACTGCACGTGGAGGAAATGAGGATGTGAGATCCAACCTTATTTTTAAATCCTGTTCAGAGCAAACTTTAACTATTGACAAAACAGTTGATACCATACTCCATTATTGTTGAGTTATGTGCATTTTTGATCTGCTGAAAATACTAAACAAACAGCACATGTAGTAAATTACACAACGTCACAGGCTTTATCACTAAAATGACTGTTCTATATCTAAGGTACACAACCGCTCATCACCTGTTATACTGTACGTGACTTTACCTTACCCGTCTAACACTTCCCTGTAATCTATTGTAGTAACCTAAACACACAGAACAAGAAAGGTGAGCAGCGCACTAAAATAATTTTTGTGACAGTGTACCACAAATGGTGATATATATTAACATATAAAAATTTAAATATACTCTTTTAGAGATTCCAGGGTGGTCACTATTGAGATAAAATACACAATCTCATAGGGTAATACAGCAGGTATAATGAATAAATAAAGAGGTAACAAAGCACTAAAAGGTATCACACTCACATTTTCTAGAGCCTGTCTATAACACTGGCTCAGATATATACGCTTGAGTGTGATATGCAGGATGTTCCACCAGAGTCTATTGATAGCAGCTTTAATCATCAGGAGTACAAAGTTAAAGAGAAGTACCAAATATAAGATAAAGTTTACATTTTATTTATACAACAAACATAAAAACCTTACTTTCCAATTTGCTTAGTGCCATAAAAGTCCACAGCCTTAGCGCAAGGCCTTTCAATGCAGCCTGCGTCTTCCTCAGGTGCTAGGTGCTTGATGTTGCCGGTATCCCATTTTGGCGCAAAAAATCAGATATTGGCGCAAAAATCACCGGTTCCATCATCAGTGATATCCCTTCCGATTTCACCAACCGGACAGAGTCATCATCTTGGTACACCCGAAAGTGTAACGCATCATATCCGGTTTCCGTCGGAACAGTGATTACCTTAGATGCTATTTCCAGTTCCACCTGCCGGATAGAATGGCCATATTGGTACACCCAAAGGTGTACCGCTTCATTATAGGTTTCAGCCAGAACAGCTAAATCAGCCATATCACATATCTCAATTCAAACATCCATATTAGGACTCCAACAAAAATGTTCACATTGATATAGTAAAATATTAAAGATAATACTCCATACGTGTGTAGGGGAAAAAAGGGAAACATAGAAACATAGAAACATAGGATGTGACGGCAGATAAGAACCATTCGGCCCATCTAGTCTGCCCAATTTTCTAAATAAAACAAGGGATAAACAGTTCATTTCGGTTTTGTTCAATAATTTTAAGTGGTCCCCTCTCTCCAGGGTTAATCCACTTTTTGAATACCAATAAAATGTAATGAGCTAAAATCACCATTATGGTATACAGAGGAGTGAAAAATTTAAGGCAAGTATTAACGAAAAGTTGTATTGCAAAAGAAAGTTTAGGAGGAAGAGATCTCACTGGTAGAGAGATAAAAGTTATACTGATCCGAGAATTGAAAATAAAATGGGAGATTTTCATCTTAGAGAAATATCTAAAGGAAGAGATAACTCCCAGGGATACGTTTTAGCAAATTCCCCGGGAGAATGACTCCTTGATCTCCATCTGGAATATAGCCATGGAGTCTTTTTCTGTTACTTTGATGAAAATTATTGGTGAATAGAGAAAGATTTCCTTGGGAAAACTAGTTGGAGCGATTAAAGTATAAGGGAGAAGTTAGAAGAACTTTTGTATGAACTAAAGACTTTGAAGATATATCCTCAATAATTTCTAACTTGACAAATTAGAACAGGATATTTTAAACATAAAACAAAAGAAGTATCAAAGAGATACAGATGACTACAAGAAGGGCAACATAAGAAAAAATGGGAAAAAAAGGATAATTTTAAAATTAAAAGAAATGAAAATCACGGTAACTTGGCCAGAAGGAGAAGAAACTCAGAGAAAACTGAAAAAAAAAATATTCTGAAATATCAGCCTAGAGTTTATGATAACAGACGAAACAGAATGAGGTTGTTAGAGAAAGAAATGAGGATAAATGGACTGAAGTAAGGAGAGAGAAACAGAGAAAAACAACTGTTACTTCCCCTCGGTTAAATAGAGAACCTGAAACCTCGAATTACAGGAGAACAACCCATTTTTCATCAAATAGGAAGCAAATGCCCAATGACAGGCCCATTCATACAAGGAATAGATATGAACCCTTGTGTTCAGTGGGGGAGGAGGTTTTTATAGGGAGCACGAGATCACAAGACTTGAGGCCGAGAACTCCCCATTCACCCCTAAAAGAAGGAGAGAGTCAACAGAAGAGGGAAAAGAGGAGGGAGGAAGACAAAGAAGAATAAGGGAAAACTAGTGGAAGATGTAGAACCTATAAAAAAAATGTTAATTTATCTAACAAAGCTTTAAATTTTAATCAACATAAGGTTTAAGAGAAAGGTTTTAAATTTGCTCCAAGCTGTGGTTTAAACAAATTCGAAATATTTATTGACCTTAACCATTATATGAGAAAATGTGCGTTAAAAAATATTTTTTAAATATAGAAGAAAAAGATAAATATACCAGAGAAGTGGAGGTTTTTAAACATACCAATCTTAAATTAAAATCCGATTTTTTTTCTGTACCATTTAAAAACTGCAAGTATGAAAACATACAGTCAGGTCCATAAATATTGGGACATCTACACAATTCTAATCTTTTTGGCTCTATACACCACCACAATGGATTTGAAATAAAATGAACAAGATGTGCTTTAACTGCAGACTTTCAGCTTTAATTTGAGGGTATTTACATCCAAATCAGGTGAACGGTGTAGGAATTACAACAGATTGTATTTGTGCCTCCCACTTTTCAAGGGACCAAAAGTAATGGGGCAATTGGCTGCTCAGCTGTTCCATGGCCAGGTGTGTGTTATTCCCTCATTATCCCATTTACAAGGAGCAGATAAAAGGTCCAGAGTTCATTTCAAGTGTGCTATTTGCATTTGGAATCTGTTGCTGTCAACTCTCAATATGAGATCCAAAGAGCTGTCACTATCAGTGAAGCAAGCCATCATTAGGCTGAAAAAACAAAACAAACCCATCAGAGAGATAGCAAAAACATTAGGTGTGGCCAAATCAACTGTTTGGAACATCCTTAAAAAGAAAGAACGCACCGGTGAGCTCAGCAACACCAAAAGACCCGGAAGACCACGGAAAACAACTGTGGTGGATGACCGAAGAATTATTTCCCTGGTGAAGAAAACACCCTTCACAACAGTTGGCCAGATGAAGAACACTCTCCAGGAGGTAGGTGTATGTGTGTCAAAGTCAACAATCAAGAGAAGACTTCACCAGAGGGAATACAGAGGGTTCACCACAAGATGTAAACCATTGGTGAGCCTCAAAAACAGGAAGGCCAGATTAGAGTTTGCCAAACAACATCTAAAAAAGCCTTCACAGTTCTGGAACAACATCCTATGGACAGATGAGACCAAGATCAACATGTACCAGAGTGATGGGAAGAGAAGAGTATGAGAAGGAAAGGAACTGCTCATGATCCAAAGCATACCACCTCATCAGTGAAGCATGGTGGTGGTAGTATCATGGCGTGGGCATGTATGGCTGCCAATGGAACTGGTTCTCTTCTATTTATTGATGATGTGACTGCTGACAAAAGCAGCAGGATGAATTCTGAAGTGTTAAGGGCAATATCATCTGCTCATAATCAGCCAAATGCTTCAGAACTCATTGGATGGCGCTTCACAGTGCAGATGGACAATGACCCGAAGCATACTGCAAAAGCAACCAAGAGTTTTTTTAAGGGAAAGAAGTGGAATGTTATGCAATGGCCAAGTCAATCACCTGACCTGAATCCGATTGAGCATGCATTTCACTTGATGAAGACAAAACTGAAGGGAAAATGCCCCAAGAACAAGCAGGAACTGAAGACAGTTGCAGTAGAGGCCTGGCAGAGCATCAGCAGGGATGAAACCCAGCATCTGGTGATGTCTATGCGTTCCAGACTTCAGGCTGTAATTGACTGCAAAGGATTGGCAACCTGTTTTAAAAAGTTTAAGTTTGATTTATGACTGTTAATCTGTCCCATTACTTTTGGTCCCTTAAAAAGTGGGAGGCACATATACAAACTGTTGTAATTCCTACACCGTTCACCTGATTTGGATGTAAATACCCTCAAATTAAAGCTGAAAGTCTGCAGTTAAAGCACATATTGTTTGTTTCATTTCAAATCCATTGTGTTGGTGTATAGAGCCAAAAAGATTAGAATTGTGTCGATATCCCAATATTTATGGACCTAACTGTATATTCAATGGAGAAATAAAAGCCCTAAAAGAACTAAGGGAGGACAAAAATTTAGTAATTAAACCAGCCGATAGGGCGGAGGAGTTGTTATCATGGATAAATAATTTTATATTAGTGACCTTTTAATCAATTGTCGGATACGGTAAACTTACTGTAGATTAAAGAATAATCCTGAGAGAGAAATTAAAGAAAAAATTATTACATTTTTAGATGATGGTGTGAAAAAATGTATTTAAACGAAAACTAATATAAATTTTTAAATCAAAACAATCCCATTATACCGGTTATATATATATATTCTACCAAAGTTACATAAAAATCCAATTTACCTCCAGGTAGACCAATTGTAGCAGTGGTGGATTCACTTTTATCCACCTTGTCACAATACGTAGATTTTTTATTACATCCATTGGTGGCTAGAGCTAGGTCCTATTTAAAAGATACTATGAACCTATTACAGATTTTAGATGTTGCCAAATGGTGTGGAGACTGCATACTAGTCACTTGGGATGTGAGCAGTTTACACACCATTATAGAGAACCACATAGGCTGTGCAGTTACTTTTTTTATGGATTATTCAATGGATTTTAAGGAAGAACAGATACATTTTATTATTGACGGTATCTCTTGTATTTTACATAATATTTTTTTCTGGTTTGAGGGAGATTTTTATTTACAGACATGAGGTAATGCAATGGGAACCAAGTTCGCACCCAGTTATGCAAACTTATTTATGGCATATTGGGAAGAGTTATTTATTCTTAACATGACTGGAATGCAAACTTGTTCCTCTATAGAAGGTATATCGATGATATCTTTTTTATTTGGAAAGGTAGCCGTGCCTCGCTGGATTTATTTGTATCTTTTTTTAAATTCAAACTTCTGGGACATAAAATTAACTACCGATATTAGCACCCAGGAGTTTCATTTTTTAGATTTAGAATTTTTATTAAGACTGATGTTATTAAAACGAGTACTTTTAAAAAAAAAAAAAAGGTTAACATTAATAGTTACATAGATAAAAAAAAGTTGTCACTTGGTTGACAAATATTCCCAAGGTCAATTTACTAGGCTTAAGAGTAATTTCAAGGATGAAGGTACATTCGTAAAACAATCACAAAAATGAAAGAAACTATTTTATCAAAAAGGATATGAGAAAGAGGAAGTGGAAAAACAATTGCTAGAAATGTACTCAAAACCGAGAAAAGAACTATTAAAATACAAAGAAAAACATAACAGATGAGCAAATCAGTTTTATTTCTAATTTTAACACACAAAGTCATGATCTTAAAAAAAATAAAATAAAATAAATAGACACTGGCACATTCTCAAACAAAATAAAGATTTAGATGTTTTTATGGGACTCAAACCAAAAATGGAATACAGAGGAGCGAAAAACTTAAAGCAAGTATTAACGAAAAGTTGTATTGCAAAAGTAGGTTTAGGGGATAGGAATCTCAAAAGTACAGAGATAAAAGTTTTTTTTGTTTTTTTTTTAACTGTGGACAGTGTAAAGCCTGTCAGTTAACAAAAGCCAGTACTAAAAGATAGATAAATTTCCTCTAATATGAATAATAGAGAGTTTAAGAATAAATCTAATATTACATGCTATACAAGTCATGTCATATATTTATTACATGTAAATGTGGGCTACAGTATATGGTTAGGACCACAAGACCATTAAAAACAAGAGTTAATGAGCATATATAAAAAATAAGGTTTCAGCTCATTTTAATCAAGTTCATAATGGTGATTTTAGCTCATTACATTTTATTGGAGAGAGGAGCACCATTTGAAATTATTGAACAAAACAGAAATGAAGTGGATTTTCAAATTGGAAACCCTCTCTTCAGAAGGCTTAAACATTGAAATGTATAATTATATTTGAGTATTAATATATCATTTTTAAGTGTTTTTATTTTTATATATTTTTTAGAGTTAACATGAAAAATAAATAAATAAATTATATATATATATATATATATATATATATATATATATATATATATATATATATATATATATATATATATATATATATATTGTGAGCGTAAAAGTGGAATTGTGCTTGATGGAAGATACATCAGGCCTGATTTGTTAAACAGCAACCTGAGAATTTTCAGTTAAATGCCCCAGGGAGAGATGTTAGAGTTTGCAATCTACATTGCTAAGGTTCTGCAAAACATGGTATGGGTCCCTGGGGCAGAGTATTTGGAGAGCAGGGTGGGCCAATGCTCCAACAGCATTAGTTGCTGTGTAACAGACCACTATTTGGATCTGACTTACGAGTTAGTTAATTGGCACTCACCTGTAGCCAGTCAATTAGTAGACAGGCCTTTAAAAGAAGAGGGCAGCCTGCTGCAGAGTGAGGGAGAAAAAGACAGCTAGGAGAGATTGTGTTTATTGCAAAGACATTTCTTTTGTTTGGAAAATTGGTAAGTGGGAAAGCCACCCAATTGCAGATAGCAATTACTGTCTAGTAAGAGCTCAAGTAAGAGCAAGGGATTTTGTTTGTTTTTGTTATTATTTAAAGCACCTGTTTTCTTACTGAATAAAAAGGAAAACCGAGCTGAATGTGTCCTGGACTTTGTATACCCTAGAAGGCTGTGGTTACTGCAAGATCTGTGACAATCCTACCTGTAAAAGAGGTGGTTTGTTACAATATATATAATGTCTTGATGGAGAGCACTTACAGGACTCAGAAATGTTTCAAATAGTGTTTTTTTATTTTAGCATCAAATCTTCAAATACAAAGTGTCGCCGTTTCAGTCCAACCAGACTGACTTTTATCAAGACCATCTTGATAAAAGTCCAGTTGGACTGAAACGTCAACACTTTGTATTTGAAGATTTGATGCTAAAATAAAAAAACACTATTTGAAAAATTTCTGAGTCCTGTGAGTGCTCTCCATCAAGACATCATGTATACTAAGGTCAGAGATTGCACCACCACAAGACCGGGAGCAGTGAGTGCAGGACACGTGGAATTATATACAGCAAGCATGTCAAACTTAAAGTCTGGCATGGGCCATATAAACAAGGTTCAAGGTTTATGTGGGCTGCAAAAAAAAAAAACCTTACATTTTCATAGAAACTTAGGTTTTATTTTTAACCCCAGCATCCCCCTCTACTAAACCACAGCACCCCCTCTAACACCCTGTGCCAAATCTGATCCTCCCGCTGACACACACACATATTCACTGACAAACACACACACATACACATACACTGACAGACACACACACTGACAGACAGACAGACACACACACTGACAGACAGACACACACTGACAGACAGACACACACATACACTGACAGACAGACACACTGACAGACAGACACACTGACAGACAGACACATTAACAGACAGACACACTAACAGACAGACACACACACAGACAGACAGATACACAGGCACACACAGACACACACACAGACAGACACACACACACAGACAGACACACACACACACACACAGAGACAGACACACATACAGACAGACACAGACAGACACACAGACAGACACACACACTGACAGACAGACACACACTGACAGACAGACACACACATACACTGACAGACAGACACACTGACAGACAGACACACTAACAGACAGACACACTAACAGACAGACACATTAACAGACAGACACACTAACAGACAGACACACACACAGACAGACAGATACACAGGCACACACAGACACACACACAGACACACAGACAGACACACACACACACACAGAGACAGACACACATACAGACAGACACAGACAGACACACAGACAGACACACAGACAGACAGACACACACACACACTGACAGACAGACACACATACAGACACATTGACAGACACACAAATACTTGCTGACAGACACACACATACAGACACACACATACTTGCTGACAGACACACACACACACACACACAGAAAGAAATACTCATTGACAGACAAACATACTTGCTGACAGACAGGTACACACACATACTCACTGACAGACACACACATTGATAGACACACACACACACACACACACATTTGACTTTATTGTTCCCTACCTTTAGGAGCCAATGTGGGGCATCTCCCTGGAAGTCTCTTCACTGCTCCCTCACGCGGTTTAGTAATGCAGGAATATGAAGTCATATTTCGGCGCCCGGCTTCACTTCAGTCGGCACGCGCAATGGAACAGTGAGGAGCAGGGACACTGAGCTCCCTCGCTGGTCCTCCTCCCCGGCCGGGTAAGTGTTAGCAGAGTAGGCACCTGCAATGTGGGGAAAGCAGGTGCCTACTCTGCTATAACACTGAGCATGCACTCGCGGCTCGCTGGGCCGCAAAGATGGTGACATGCTTGATATACAGTATATATATATATATATATATATATATATATATATATATATATATATATATATATATATATATATATATATATATATATATATATATATATACACATACACACACATATACACATTGTGATTCTTTTTTCCTGCAACTGTTTGTTCCCATTTTTCCCCCCTACACACAATATGGACATATAGAGTATTATCTTCTTTTAATATTTTACTATATCCATGTGTAAATTTTTGTTGGAGTCCTAATATGGATGTTTGAATTGAGGTATATAAAAAAATGAACCCGAAAAGAGGACCAAGATGGCTGCCGCAACATTTCCAACTACTGATGCTGAGATGGGCAGTGACGTGCTAAGCTCAACATCCATGATAAGGCTGATTTAAAGGACCACTATAGTGCCAGGAAAACATACTCATTTTCCTGGCACATTTCCCTGGCACTCCCACCGGGCTCTGGGGAGAGGAAGGGGTTAAACTTACCTCTTTCTCCAGCGCCAGGCGGGGAGCTCTCCTCCCCCTCTCCTTCCTCTTCTCTTCCTCTTCGGCTGAATGCGCATGCGCGGCAAGAGCCGCGCGCGCATTCAGCCAGTCCATAGGAAAGCATTCACAATGCTTTCCTATGGATGCTGGCGTCTTCTCACTGTGAAAATCACAGTGAGAAGCACGCAAGCGCCTCTAGCGGCTGTCAAGAGACAGCCACTAGAGGCTGGATTAACCCATTTATAAACATAGCAGTTTCTCTGAAACTGCTATGTTTATAAAAAAAAGAGTTAATCCTAGATGGACCTGGCACCCAGACCACTTCATTAAGCTGAAGTGGTCTTGGTGCCTATAGTGGTCCTTTAACTATTCTGGCTGAAACCGGAAATTATGCACTATAACTTCTGGTGTACCAATATGGCCACTCTGTCAGTCAAGCTGAACTGGAAATAGTATCTAAGGTAATCATTGTTCCAGTGGAAACCTCATATGATGCAGTACACCTTTGGCTGTACCAAGATGGTGACTCTGTCTGGTCGGCAAAACCGTAAGTTATATCACTGATGACGAAACCGGTGATTCTGGCACCAATTTCGTCAATTTAAAAAAAGGGGATACCTGCAGCATCAAGCACCCAGCACCTGAGGAAGACGCAAATTCTGTTGAAAAGCGTTGTGCTAAGACTGTGAACTTTTATGGCACTAAGCAAACTGAAATGTAAGGTTTTTATGTTTGCTGTATAAAATACATTTTTACTTTATCTTATATTTGGTACTTCTCTTTTTACTCCTGAGAATTAAAGCTGCTATCAATAGACTCTGGTGGAACATCCTGCATACCACACTCAAGCATATATACTTGATCCAGTGTTATATACAGGCTATAGAAAAGTGTGATACCTTTTAGTGCTTTTTTTACCTCTTTATTTATTCATTATACCTGCTGTATTGCCTTATGCGATTGTGTATTTTATCTCTTTAGTGACCACCCTGGAATCTATAAAAGGGTATATGTTATTATATATCACCATTTGTGGTACACTGTCACAAAAAAATATTTTATTGCGCTTGTTCTGTGTGTTAATGTTTTAGTTATAAAACTGGTGTGATTGGTCTCACGGGGGTAACAAGCAGTACATCATTAGATTGCATGACGATTTTTGCACTTTAAATCTAACGCCAGTAGCTATTACACTATTTTCTATTATTATTATAGTAACTTACTGTTTCCCATACATTAAATACATCTTGTCCTTACCTCTTGTTCCACTTTACCCCACTTGTTCCTGTGTTCACCTATGTTATTGTGCTGTAGAATTTGTTGGTGCTCTATAAACTATAAATTTTATTTCGTAAAATGTTGTACAAGGTTATTCACTAAAGTGTGCACTGTCAAGAATTCAAGGTGAATTCTAATTTTATAACATGACAGGAGGCTTCGTATTTGCTTAAGACTTTCTTTACTTAAGCTTCACAGCAGCACTTTTTTACTTAGTAACAAGGTAACCAATCAGAAAAAAGGATAACAAGGTATATGAGTCCCTCCCAGTGATGTCATTTCCTCTTTCTTTGCTGCTTCACACCAGTACAGGTCAGAGTGCCACTGTCTCCTACTTCTGTGGGTTTCTGTGGTTTATTTATTATCATATCTGTCATCTCTTTATTTCATATTTCTTTATAGTATATATATATATATATATATATATATATATATATATATATATTTTCTCTTTATACTATTTCTGATAAAATAATTTTTTTCCACATCTCTATCTACACTTTGGTATTTCATTGTTTTCTCCCCTTTCTGCTTTTATACTTGACTACTGTCAGTTTTATTATTTTCTACCTTTCTTTAGCCCGGTTTCTTCGAGCTGCATTTTTTGCCCCGTTTTTCCCGGGCTTTTTGGACCGCGGAGTACGCCTCCAACGGTCCCCAGTGTGCACGGCGGCCATCTTGGATCTCGCGCTCTTCCGCGGGATCCAAACGGCTTCCTCACTCGTGCGCATGCGCGAGATCGCGGCGGCCATTTTCTTGGAGCCGCGATCTCCATTTACTCTGGCCGTGCGGCGGCCATTTTACCGCTTATTATAGCGGTTAAATAACGTTATCTAAACACATATCTTTATTCCTTCACATTAATCCATGCTCATTATTTTAATTATAACAAAGTTATTTTTCTGCTTACTCCTTTCTACTGAGGAAGGAGTTTAATTCCAAAGGCAGTTTCATCTCTGTCTCACTCTACTTCCCTCTAGTGGAGGATTATTCATACTGCATATATAATTTATCGTTAATCACTAAATATACCTTATAATTACAACTCATATCTACACTGTGCACGTGTATAAGGTTAAACACATAAGACTAAATTATGATTGCTGTTATCATATACAGCCCATGATTGGCCCGCTTTGTCTGTGCCACTATACCTCTATACGGGTTTGAAAAGTATTCCCTGAGGTGATTTATACTGGGTGACCCCAATTACAGCTTGCAATGTGAAATAATAACATACTATGATATTTGAGACGGCCTTAATCTACACTCTAACACTGGCCTATTCTGCCCCATAGGTACCAACACTGTTGCTATGGAGGCTTCAAATCAAGATCAAAACTTGCAAGCAATTATAAATGCAGCTGTTGCTGCTTCGCTAGAAATGGCCCTGGCTCGGGTGCTGCCCATTGAGCCAAAAGACCCTAAAATTTCTGAAACCCCGCTTTCTGACGAAGATGCGGAGGATTCCGATTCCACAAAAAGAAACCCTTCCAAACCAAATAAACGTTATTGGAAAGGGAATGGGCCTGAACCCCTCAAACGTAAGGGGAAAGAACCGGCGAAACGCCCCAAACAGGTGGATGCTAGAGAGAAACACTCCATCCAGCCTACTCTATCGGAAGAAGAGGAAGACTCTTTCGACTTACATCCATTAGCCATCCTAGATGAATGGCAAGCTGACCACTCCTCAGAAGATGAGGAGGACTGGCCCGAGACATCCTTTAAAGGAGCACCTCTCCCTCAATCTATTACGGGAGACCTCCCAACCGAAGTTACGATACCCGGATCACTTCCATCTGGGGACGCTGAATCCTTTCTGGATACGCTTGGTCAACCTCTTTTTGACCCGAGACAAATTAGATATCCTCGATCATCTGAATGGTGACTACCAGACCATCTTTCCCAGTATATTCATTTTTTGGATCAGAAGACCCCTAGATCGGGAGGTCCGCAAACGATTACGAGCTGAATGTCCTAGACCCACTCTACCGGATAATGTCGCGGTGACCCCGGAGTTTGATACGCTGCTCTATACATATCTGGCCAGATCGGGCCGTGACCCAAAAAAGGGCATTGAACGCAGCCTACGTCTAACCCAAGACAAAATGCTGGATATCCTAGGACCTCTGGCAAAAATTCTTCTACTGGCTGATGAAGCCTTATCTAATGAAGGCCCTCTAGACCCATCGGTGATCAGAGAATGGGCCCTACGCTCTATTTGCCTGCTGGGCAATGCTAATACATCACTCTGTACTGAGCGTAGAAAAGCAGTGCTGCTGCGTATGGATGCCAAGTTAGCTGACTTGGGAACAAAAGAATTGGGCCCCAAAGCACAGGGTCTATTGTTTGGAGAACCCTATATTAAAGAGTTAAATAAACATGTAAACTTATACGCCACACTAAACAAGGCGCAGTCATCCATGAAAAGGGTATTTCATTATCAACCCTCACGGGTTTTTGGCAGGGCTGGCCGTACAAGGGGTCGCACAGTCAGCCGTTTCTGGACCACAAACCAACGCCAGAGAACCCCAACTTCATCTTTCTTCCCCAACTATCAACCAAGAGGCTCTTACTCCCAAAGGGCGGATAGGGGAAGAGGTTACAGAACCCGCGGACGCAGCAGATACCCAACAGGTGAGATTTCCTATCTTTCACCTTTCTACTGTTCATCATGCAGGCAGGTTGTCACACTGTGTAGACATGTGGAAGACACTGTCTTCAGATACCTGGGTCCTAAACACCGTTCAGGGTTATTCCATAGAGTTTCATTCTCTCCCTTCTCAAACAGGTTATCCTCACTATCCAAAAATGGCAAGGTCTCAGAGTCTTCACCTAGATTCAGAACTACATTCTCTTTTAACAAAAGGAGCGATTCAACTCGCTCCATTCGACAAAGGTTTCCTCAGCTCCATCTTCTTAGTCAAGAAGAAATCAGGGGAATTTCGCCCAGTAATCAACCTTCGTCAACTGAACTCTTTCGTTATTTACAGACATTTCAAAATGGAAGGGATCCATCTCCTCAGAGACATTCTCCGACCAGGCGATTGGTTCACCCGTCTCGACCTCAAGGACGCTTACCTTTCGGTACCAGTACACCCATCCAGTCGCCGTTTCCTCCGCTTTCTTTGGCACCACCTAATTTTCCAATTCACCTGTCTTCCATTCGGCCTGAGTTCCGCCCCGTGGTGTTTCACCAAACTGCTCAACCAGTCACCGCACATCTTCGAGAAAGGGGCATCCGTTGTTTAATCTACCTCGACGACCTTTTGCTTCTCTGCGAAGACGTATCCAGACTGCGTTCACAGACGAACTATACATCTGTATTGATCGAATCCTTGGGGTTTGTCATAAACCAAGAGAAATCATCACTGTCCCCATCCAGAGTCATTCAATTTCTCGGCTTCGAGATCGACTCTTCAACCTGTGTTCTTCGCCTACCTCAGTCCAAGTTAACTGCGATCAGAAAGGAGCTACGCATAACGCTTCGTCAAGAGGATTTACCTCTTCGAGGATTAGCTCGGATCGTTGGCCTCCTTTCTGCTTCCATTCAGGCAATCTACCCAGGCCCCCTTCACTACCGGGCCATGCAACGCTTGAAAGCTCGATTCCTCCGGACCCATCCATCATACGACCAGAGGGTCCCGATCACTACAGAGGTGAAGGAGGAACTGTCTTGGTGGCTCCGCCACATGTCGGCCTGGAACGGCAAGGCAATTTTCGGTCCCACCCCGGACTTTGTGGTGGAATCAGATGCGAGCCTCCAGGGCTGGGGCGCAACCTGTCATACAACCTCCACCGGAGGACCATGGACCACCTCAGAACACTTTCTCCACATCAATTGTCTGGAGTTAATCGCAGGCTCGTTCGCAATTCGCAGTTTGACTAGTCATCTCTCAAACTGCTGTATTCTCCTTCGGATGGACAATATCTCAGCTGTCCAATACATCAACAAATTGGGCGGAGCCAGATCTCGCACCCTTTCCGAAGTGACAAAAGACATTTACGAATTTTGCTTCCAACGCAACATCACACTTCGGGCAGAATATCTCCCAGGGGAGACGAACATTACCGCGGATTGGTTCTCCCGATATTGGAGAGACGGCAGCGACTGGCGCCTACACAGAACAATCTTTCTCCACATCTCCAAACTCAGGGGCCCGTTTATCCTAGACCTATTTGCCTCCCGGACAAATTTTCAAGTTCCACGGTTTTTCAGCTGGCTTCCAGACCCAGAATGCTCGGCCGTGGACGCCTTCCTTCAGAGTTGGCCGACGACGGAGCCTATGCCTTTCCTCCGTTTGCAATGATCCCCAGAACCCTCCTTCAGATTCGCAGACAACAGATCACACTGGTACTACTCACCCCGCTCTGGCGGGGCCAAGCATGGTTTCCGGATCTTCTGGACCTCTCCTGCCAAGATCCTCTCCTTCTGCCTCCATGGCCCAACCTCCTGGAGGACCCTCAAGGGAACCCTCATCCAATGATAGCACAAGGCCACCTCCACCTAGTAGCTTGGACTCTTTCAGGGGAACCTGGCACTTCGGAGGACTATCACAGAGATCTAAGGAACTCCTCTGGGATTTGTGGGCCCCTGGAACTAGAAGATGCTATCTTTCCTCCTGGAACGCTTGGTGCAATTGGTGCCTGGAACGGAATACCGATCCCCTTACGGCCCCTAGACAGTTCATATCGAATTTCCTCTCTCATCTATTCGATCTCGGCCTTTCCTACAGATCCATCAACGTTTCCCGTTCAGCCATTTCTGCAGCCCATGTCCCTCTAGACGGGATTCCAGTGGGCCAGGACCAGCTGGTTTGTAGACTATTGCGAGGCATCAAACTGGCTCGCCCCCCTAAACCGAAATACTCTCATCTGTGGGACGTCAATGTCATGATTCGTTTCCTCGAGACTTGGCCAAACAACGAGGATCTATCCCTCCGCCAACTCTCAGCAAAATTCACCCTGTTACTTTGCTTAGTGTCCTTCCGACGAGTATCGGATGTTCGAGCATTTGACCATGACGCTATCAACTTTTCCCCAGAGGGTGTCACCTTTTCTGTGTCCAGACGGACGAAATCTAACTCCTCTTCTATATTTTACCCTTACTTCCTGAACCACCCGAAATTGTGTGTGGTATCTCTTCTTTCTCGTTATTTATTACTCACCTCCTCTCTCCGTCCTTCTTCCTCCAGCCAACTATTGGTCTCATACGTCCGACCGCATAATCCAGTGTCAACCACAACCCTTGCCCGATGGGTTAGGTGGTTGCTCTCCCTAGCCGGGATTGAAACCTCCTTCGGAGCCCACTCCATCAGAGGAGCGGTGGCATCGGGGGCATTCAGCGCTGGAGCCTCTCTTCGAGACATTCTTCACTCCGCAGACTGGTCCCGAGAACAGACGTTCCGCAACTTCTATTTTCGTCCGGCTGTGCACGCTTCCTTGGCCCTTCTCGGGGAGCGTTAAAACAGCAAATACGAAGCCTCCTGTCATGTTATAAAATTGTAGATTATGCTAGCTTTAGTGTACCTATAATCTTAATTTTATTAATGACAGGGGGCGAGTATTTCCCACCACTTTTACCTTCGTTTTTTCCCACCCTAGGGTCGCCCCTGTAGGTAAGTTTCTAAGACAAGAAGGAACTCACAATGCCCTACTACCATGGGGGTTAGGAATTACATTCTAAAATGTATAGATTAAGGTTTTCTAGCAGGCTATAATATATGATTCATATCAACTGGTTATCATATTTTCAAAGTCCAATTCACGGATTAATCCTTGGTTTCGACTCTGCTCTCTCGTTTCAGCGTAAAACTCCCTTAAGAGGTCAAGTCTAGTTGCTGTTACACCGCAAGCTTCATCTCTGCTCTTCAAGAACTCAAGTTACGTTCCGGTTTCCCTCTCAAGTATCATCCTTCTCATCTGGCATCCTGAATCCCTTGTCTGGTTGCTACAGTTCCGGTTCCTATTTGTTCGCAGCCTGAAAGAGGAAATGACATCACAGGGAGGGACTCATACCTTGTTATCCTTTTTTCTGATTGGTTACCTTGATACTAAGTAAAAAAGTGCTGCTGTGAAGCTTAAGTAAAGAAAGTCTTAAGCAAATACTCGCCTCCTGTCATTAATAAAATTAAGATTATAGGTACACTAAAGCTAGCATAATCTACAATTGAATTTAAAGTTACCATTTGATTATTACATGGCAAATGGTAGTCAGAGCAACATAGTCACATCTTTTTATTCTGGCAGTATATGGGATTTATATGCAGTCAATATGAAATCAGTTGACTAATCATTGGTGTAATATAAAAGAACTAAAAAAAAACACATTCATTTATAGATGATTGACTTATTATTATTGTATTATTTATAAAGTGCCAGCAAATTCCGTAGCGCTGTACAATTAGTAAAGGGAAACTATAGTTCCAGGAAAGTTGTTTTCCTGGCACTATAGCTCCCTATTTTGTCCCCCTCCATTGACACCCCCCCACCCCACGTGGTGCAGAAGGGGTTAAAAAAACTCTTCTGTCATCTACCAGACTCCAGCACAGATGTCCCTCTGCACTGGGTCAGGCTCCACCTCCGCTCCTTCTCCTGCCAATGTCAGCTGGTGATGGGCATGCTCGCATTAGAACTTATACAATGCTTTCCTATCGGGTTCGGGTGACGCTTGATGTCCTCGTGCATAGCGTGAGGATGTCCAGTGTCAGTTACCTAATGACCCCGAAGTCCCTCTAATGGCTGTTTGGTAGACAGCCACTCTAGGTGAAGCTAACCCTCAAAGGTTATTATTGCAGTTATTAAAAACTGCAATAACTACCTTTGCATACTTAAGGGACCTGGGACACTCCACCCAGATCAGTTCAATGAGCTGAAGTATTCTGGGTGCCTATAATGTCCCTTTATTCCCACTGGGCTATATCTCCATATGTTTTTCTATTTATGTAATTTTGTTTTTCTATATATGTCTATCTACATTACAGGATATTTAAAAAATCTTGCGAGAAACCACCACTCTCCTTGTGCTGAGTATATTATTATTATTATTATTACACACGGTGGTGTTAAAGGAGTAATTATAATTAAGGGTCTATAGTAAACACTTTTTGTTGACTTTCACCTACCTTGTGATGTGCACATTGCTTGTATTGTTTGTGCTAGTTTCTTGTCAAGCTTGTCTAATAAATGTGCAATATCCTGGAATATTCTGTCATCAGTGTGGGGATCCTGGTATCAAACAGTGATAAATACATGATGATATTAGAGAAGGATGGTGTAAATTGGTTCAAATCCAATACTGTAATAAAAATGTGGTCATAGCGTACGTTCCTAGGACATAAGCAAAACATTTTTAAATTTTAAAAGTTACTTGCTCACTTTACCAAATCTCTGTGCACATTTAAATAACAGGAAGTTTTTAGTATCACACTAATGTGGTCATTAAAATGTAAGCTCACCTGCTGCATGAAGATAAACCTTTTAGTTGAGTCCTATTCTGATAATTCCCATTGCTGCTTTCAGCTGGATACCTTCACACTGCAACACTAGTTTGATTAATGTTAGTGGAAATGTTGCTAGTGATGGAACGGTTAATGCTGATGATGGAGGTATTGGTAGTGCTGGTGGTGGTGATGGTAGCAAAGACAATGGTGAGCTACATGTGCCCCTGGCAGCAGGCGCAGCTCTTGTTACAATTGTCTACATTGGGTGAGGTAATCGAAAAGCAGGTCCAGATGGCCTTTGAGAAGGCGGAGAAGATGCAGGAGGCGAGTACACACAAAGAAAATACTGGGCTGTTGCCTGTCCTCTCCACACTCTCCTTTTTCAGTCACAAAACTAATGCAGAGAGAGGGCCCTGGTACAAAACTTCTTTTGACACCGCATGACTACCGCAGCCCTTTGCATTCTATACTAATGTTGATAGTGATTTTATATTACGGATTTATGTCCTTACTACATCTCTACCTATTCTATCAAAAAGAATATGTGTGGAAACATCACAAGCGGAGAGACAACATCAGTGTATATAAAAGATACATAGATGATATGATTCTTATCTGAAAAGGAGAGAGTGATAGTTTAGAGGAATTCTTAAATTACCTGAACTCAAGCACTTGGGGTGTGAAACTAACAACTACATACAGCAAGACATCAGTAGAATTCTTAGACTTGGTTATAAATATGGAAAAAGAAGAATTGAAAACACTTATTTCAAAGAGATGGACGTTAACAGCTTTAATGAAAAGTCACTTCCCATCACGGCTGAAAAATGTACCTAATAATGAATTTAAGAGATTAAGGCGCAACTGTATGGACAAAGAAGAATACTTGGAACAAGCAGACAAAAAGTAAGACATTTGGTCATAAGGAGTAGGAAAACCAAACATGTATCATTTTAATTCCCATAGACATTTGTAAGAGACAAAAATTAAGGAAAAATAAAATTAAATATATCGGATGGCCGACACAGAAATAGATCTACTTCTTGGGCGCATGATATGTAAACCCCTTTAAGACTTTTTTGTTTTCTGACAAAATCAAGTTCACACTGACTACAGAAGGTAATTGATTGCAAACAGGTTCTTATGTGAACAAGTGAACTGCATAGTAACAATTAACTTACAACCAATTAAAAATAAACTGAACAACACGTGACTAGCAGTAACATTTATAAAGACACTTGCATTCTGTTATTTTGTCATTGACAAAGACTAGTGAAGGCAAAACACATTTTCACAAAACTACCTTTAATACATACAAGGATCAATAAATTATATATATATTTTTACTTTTATTGATTGGTTGTTATCTTTGTACAAGAAGTTAATTATTTTTTGTAGTTGGTTGTGGTACGCAGCTCAGTTGTTCACATATTGATTGACAGAGGGTATCCCTATTTTAGGGAAAGCACGGTCCCTTTTTCTGTATATTTTCTCATTTTGTTCACAATCTAAACTATTCTAAGTTGTTATGAGTTTTTATCAATACTAAGTTGATAGGTTTATACTAGAAGATTCCACAGAGATCTCCCTAAAACGTTAGCTATGCATTAGACATACACATGAAAATTAGGTAGGGCCTGTAATATTACCTGCATGATTGTAAGTCTGGAGTCCATAAAAGTGATATATTCTTCAACTAACAATGCAGAAATTGAGCCTTGTGAGGAAGTAGAGGCAGAGTTGTCCATCACCACTTGAACCAGTGGTAGAAGAAGAAGATAATCTTCATCTGGAAGGCTTGCCTTCATTTGGTGAATCTTATGGTGATATGACAGTACATTGCGCATGGTTCTCTCAATATCTTTAAATTTTAAAATATTTATGGTTAGGTACATCCACCACCAAATTATATCCAAGAGAAAAAAATACCTTTAACAGTCATCTTTTATTGCTCAACTCTTAGTAATATTTTCGCACAGATAATGTCTAGATAAAATATTTTTATGTATTCATATAATCTCAAACTTTTTAAAAAAAAGCAATTAAAGAATAGAGGGAGTAATATGTGCCTGAGCCATAAGACCCTTGTTTCATCTTGTATCCCAGTTGCTGATGTTCGAATATAAGGGATCAAAGACACCCTTACAGCATGCACCAATGTTGGTGATATAAATTAGTGTTCTACATCATGCCATGCATGTCTTCTTTATTTATTATCATTATGCTACTGAGCAGGAAGTAGTCTCCATGTTCCTTCATTCCACATAACCATTAACATACACCTCCACATAAAACCCGTAAAAAATACCATATATGTCTAGAGTCACAGGCCGTGTAATACACCAGTTTGGGGTACCTTTCTCTGCCACTAAATAGAGGATAGATAGCAAGGTAACTGTAATGGCGAACATGTCAATTGTTCACGAATGTTATTTATTAATAATGAAGGGTTCTACCTACTCTTAATATTTCTAAGGTGCTGAAAGGTTTGTTCCTGTGAGAGGATGGCCTGGCACTTCATGGAAATCTCTCCATCCATAACAGATCTTGCTTTGTTCATGGACTCTTGGGTCAAATATTCCATTCGAACTGTGATAAATTACACATTAGATAACAAAAAAAGTAGAGACAAAATAACATTTACAAAAATTTTTAAAACGTGATTACAAAATTGAAGCTCAACTTATAGATGCAGGGAAAATCTTATGATATAACCCACTTCTTAATTTTTTAATTTTTTTTTTAAAGTAAAAATGCCTTTTCCAGAATCCACTTTTATTCTAAGGCAGCATAATTCACATTACATTTCGCTGACAATGGATATTTCATTGAATTTCCTGAGCATGCAGTATCATATTGTACAAATTAGATAGTTAATGAATGAAGGTCAAATACACAAGGAGAGAAACTCTTAAGCTTTTAATTCCGTTTATTAGAGAAATTTTGTCCAGATAGGTAAGCTTGGTTTGAAGAGTGGGACAAGAGTATTGAAACATGGATAAAGAGTAGATGAATAAGAACCATGTAGGACAAGAAAATGTAATATATGCACAGAGCACCTATATATGCTTAAATATACACTATAACAGAGTTTAATTTCTTTGATTGTCCTACCTTTAGTGTTTGATAATTGCAATCTCCATGTTAAAGTTCTTAAAGAAACGGGTAAGGGATGGTTAAAAAGCACACGTAGTTTTATCTTCAGTTCAGGTCTTTTATCCAAGATTCTAATCTAAAACAAACAAATAAATCATTCATATATATGGAATATGCAAGTATTTCAAAAGAAAATCATAATTCAGTAGAACATTCAGATCTGTCCTTTATATAATCTCCATTCCCTTTTAATAATTTATTTTACTATTCTTACCAGGTTACTCTTTAAAATATATGTTAAAGGGACACTCCAAGCACCAAAACAACTTCATCTTAATGATTAAGGGGACACTGGGACAGGGAAAATGCAGAAAGTTGCAAAAATGTTTTAACTTTTTTTTCCAGCAAAATGTAAAAGATTTGAATGTGAATAGAAAAGCAGCCTGAGTATGTGGCCAAAACCTACCAAACGAGCTTTCATTGTGCTGTTGACTTTTTTGTAGTTTATGTATTACCATATCATTGCTTGTGGTGGTTGGACTGCTTGCCTCTCACCCCATTGTAACATGTTGCTGTGAAGTCGTTAGTAAGAGGTGGATAATTTAATTTTCTTCAACTACTTCTACTCCGAAGAAGCGCAGGTGAGAATTTAAAATTGCAGAAAAAGAGAAGCAACATATAAAATTTGGGTATGAGGGGAGCTAGACAGTGTCTGGGTTAGATGTTTGTGCACAAAACAGGTAGGGGAGTAGACCGTAACACACAGAAGTAGGTAAGTGAGGGAATAATGTTCAACATGATATTTCTACTGAACTCTGTCTTCTCTGCGTACATTTCCACAGTCTCACCATCTAATTGAATTTCTGACTTTATTAACAGTAGATACAAAGTTATTGAAAAAGAATCAAATTTCAATGTAAATATCCACCAATGGAGGCAGTGAGGTTATTGTCTTAGGCATTCAGATGGCTGTGATTAGAAAAAATCCAAACAGAAAAAAAGTGTAAATTTTCTTCCAAAACTATTATTAAAAAGTGTAAATTAGAGGGGAGAACTTCAGAGAATAGAGAGAGAAGAGTTTAGACATGAATCTAAATAGACTGGGATAGTAAGCATGGAGATAGAGTGGGGACAGGAAATTACATAGGGAATGGCTGGACATGAAATGGACTGGAGGAGAAAAATACGGACATGAAATTGGTTGAGAAGAATAGACTGTGGACTTGAAATTGTCATTGAGAAGAGAGTTGGAAAATAATAATGGCTCAGTAGGAGTAGGAGTGAGAATTAGGAACATTGTAAATGTGTAGGTTTACTCAAGAGTGTAGTGAAGGTGATTAGTTAGGACAGGCTATATGCCAATGCTCAGTGAAGCCTGTATCTTTAATATATAATAACAGTAGAAATGTGAAATCAATACTAGTAAGCTTACACACAGAAATACGGGGGGAGTGGGCGCGTAACACCTAATCATAAAAAGTCAAAAGAAACTTTTGAAATTAATTAAAGGGAAACTAGGAAAACAAACTTATTTTGCTGGCACTATAGAATCCTCCTCTGTCAAGGCCCCCTTCTGGTAGGCAGCCACTAGAGGAGGCGTTAACCCTAGCAGATAATTATTGCAGTTTAGAAAAGGGTTATGGGAGTTTGCACCCAGACCTTTAATGGTGCCTACAGTGTCCCTTTAAAGGACCACTATAGTGCCAGGAAAACATACTCGTTTTCCTGGCACTATAGTGCCCTGAGGGTGCCCCCACCCTCAGGGTCCCACTCCCGCCCGGCTCTGGAAGGGGGAAAGGGGTTAAAACTTACCTTTTTCCAGCGCTGGGCGGGGAGCTCTCTGTCTCCGATCCTCCTCCGTTCCTCCCCGTCGGCTGAATGCGCACGCGCGGCAGAAGCTGCGCGTGCATTCAGCCGGTCGCATAGGAAAGCATTATCAATGCTTTCCTATGGACGCTTGCATGCTCTCACTGTGATTTTCATAGTGAGAATCACGCAAGCGCCTCTAGCGGCTGTCAATGAGACAGCCACTAGAGGATTTGGGGGAAGGCTTAACCCATTCATAAACATTTAAAAAAAAATATTAAATTCACATAATATTACCTACCCACCTTTGTTTAATAAAATAATTTAATTTTTACTATTTCTATTTTTAATCCCTTATATCTATAAAAATACATATCAGGTGTAATTCCAAGAAAGGCTTTCACATACCACTCCATCCTGAATATGCCTTGCCACTAAGTCTGACTGATGTTTTGGGATGTCACTGTCCTGAACTTCATGGGCGACATAGCTGTATATATTATCTTCTAAGAAAGTGCTGATCTGAGCTGACAATTTGTTGTAAACTTCTCCTGAAAAAAGAAGGAAAAATATAAACAAAGACATCATTTCAAATGCAAAAACAAAAACAAACTCTTAAACCCTTTCAGCACTGATCACAGTTTTATTGCTATGAGTTTTGGCCTTTTTTTATATAAAATGTTACCCTTTTGTCAGTTTTCACCATTTCTAAGTTTTGTAACCCTGTTGTTTCTGCTCATCATACTTTGTCTGTAATCAGTCTGATCAGAGTGTTTTGTCTGAGTAACCTGACATGTTAAAACCATGTCAGGTTATCTATTGCCCTTCCTGTCCATCTCTACACAGTCTATGTATTACAGACTGTTTCAGATTCTATCATTAGAACACACAGATAAACTATTGAGTCAAATGACTGTTTATGACTTGATTTACTATTTATTTTGAAGTCCTGACCATGGCTTGTCTGAATTACTCGTTGTCATCTGTCTGTACTGCTTATTGACTTGTTATACCGACTACCCTGACTTCTAGATCCCCTGACCTTGGCCTGTCCCTGTTAAGCAACTCTAAGGCCATTATAAAGTGGCTAGAAAAAACAGCTCAAAATACCCCATTTAGAATACCCTGGATTGTCTACTTTTGATAATGGTTTGCCATTATGGTTGTAAATTTCTTTCTTAGCTGCTATACTGTCTCAGTGGCGGCATGGGCACTGAACATCAATTTCTCAATTTCCAAGTTTGGAATGGGCATGTAATATACATGTGTCTTTCCCCAAAAAACCTGAATAACCAGTACATGGGGCATTGCTAAATAAAATTACCGGGACTTTACAGCAGTAACACATATCAGGATTATGAAATTTCCAGTGAAAAGGGAAGTTGCAGGTGAAACTGAAAGTTGCATGTGAAAAACAGAAATGAAAGTAAAACCACTAAATGTGCCCTGCATTTGTGATAAAGAGGTTACAACAAACAACTCAGAATTCGCCATTGAATATGCCCTGGGTTTTCTACTTTTACCATCATTGGGGAAATTTTCTTTTCTTGGGTGCAATACTGTCTTAAAGACAGCATATACCCAGAAAATTGCTGACAAATGTCTATGTATGAAGACTGAATGTCTATGTATGAAGACTGAAATGGGCAGGCCCCAAATATGACCATATAACTTCCAAAAATCCAATGTAACCTGTACATAGGGGGTATTGTTGTACTTGTGGGACATCGCTGAATAGAAATATGGGTGTTGTATTGCAGTAAAAAACATAAGGATGATGATATAAACAGTGAAAGTGCAGTGATTGTGTGAAAACAAAACAACAATGCCAGATAACTTGGACAGTCTTTGTGCCTTAATTGCTACAAAAAAGACTGGACATACCCCATTTTGAATACCTTGGGGTGTCTACGTTTGCAAACAGTATGCCATGATGGGGGTAAAAAGCAAAAAAAAAAAATATTTATACTAAACGTGGTAAAGTTTTGTGACTAAGTGGCTACAAGAAAGCCAGGGCATACCTGGGTTGTCTAATTTTGCAAATGGTATGCCAAGATGGGGGTATTGTGGTTTCCTGGGCTTCCGTACTACCTCAATGATGTTCCAGTAAATCTATTAGTCAAATTTCCATGTATGAAGACTGAAATGGGTAGGCCCCATATTGGACCCTGTAACGTCCACTAAAACCTGTAAATAAAGGTATTGTTGTATCCGTGGCTGGGATTTAAGGGGTTAAGTATTTTGGTTTAATACTCTTTAAATATGTCTCAAGTATCAACATAAGTACAGTTACTGTGCATTGATTAACTATGTTACAATGTATACATAGCTGAACAGCCTTGTCATAAAATTACCTCATAATAAATTGATATAACTAACAGCTGAGATAATATGCATTAGGGTGGTAGTTTATAACAATCATCCCATATTATTACCTGCATTCAGTGCCTTGGAAGCTTTCTCCAGAACAAACACTTTCTCTGATTCAGACAGGTCTGTGAACATATTAACACTGCTTTCATTCATCTGCTGCTGGACAGCATCATGTAGCTTGGCAACAAAATCCTTCCATTCCTATTCAGGAACAAAACATGTAATTATTCTCATACTATATCAATTAAAACTAGAAATAAATAAACAGTATTTTTTTATTTTAGCAGAAATAAATAAATATAGAATTAGAAAACAACTAAGCTGTTTTAACCTATGGTATGATCATTGATGTAAAAGTTTAACTACTCAGAGCTGTGTTTATACCTGGTATTAAAAAGTGTAATTTCCATTTTACATGATTTTTGAATTGTAGGAGATATTTTCACACCTCTGTCTGCAATGTATGTCTCGAGTAGTATACTCCTGATTTACATCAAATAGCCAACTCTTTGAAAACTACTTCCAATTTACTCATATTTTAGTCAACCTTTACTCATGAGTTATTTGGATGATAGGTTCATATTGTTGGCTTGGTTACAGATAGAAATTATTGTATCTGTCAGCAGTCATTTTGGTAACTGATTTAAAGATTTAATCCGGTGTTTAAAAAAAAATAAGTTGCAATAGTGGGAGCAACAGGAGAAGGGGAACATTCTGTAGAGTAGAACTGGACATGCTAATAGATGACAGACTTTGTGAAAGGTATGTTGGGTGGCTGTGGTTAATGGATGCCTGGGATATGGATGGATGGACTTATGGATGTGGAAAGATGAGGGTAATAGGTATGGGTGTGTGGCTGGGGCTAATTTGTGTGGATGGGTGTGGACACATAAGGGTACCGAGTGTGGATGTATGACTACAGGTAATGAATGTGGATGGATGGGAGTGGTATTATATGTTTGGATGAATAACTGGGGGTGGGGTGGGGGTGGGGGCAGGGGAGGTGTAATAAATAGGAACTGCATCCTGTTAATGTATGTCCACTTTTTTCTTCTTCATTTTTTTTTTACACCTCACAAATTATTAAATATTTCTTAACTAGATAAACATGTATTACTAATTCTGGGAAGAGACAGGGTATCTTTAAAACTAGCTAGTTAATCATCATGTTGGTGGATAAACGAGAAATGAGATTAAGAATGGAGTGGCTGGGGGGAATGAGACACATGGATGGGCTGAGGGGGAATGAGACACATGGATGGACTGGGAGGGAATGAGACACATGAAGGGACATGCATGGAGGGGCTAGGGGGATGACACGCATGGAGGGGCTAGGTGGATGACACGCATGGAGGGGCTAGGGGGATGACATGCATGGAGAGGCTAGGGGGATGACATGCATGGAGAGGCTAGGGGGATGACACGCATGGAGGGGCTTTGTGGTGGAGACTCATGGGGAGGGAGCATGGCAATTTTCACATCAAGGCCCACTGATTTCTAGTTACAGCTCTGTGCCGGACTGTGATAAGTAAAGGTGGTGCAATTTGAGGTGTTTAAGGTGACACTCAAACCATTCACGCATGATGGTTCTAGTTGGTGGCAAAATAGAATTGTGGGGAACAGTGTCTGCACCTCTATCTGGCAAATTTATTTCCACATATTGCATGTAATTAGTACCAAGCATGCACGGTTCTGTGAGTTTCATGCAGAAAAATAGACATTAGTTTGTACTTGCCCCTAGCACAACAGCTGCCAGCTCTATCCAACTCCTTTCTGCCTACCTTTTAATAATAGGGAGGGTTTTATTATTGGTCAACTACAGCTGGGAACACAAGGCCCGTGAATGCCCCGGCACAGACCTTTAAATTGATGTCCCTGGTGAATTCTGGATTGTTTGGGAATTATGGTCCTGGGAAATAAACACATTAAGATATGTAGTCTGACTGTGCGGTGCAGCATTGTGCACTGAGTGGGCACATTTGCAGATCTATTAGTCACTTATTCATGGCAATACAGAGTCACTAAGAAAGTTAAGTATCACAGACCTGGAAACAGTTGATAGAGAAGTAGTGACTTCTTGGGCAATGGCTAATTTGAATAGTTTACTAAAATAAATATTTGTTTTTTTAACTTTTGTTTAAATGCAATTGCTGGCATGGTCTGGCATCCAACGCAAATCTAAGGTAATGCATGATGACTTGAGAACATAGTCTTAAATTAGAGGGACAAAGGTTTAAACATAATATCAGGAAGTATTACTTTACTGAGAGGGTAGTGGATGCATGGAATAGCCTTCCAGCTGAAGTGGTAGAGGCTAACACAGTAAAGGAGTTTAAGCATGCGTGGGATAGGCATAAGGCTATCCTAACTATAAGATAAGGCTAGGGACTAATGAAAGTATTTAGAAAATTGGGCAGACTAGATGGGCCGAATGGTTCTTATCTGCCGTCACATTCTATGTTTCTATGAATGTTCCTAAAGCATGTGGATGTGTGTGCATTGAATCATGGGAAAGAAAGTAGAACTAAACAAATTTACCCTGGGTGCCTCCATCTTAATTTCCTGCCAGTCATATCTACAAAAACACAGATTAAGGGACAGCGTGTACACAAAAATAGAGTTTTTAATTGTACAAGGTTACTTGAAATCACCTATCTCAGCACACAAATTTGGGACTTCAGTTCCACCATATGGCCATATTGTGTTAAGAACACCACTATGTCACAGTACCCCAATATTAGTGGGTCCTACATTATTTTTGACACGGGAGACAAATTAAATAGTACTACTGCTTATTAAACAAAAGTGTATTTAAGTAATCTTTACATATGTCCTTCACTAAATAAGTTGATGCAATGTGTGTGCACCACTGCATCTGAAAGTGCTGCTCTCATTTTTTCTTTATATTATCATATATATTCCCTTTTTAACTGACTTGATAATTGGCTGGGGTTTCTATCCAACCCGATCTGAGTATTGCTATATATTATATTATACAATATTATATTATATCATTATAATATATTCTCTTTACCTATTTTACTTTACCTGTGCCATTTACTTCTAGCAATGAAAAAGCCACAGTCCAATAATAGTATTCTGTCTCTGTTCCTTACCTAGCCCAGTCCTAATGTGGGAACAAGTGTCTCATGGAAGAAAGAAGACGTTACATAAATTCCCAAAAGTTTGCGACAAGTTTTCTAGAGACTCTGATTGAATCAGACGTACGACACTTCTCTTGCCTCAGACCTCCACCCCTTGTAGCCTCATGTAATGTGTTTTGTTTTGTGCTTACTTTATGTTATATTTTGGTTCATAACTTTATTGGACTGTTTACTGGTCATTTTTCTTTGTGGAAAATATGCATCAACGATGTACAGCATCACAAGACCCTTTTACCATAACATGCCATGCCACTGATTACTTTTATTGTATAATCCCTGATCAACGTGTTATTTTCTCCGCATGTTACTGCAATATTCTGAAAATATCTGATTGTACATCGAAAAATTATTTCTAGGGGATAGCACATTGACAGGGAGAAATAAAACCACTATTGGAATAGTTCCCTTGCTTTCTCTGCCAGACAAAAGGCAAAGCCATGAGGCACCGTGGGGCAAGTCTTTTATTTGCAATCAGACTATCTCTGATGCTGGAAGGGCGCCCTGTCGTATAAGTGTTCCATCAGACCAGCATCTAGTGGTGGTTGCGCACGCCCCTTCCCTCCGCTACTCCTCTGCTCTCAATTCTCATCTTAGATCTGTATGTTATAAATCTAATGCTAAATAATGAGTGACAGGTGGTGGTGGATGGATCATATTTTTTTAAAGGGCATTTAAAAAAAAAAAATATATATATATTCTGAAATTTGATGTCCCCCATTGTAGCATTTAAAATGTACCTGTTATGTCTAGTACAACATGTCTGAGATTGTACTGGACATAACAGGTACATTTTAAATTCTACATTGGGGAACTGCTAGTTTTAGGCCAACATAGAAGATCTAAAAAAAATAACTGAGTTGGTAATTTGAGTTGGCAATTTTTTTAAAATTTAGCTATTTTGTATAAAAATTTGTCATTTGACCACAATTCACAATTTATTTACAAAATAACACAATCGATTAATCTGATATAGCTCTTAGCTAATTAGCTTTCTGTCTGTGCTAACGTTTAATAACAATATAAAGAATAAAACGTATAGTATTTTCTATTTCGAATAGAAAACAGTATATCATTTACTTTAGATTAAATGTGCTGACAAGTCGTTCTGTATTTGATTATATCATAACATAGGAGAATGTCACACTCATTGCATTTAATATTTTGATTTAGTGAGACTTTTATTGCTTGTCCCTCATTTGTTTAATTTAACTACAGAATGTAACTTTAAATTAACACATGTTTATTTGGAATGCTTTTCCATTTACCTGTAAATTTTGAATCTCATGCCTTGTATTTTCCATCCAGTGTATGTTTGATGTGGCTGCCATAACCTGACACTTTGTGACCAGTTCAGCAGTCACTAGGGAGTGTCTCCACAACAAACTGTGTAGAATTGTAGAAGGAAGTGAACACAACACAGATCCTGTGTCAGGTGTGTGTACATCATTTAAGTTCAGAATTGGTTAACTCCTCACATGCCTGTAAAAACTACAGGTTCCTGTGTTACAAAGAAGTTTCTTCTCTAAACAGTCTAAAGAAAATATTTTTCGAAAAAGCATATTTTGCCTCTGGAAACAAAAGCCAAGGTGCACTATGTATTTTGACACATACATGTTAATTCAGAAATACTTTTACCACCATATATACTGACACACATGCAGATACAGTGCCTTGCAAAAGTATTCACCCCCTTGGCATTTTTAGTATTTTGTTGCCTCACAACCTGGAATTAAAATGAATTGTTTGAGGATTTGCATCATTTAATTTACAGAACATGCCCACAACTTTGAAGATGTGTTTTTTTTTTTTTGTGAAGCAAACAACAAATAGGACAAAATAACAGAAAAAGTCAATGTGTGTAACTATTCACCCCCCTATAATCAATACTTTGTAGAGCAACTTTTTGCGGCAATCACAGCTCCAAGTCGCTTTGAATAAGTCTCTGTGAGCTTGCCACATCTTACCACTGGGATTTTTGCCCATTCCTCCATGCAAAACTGCTTTAGCTCCTTCAAGTTGGTTTGCGCTTGTGTACAGCAATCTTTAAGTCTGACCACAGATTTTCTATTGGATTGAGGTCTGGGCTTTGACTAGGCCATTCCAACACATTTACATGTTTCCCCTTAAACCACTCAAGTGTTGCTTTAGCAGTGTGTTTTGGGTCATTGTCCTGCTGGAAGGTGAACCTCCGTCCTAGCCACAAATCATGCACAGAGTGGTACAGGTTTTGCTCAAGAATATCCCTGTATTTAGCACCATCCATCTTTCCCTCAACTCTGACCAGTTTCCTAGTCCTGGCTGCTGAAAAACATCCCCACAGCATGATGCTGCCATCACCATGTTTCACTATGGGGATGGTGTTCTTTGGGTGATGTGATGTGTTGGGTTTGTGCCAGACATAGCGTTTTCTTTGATGGTCAAAAAGTTCAATTTTAGTCTCATTAGACCAGAGCACCTTCCTCCATACATTTTGGGAGTCTCCCACATGCCTTTTACCAAACTCAAAAGGCGCAATTTTTCCCCCCTGAAAGTAATGGCTTTCTTCTGGCCACTCTGCCATAAAGCCCAACTCTATGGAGCGTACGGCTTATTGTCGTTCTATGTACAGATACTCCAGTCTCTACTGTGGAACTATGCAGCTCCTCCAGGGTTACCTTAGGTCTCTGTGCTGCCTCTCTGATTAATGCCCTATTTGCCCAGTCCGTGAGTTTTGGTGGGCGGCCGTCTCTTGGCAGGTTTGCTGTTGTGCCATGTTCTTTCCATTTGGTTAGAATAGATTTGATGGTGCTCAAAGATTTGGATATTTTTTATAACCTAACCAAGAATTGTACTTCTCAACAACATTGTCCCTTACCTTTCCTTGGTCTTCATGGCAGTGTTTGGTTAGTGGTGCCTCTTGCTTAGGTGTTGCAGCGTCTGGGCCCTTTCAAAAAAGGTGTGCATATATAATGTGACAGATCATGTGACACTTAGATTGCACACAGGTGGACATCATTTCACTAATTATGTGACTTCTGAAGGTAATTGGTTGCACCAGAGCTTTTTATGGGCTTCATAACAAAGGGGGTGAATACATAAGCAACTGCAAATTTTCTGTTTTCTATTTCTAAAAAATAGTTTTATGTATATTTTTTTCTCATTTCACTTCACCAACTTAGACTATTGTGTTCTGATCCATCACATAAAATTTAGATTAATAAAACATTGAACTTAAGGCTGTAATGTAACAAAATAGGTAAAAAGTCACGGGGATGAATACTTTTGCAAGGCACTGTACATAGACACAGTTTATTAGTAAGTGTATTTGCTGCAGTGCACACACAGACACACACTACCTCCATAGCACACACAGACACACTACATCCCCAGCACACACACTGACACACACTACACCTCCAGCACACACACAGAAATGCTTCATCCCCAGCACACACATAGGCACACACTTCACCCACAGCACACACACAGACTCTTCATCCCCTGCACACACAGACACATTTCATCCCTAGCACACACACATAGACACACCACCTTTGCAGACGTACATATGTTGGGGAGGAGGGTAGGATTTCATCCTTGGACCCAGGCAGCACGATGTCTTGGGCTGGCCCTGTGTGGACAGGTCACTGTACGCCACCTGTGAGCAGCAGGTGGGTATAAGAAATAAAAAAAAAATTGGCGGCATTTGCCTTGTGACCCTCCCAACCCCCACCCGTGGGGAATTAGCATTCGTAACTATGAGAAATTCCATGATCAGAATTTAGACATTTTCGGCAGATTTTGTCCATATGGACAAAATCTGGTCTTTAGGGAATAATCATTATAGACCAGCGGTTCCAAATCTGTGTGCAGGGGCGGGGCGGGGCCGGGCCGGGCCGTCGGGCCGACTAGCAGCCATGAGCTTAGCTCCAGACCCGGCATTTGAGTGGGGCAGGTGGCATGAAGGTGCCCCATAATGGATGCCTACAGTGAGAGACTGAAACTGCATGAACAGTGCTTGCTGGCGGTACAGCCCTGCCCCCCCCATGGCTGACGGGGGTTATCCCGGCCTCAGGGCGACTGCCCTCCGGGCGACGAGAGCCCCCGTGCTGGTCCTGAACCGATCGCCTGTACTGGCAAAGGCTGCCCAAAGAACAGCCCGCAAGAAGGCCCGATCAGATAGACATAGAGGAGATTGCTTTGGAGCAGGGGGACATTCACCGCTTACACTGTTGGCTCGGCATTTACCACTGGCCTACCACCTCGTTGACGCTGACACCAGCATATACGATCGAGGAGGAGTAAGACTTAAGCAGAGATGTTTAACCCTCACCCCCACTTCAGGAATGGCTAAATGAACGCTTGAATGACCGGAGATGGAGTAGCTATGAAGAATACTCACCATGGGGGGCTGATTTGGACGGCTCATGCGGACTTTGGCACTGCTGAGCACCGGATGGATCCCCTGTGCTGATTGCCCGCCCGCTGGAGAAGTGAGTGTCCTGACCTTTGAGTCTGTAGGGTCCCCGGAGAGCCTTGTCCCTGATGCCGTGAGCCCTGTGGAGCAGGTGTGCGCGATCTTTCCGGCAGACCGGAGGCCATGGGGGGCGTGCACCAGTCCCACGTACGTGGCCGGCACCGGGCGAGACAATGGGGCACATGCTTCACTGGGTCTTAGGTGATGCTGGGGAGATGCAGGGGTTAGACAGCCTGCGGACTCTAAGTGTGGGGGTCAAGTGGACAGTTTCTGCTCCTGAGTGCCCACAGAGCCCAGACAGTGGGCTGGGGTCCGTCTGGGGAAGACAGAGGGAGACTCGGCGACCCAAGAGATGTACTGCAGCTGTGCCATGGGAGGCCCTCATCGGACTGCCATTAAGACCAGCATTGCTCCCTTATTGTTATTGTTTTTATCTTTCATTTTTTATGTATTCATCTTTATTGCATACCTATTTTATAATTTACTAGACGCTGCTATAATGCAAATAGCTACAACCTATCGCTGCCTCACACTGCTTGACCAATATATCATATCTGCCATGTGTGCTTAACATAACATTACATAGTTATAATTTTGCTTTATTGTCAGCAATTCTTAGGGGCTAAAATACCTTAAAGCTGGACCATACATTTAATAGGAGCTTTAATAAGCTGCTCGTCGTTCATTTAGTTAGGCTTTGTCATCATATACTGCACTAAGATATGCCCTCTTGTTAAGCCATAGTTCAACCTCTCGCTGCCAACATACCCGAACATGCTATTAAGTTGAAGCGCATAGCTCAGTAATACTTAAGAATTGATTTACAATATTATTTGCCTTACTCTAGTTTGCTATGTTATACATTCGCATAGGCAACAGTGCATATACTTCAGTTAAGATTTAGCTCGCACTTCTACTGCCAACTTACGCAGACTGAAAAATAGGATATTGCGAATGGCTTATTATTACTTATATGGGAACTGCTGTGCACTGTGTTCTCTGCCTTGCCTTCGTTCGATATGTTCCGCCTCTCCGTAGGCAACCACGTTATAGTGTTATGATTCTGCTCCATTGATAGCAATTATTAAAGGTTTAATTACTTTTATGGTCACTATTTGTGCCAACTATCTTTTTATACACATTTTTTATCTTTACCTGGCTTTTTACCAATTTTATTGCGTGCTTACAAGACTATTCGAGGTGGGGATCATACCACCAATGCTGTCATCAGAGTGCAGTTGGCCTGCACTACACTTGTAAGTAAATTTTTATTTCTCCTACAACTCCATACACTGTTATAACAGAGAGCACTATCAGCTGTCTTTATATATCCCTTTCCTGAGAGCTGGACACCATTCACTCCAGAAGACAACCACATATATATCCCATAAGCAGGGATCATACCGCTGTACGCCTGTTATACGTGAGCTGGCTACAGCTTTCCTAAATGTGAGTTTAATATATATATTCATATTCTCACATATATTGACCCACTCAGTCTATACGATCAGTCTCTAATTTGTGTCTTCCATATCACGAGAATAATCAAACTTCAAACAGTGAGGACACCCCATCACCAAAGCACCTTAAAAGACAATCGTCGCTACAGTGCAACTTCAAATTATCTTGGACTGATTTATATGCACTTTTTATATATATGCTCTATCTATATACTTGCTTTTATTTTCTATAGTCTACACTGATACATTTTGGTGCAACCTTGCACTACTGTTGTTGTTGTTTTCTAAATTACTTTAAAGCCTGACCGTACATCTAAGAGGAGCATTAATGAGCGGATTTCCGCTCATTTAGTCAGGCCCTGCTATCGCATACAGCACTACGATATACCCTCCTGTTAAGCCAAAGTTTAACCTTCCTCTGTCAAAATACGCAGACGTGCTCTTAGGTTGACGCACATTGCTTAGTAATACTTTGATAAGAATTGATCTAAAAGGTTATTTGCCTTACACTAGCCTGACACAGCGCAGGCAACAGTGTATAAACCTTAGTTCAGATTTAGCTCAAATTCCCACTGCCAACGTACACAGACTGATTGAGGGGACATTGCGAATGGCTTATCATTACTTATGTCAGAACTGATGTGCAATGTGTTATGTACCTTACTTTTGTTTGACAAGTCATGCCTTAACGTATCCAAGAATAGTCAAAATACTTGCTGAGGTCAGGAACACAGAATCAGAGACAACGATGAGAGAAAGCCAAAAGTGAAGGATACCAGAATTCAGAGAAGTCAAAACAAAGCCAAAGTCAAATACCAGAAAATCAAGATCAGGAACGCACTCTTGAATTACCATCAGGATGAAACCACGACAGGGCAATGAGCAAAAGGAGAATTGGGTTTAAATACCCCTCCTATGGATCCGATTGGCTGTAACCGGACTTTGACCCCAAAAGAAATTACCAGGTTTTACACACACACACACACACACACTCTTTCAGTATGATATTGATTGTGAATGTATTGTATATTATTTGCTAGTATTTATGTATCCGGTACTGCACCTTTAAGTATCTGCCACTTTTTGCCTCTGGAAAACTCCACGGCTTTGGAAAACTCTATGTCTGTTTTTTATATCTGTATATAGAGTCACATTTGGAGGCGGCGATGCTCGTAAGGCGATGGAGGGAGAGAGGTGGACGCCGGCCCGGTCCCGCTCCCCCCCCGGCCGGTGGGGGTAATCCCAGCCCATGAGTCAGACCTTCAGAGGCTGGGGGCGAAGGCCTGCGCGGTGTGTGGCCCCTTCCCACGGGTAACCAAGATGGCGGATACACACACTCGGCTGAGTGTCATGCTGGGTCCTCCGGACCTCCAGGATACAGGATCCCATAGAAGGACCACTAGGGGCGGAGAACTGCCTGGCAAGGAGCCGGTCTGGGCCCCAGGATTTGGTGGTGGTCCAGGGGTAGACGCCCCCAACTCTGCAAGCCCTGCGGTACCGGGGTGTGCTGACCCCCGACGAACCGGTGGCCGGGGAGGCACGCACTGATGCCGAGCATGTGGCCGGAGAAGGGTGAGGCGTCACAGGACTGGAGCTCCAGCAGAGGTCATCAGGAGTTGGGGAGGTGCAGGGGACGGGGGACCTGCGGTCTTTTCAGGTGTGGGAGGCTGCCGGACTGCTCCCGACCCTGAGTGCCCACAACGCTGAGAGACTCTCTGATGCAAAGCAGGGGCAAGCCCTGGGAGGAACTGAGGGGGTTCGCTACATGTGGGACACTGGAGGGTCCAAGTTGTGAGCAACCAGCTTGCAGCGCAAAAGACCATATACCGTGGGATGAGGGATCTCCCCCACAGCGAAGCTGATAAACCACCTCCAGAGAAGGGACTCACCTTTTTTATGTCCTAGGGACCAAGCCCTGAAATGACATAACACAAATGGTCCGCCGAAATTATTCACGCACTGTATTTGCTTATTACCTTAATACTGGACCATATAACAATGCAACAGATTACCCATATCAGCTTTCAAAGTCAATAGGCTATTTGGGCCACAGTTTGTGTCCTAGGGACCAAGCCCTGAGAAGACATAACAATTGAAACTGCAATCGCCTGTTTATGCATTCCTTCACTTACATTGCATATTACTACTAGCCTCTCATAATGTTATAGTTCTTACAACTGATTTCCATTTCTTTTGCATTCATTGCTGTTGCAGGCCTATGCCATAATTCATTAGACCCAGTTAAGAGACAAATGGCTATGACCTATCACAGTCTTACGATGCTTACCTAATATATTGTAATAGGCGTAGAAACGCTGTTTATGCTGCAGCACCTATACGTTAGTTTGCTATGGTACACAGGTTTAGGCCTACTTCGACGCAATTGAATTGCACCCATCAGTGGAGTACTAAACTGAAGCACCCAAGATACGGCGGTATACCTTCGTAACCATATTAGCTTATCAAAGAACAGCGGCATATCTTATCTACATACACGATTAATCCAGCTGCACACTTTATTTTCTGACCAGATAGGCATAACTTAAATAAGTGGTAATATGCAAAGATTGCAGCTGACCAACAGGTTCAGGTCTAGTTAGACGCGATCAAACTGCACCCACCTAAGATTTATTAAACCGACCCACGCTGTCTGATCATCATATCACACTAGCGGTATCTGCCTCATACAACTGCGTGTGATCATGCTCAGCCACCGCTGGAGCGAAATAGGTCCATAAGACCCACAAACCGCTGTTATAAGGGAAATGACCAAGAAGCTTAACATTCAAGCGTAGACAGCCTGGTGCGCAGCATTAGCTTAGTGCCTGCAATTTATGCTGTAATGATTAGAAGTGCATTCCTGCAAAGTTCAAATACGCCTATGTGTTGTGATCAATATGCCTCTGCGCAGGCGATAATCTGCATTTATTCCTATGTGCTAACATTTAAGCCTCTACGTAGCCTTTCGCCTTAACGAATGCTATAAATTACTGCTTAAGCCCCTGCGTGGGCAACCTCTTGCTTTACTACGAACCAGTTCGCATTATGCACTTATATTGTGAAAACAATAAAAATATTCAAAACAAATATGTATTCCTAATGCTATAGTGCCCTACTCACCACTTGGGAGACTGGGCCGCCGCTGCAAGGGTTAAAAAGGGTATTTTATGTTCATTTTCTCCTTGGTGAAGCGCTGCATTTTTGGCTAAGATCGTCAAGATCCCACTGGAAAGCATTGAGAGCCTAGTGTGCATGCATGGCAGAATGGAAATGTTTTCAGCTGCAGGGTCAAATGGGGGCACATGGCACCCACACCACTTCACTAAGATAAAGTGGTCTGGGTGCATATAGTGTTCCTTTAAATGCATGAAGTGGTAAGTTCTCTCACAATTGTGTATGCTAATCAATGTTTGCAAAAAAATGAGTTTGAACCCAACATTTAAAGAAAGTTTTTTGTTTTCTGCTCAGTTGTAATAACCACACACAAGGTATTAATTTACATATGTGTTAGTATAAGTATAGTCTCTGAATCTACACCTACCTTTCAGGTAATATACAAATGTCACTCTTGTGTGTCAAGCCTGTTTCCTTTCTCTTATACAAACACATGTTCTTTTTATGATCTAGTTACCATCAGATGTGGACAATTGCAGGACCTGCTAGTTTTCCAATTCACTGAATCTCTTTCGGCAACAAACATGTCCAATTCAGATTCAGAGGACTCCCCAAACATTGAATTCCGGCTTGAAGTCCACAGCAAGGATACACTTGCTGCATTCAGCAAGGGAGACAAGAACAAAGATGGAAAAGAAGATCAAAAGTCCACCATGGATTCAGCCATCGAGAAAGAAAGTGACAATTTTCCCATTAATATTGGAATTAATCTGGATTTCATGAACATATTACAGAGCAGTGGGAACAAGTAAGAATATGCACCTTATTTCTGATACAAATGTATTTTCAATAAGAGGTAATAGCACTGGCTTTTGGAATTACTGGTAATCCGATAACGACACCAAAGAAAGCAAATAAAGGAAATTAAAAAGTAGCATTGAAAAAAAAACCGCTTGAGTAATTAGAGGTGAGCATGCTAATGGTAGAACTAATATAGAGAGGGACCTAGTGCAAACATATTCTTATGCCTCTCTCTAGTGCAAGGGTGGCTAATAGGTAGATCCTTAACTACTGTACAATTAACACACCCACAATGCTTTGACAGTTGGGGATCTACCATTTACCCATCCTTGAGGGTTATTTTTGTGAGCAGTGTTTGTGCATTTGAATGTAAGTATGTTTTTGTGTGGAGTATGTGTGTGAATGTAGGAGTGTGTATGTACTGTTGCAATTTGAATGCAGTGGTGTGTGAGTTGGATGTAATGTTGCCATTCGAAAGCAGGTGTGCATTTGTGTGTAGTGTTGGTGTTTGGAAGCAGGGATTTGCTTGTTTGTAATGGAGGCATTTGAATAGCATTTGATTATGTGTTCAAATCATTTAATACGCTTGGTTAAACTTTAAAAAATAAAAATTAAAATATTTTCATATTAAATTATTTGAAAAGTTTGTATGAAAAGATGAAGATATTTGAAAAGCTTATCAAACAATATTAAATTAAGGGTTAAATAGGTTGTGTATTTTAGTTGATCATTTACCACCTACCACTCATTTGTGAATAAACACTATTATGTGTTCCTCCAATATTTATTTTACACTGAAATGTTTGTGTTTTGTAACATTTATCATTGTTACAGTACAATTTTCAGAAACTGCAGCATACCAGCATACCTTACGCATTGCATTTTACTACCTACGGTATGCTAGTATGCTGCGGATCTATAATAACGCAGCGCTTTATAGGGAAGGCATTTGTTAGTGGAGTGAATTAAAAGTGAATTGGTCATTTGAACTATTTACCCGCTATCAGCGCTATTAGCCAACAGGCAAATAGTTAAAAAACTTTAGATGGCACGAGGGTTAAATATGTGACAGATTGCTAGCCAGTCATCATGCTACAAAAGTAAATAAATGAATAATCTATCTTCAGCCATGGAGGGGGAAAAAAACATTTGCAATATCAAAGCGTAGGAAAATTTTCCACTCTTTGCAATATGATTAAGAGTGCTCTGATTGGAACATTTCCCCACACTTTATGATAGATTGGGAGAGGCTATATTATTATAGGTGCTGGGATAATGACAGTCTGGGGGATGGTGACAATGTAGGTGGTGGTGACAGTGTGTGTGGGGTGATAATGCAGGAGGGCGTGAGAGAGATAATGTGTGGGGGATGTGACAGTGTGGATGGTGATAGTGTGTGGGGATTGTGACAGGGTGTTGGATGGAAAAAGTGTGGGGATGAGAATGTGGCTGGTGGTGATAGTGTGTGTGTGTGGTGACAGTGTGTGGTTACAGTGTGTGGGGATGGTGACAGTTTGTGTGGATGGGGACAGGGTGTGGGGATGGTAACAGTGTTGCTGTGATAGTGTGTGGGGATGGTGACAGTGTGTTGGGTTGGTGACAGGGTGGGGAGAGGTGACAGTTTGGGAGGTGGTGACAGTGTGGTTGGATGTTGACAGTGTGGGAGGTCGTGACAGTGCGGGAGGTGGGGACAGTGTGGGGAATGGTGACAGTATCTGAGGATGGTGACAGTGTGTGTGGGAGGATGACAGTGTGGGGGTAACAGTTTGAGAAGTGGTGAAAGTGTGGGGGGATGGTGACATTGTGGGAGATGGTGACAGTGTAGGGGGTGACAGTGTGGTGGAATAGTGATATTGTGGGTGTATATGAAACATAGGGGGTGGTTACACTCACATGAACATGCTTAAATGGGGTGCTGCTGGGAGCCATGTTATACAATAAACAATACACATAATCCAGCGCACTCTCCTATCTACTAAAAAGCAACTTCAATGTTGACAGATTTTATTAGTTTTTTAAAACTTTTTTTCTAAAGGTTTTTTTTAAAAACACCTAATCTAAGCAAAAAATTATGGGGATTTAGTTACATTATATGATCATACATTGCATAAGCTTGCCACAACGTTAATGTACCCCATCTTTGGCAGGTCCTACTCTCACAGTCTAATGTCTACTCTTATGTGATTAACTCACTTACCTGGGGAAAAAAATTCCATCTGAGGCTATGTGCAGTACAAGGCTAAATAGGGACATGAGATGAGGCACCTGTAACAGGGAGGGGTGCAAAACCAAGGAGTTGGCTAGACTCCCAACTATATATATAGTTGGATGTTTTTATAGTCCCCCAATCCCCCAATCTATCTAAATCCCTCTGCAGCAAAGCAATATCCTGCTTACATTTTATTACTTTACAACGTTTTGTGTCATCTGCAAACACTAAAACATGGCTTTCAATGCCTATTTCTATATCATTTATAAATATTTTAAATAGAAGCGGTCCCAAAACAGAACCCTGAGGGACACCACTTACCACCACTTGTCCAGCTTGAGAATGTACCATTAATGACAACTCGTTGTACTCTATCCTTAAGCCAATGTTCTACCCAAGGACAAGAATATTCATCAAGACCAATTTCTTTTAGTTTGAAGACTAAACTATTGTAAAGAACCATATCAAATGCCTTGGCAAAATCCAAGTAGATCACATCCACTGCAACACCCTGATCTATACTTCTACTTACTTCTTCGTAGAATGCAATTAGGTTAGTTTGACATGAGCTATATTTCATAAAACCATGCTGATTATTGCTAATAACAAAGTTCTTCCCAATGAATTCCTGAATAGTATCCCTTAATAGCCCTTCATATATTTTCCCAGGCACAGAAGTTAAGCTCACAGGTCTATAATTTCTAGGCAAGGATTTTGAACCCTTTTTAAATATAGGAATGACCTCTGCCTTCCTCCAATCCTCTGGTACAATACCTGAGACAAACAAATCTCAAAAGATTAAATACAGAGGTTCACCTTAGCTCCTTAAGTACTCGTGGGTGAATATCGTCAGGCCCCGGAGCTTTATTTACATTAATTTTCTTTAACTGCTGTAGTACCTTGTCTCGAGTAATCCAATCACAAGTTATCTGCAAGTTTTTTGAGCAATCATTTGCATATCTCTTGCCATAGGATCCTCATTAATATATACTGAAGAAAAATAGTTATTTAAAATTTCTGCCTTTTCCTGGTCTTCATTAACTAACAGACCCATCTCTGTTTCTAGTGTACCTGCACTTTCGTTTTTTGTTTTTTTTAGAATTGATGTACATGAAAAAATGTTTGGGGTTGGTATTGCATTATTTGGCTATCAATTTCTCATTTACTAGTTTAGCCACTTTAATTGCCTTTTTGCAAGCATTATTGGCTTCCTTATATCTTTTATAGGATGCCTCTAATTTGTCGGATTTAAATGCTTAAAATACCCCTTTCTTATTTTTAATCTCTTGTTTTACTTCTCTACCAAGCCACATTGGTTTCCATTTGTTTCTTTTATATTTATTACCCAATGGTACATACTAAGAAATGTACCTTTCTAATATTTGTTTAAAAAGTTTCCATTTATCCTCAGTGTTTTTTTCACTAAGGAGTTTATACCAGTCGATATGTTGTAGAGCTGGCCTAATCCTATTGAAATTGTCTTTTAAAAAATTATACGTTTTAGTATACCCCACGTACTTTTGGTTTTTTGAGTTTATTGAAAAAATTATCATATTGTGATCCCAAATGCTCCTCTACTTGAATGTTGTTCAAAAGATCAACATTGTTTGTTATAATGAGCTCCGGACAAGCATTAATATTTCTGAAAATATTACCCTGGAGGTCCTTTTCTTTAGCTTACTTCCTAGTTCCCTGAACTCATTCTTTAGGACCTTCCATTTTCCTCTGACTTTGGCATTGGTACCACTATGGACCATGACAGCTAGGTCATCCCCAGCCCCTCCCAATAATCCCTCCACTCTTTTAGCAACATGCCGGACCCGAGCACCCGGGACACAGCAAACCGTCCAGTTGAGACGATCAGAGTGGCAGATTACCCTATCTACTCTATTAATAATAGTGTCCCCTACCACCACAACCTGTCTATTCTTCCTTACACTCTCAACCCAACCCGTACTAGAGGGGCTGTTCCTGCAGTACAGCTACTCCGGAGCTGATGCTCCCAACATCTTCACTCAAACGGACAAATCTGTTAGGATGCACAAACTCAGGACTAGCTAAACCTTTCCTCTTACCTCCCCCACTGCTTCTTGCCCCACTTTTACCCAGCGATGTGCCTGATCACCAACTGTCTCTTCTCCTCTGTAACGAGAATATACCCCTACACGCAGGATCCAGCTAAACAGAGGCAAATACAGAGGAGAGATACGTCTACCGGACCTTAGAATGGCCGGACTCGACGTATATGAGAGGAGACAGAGCCAGGAACAAACCGAGGTCAAGGGCACAGAGAGACAGCGTAAACTAGGACAAGCCGGGGTCTGGTACACGGAAAACAGCAAGCCGGCAAACAGTACAGATAAGGATAAAGCGAAAACGAAGTCAGAATACGAAGCCAAAGTCAATACGAGAAAACACAACTGAACACCACAAGCGCTAAAGGGAACTGAAACAGAAACCACGATAGGGCAACGAGCTAAGGGAAAAAGGTAAGTTAAATAGCTTTTAAACCAAAGTGATTGGCTCCTGTCACTTCCACACCCCTATAGGTAATTGTATAGGGAGTGTGGTATGACAGGAGCCAATGGGAGCCTTTTGGCAATTAGGCTCCCACTGTCTCTTTAAGAGCGCGCCCGAGACTCGCGGCGCGCTCTTAGTTTCAGGCGGGACACGTGACCGCTTCACGCGGTCACTGCCCGCCTTCCATCTGAAGCAGTCGGATGAGCCGCGCGCGGCTCGTGCAGCCGCAGGACCGCGCGCGGCTTGAAGAGAGGACCGCGACCGGCCCCCGGTTAAGGTAAGTAACGCTACATCCTCCCACTCTGCTACCTGCCCCCACTAAACTCTGCTCAGTGAGCAGCAGACTGTTAAAAAAAATAAACCCTACCTCAGCTGTGAGAAAATGCCTGCAGTTTACTCTTGAGGACTAAGCAGCAAATAACTTTCAGGATGCAAATAATGAATTGTTGAATGTCCTAGGCTGGGCACATTCAGGGCAGTTGCAAGGATTTCTGACGCTGTAGATAAAGGTCCATTTTGTTACCCCCTCATGAGATATGATTCGATTTCCACATAGGTTGAACTAAACACCAAATGGTAGTGAACTGAAAACCAGATTGCAAAATTAAGGTGAAAATAGCCAAGCTGCAACTGGTGGTGGGTCTGCCAAGTTGGAGAATTTTTAAAGTAGGCTATTTTTGTCTAGATTTTGCAATTTGTTTAACATATTTATACATTTTGGTGCCTAATGAACCCCCCTTCCACTCCCCCCAGTAATTATTAATTTGCTTTTAACAGGATGGAGGGCCATGCCAGCAAATGTTACTCTTTTATTAAAACACTATTTTTGGTTGGTGTAACCTTCTGATTTGTATCACTATTAGTTAAAATATATCCTTTAATAAATGTATCCTGCTTCTGAATGTTATTGCAATTATGTAGCAAAAGCGGTCCTATATTCACTAATAATGACCTGACTAAAGCTTTTATCTAAAACACGAGAGAGGAGAGGTTCAGATCGAGTACCTGCAACTCCTATAAAAAATTTTATTTGAATGAGACAGCTATTATTTCATTAATCACTATCATCCTCATGTCATATCTGAAGTTTAAAAAAGAGGAAAAAGTAAATAAAAACCAGTAATTGCTGCTCAAAGTTTGTATATAACTAAAAGTAGTGACTTTAAAGGGCACCACACTATACGGAGAGCTACTTTGTACTATATAAGGACAAAAGAATTACACACATACTAAAAAGCCTCACTGTCCTCATTGCAGCATGATCCATCACTCTCCATACCTCAAGGTAATGTAAGACTAACTATTGATAAAAATTCCTAATGGTACACAATTGGACAGATAGGGAAAAGTGTCAATAAATCAGAATATGGATAACCTCTTACTAAGAAATCAACAACAGTACCCTAGTACTTGGTGCATGTTCACCAGTAGATATTAGTTTATCAGGAGACTCCTGGCTGACCTTTTTGATCACAACTTATATTAAGTGCAGAGAACATTTATTAAAGTTGGCAATCCATATCTAACAAGCCTCTGAGTTATTGTAACCAATGGTTGGAATCTCTACTGTATTTAAAATTCATGGCAATTGACTAAGTAGCTTAATCTCTAAAAGGGGGTGTTAATTTAACCCCTTAAGGACCAAACATCTGGAATAAAAGGGAATAGCGACATGTCACACATGTCATGTGTCCTTAAGGGGTTAAGGAACTATTAAAATGTGTTTTTTAATAATAATAATAATAACAGCAACAAAGTATTTAACCAGGAAAAGTACATACAGATGACTCTGCTGTCCAAGTGTGTCCTGGGGGTGTTAGTTTTGCCCAACATCCAATTTTCCTATTTGACATTGTGTCTTAATGAAAGGTCCCCCCGGACTGTTTCTTGGAATAGAGGTAAGTGTTTAAATGTTTAAGACTTAACTATTTATGAGTTTTTGTGAAGTGTTGTTGTTTTTATTCGTGATTTGAGTATTTATGTGACATGCTCTGCTACAGTGATTATTGGATCTAACAGCCCATTATGTACTCTGTATTATTCGGTTTAATTTCTTCATATTTTGTTTGAATTTGTTGTCACCGTCTGCTCTTATGCCTCCACAGTTGTAAATATGTTCTTATGTATATCTATTGCTATATCTGTTTCTCTCCTTTCTTTCTGTTACTGTTGTTACCTACTGCTACAATTTCTGACATTCACTGTGACTATATTATGACCCTGAGGTTTGGCAGTGGTTTCATAGTGACTGGCAGTTCTCTGTTGGTTTTGATTTTGTTGTTCTCTGTCACCGTCGATATCAGTCACCCTGTTTTTTCGTTTTCTGGTGCCTATTTTAGCATCTTGGAAGTTTAGTAATGATTTTAATAAAAGATCTGGATAAGGACTGAAGTGTTGAAGAAGGAATTGAGGGTGCACCCGGAACATGCATTTCTCAGTAGTGGTGTTGCCGTAAAAATCAACATTTATTGAAAATACAGATTAAGGAACAGTGCACAATGGAGAAAATGCAGTTCTAAACTTTACAAGGTTAATTAACATCACCTGTCTTATCAAACAAATAAGGGGATTCAGTTATACCATATGCCAAATGGTGTAAGTGAATCACCACATGTGTTTGTTAAGATAGGGGATTTAAAGGGACACTATAGTTACCCAGACCACTTCAGCTCAATGAAGTGGTCTGGGTGCCAGGTCCCTCAGGTTTAATCCTTCAGATGTAAACATAGCAGTTTCAGAGAAAATCTAGTGTGCAGAATGTCCGTAGGAAAGCATTAAGAAATGCTTTCCTATGGACTGTTTGAATGCGCTCGGCTCTTGCCGCGCATGCGCATTCCGCTCCACTCGGGAGCTGACGTCGGCAGGGGGAGGAGAGGTCACCCGCGCCAGCGATCGCAGTTGGGGTGACTCCCAGGGAGCCCCCCGCGGCACATCCGACGTCCTGAAGCCCCCCCCAGCCATGTGAGAGTGAGGTCCTTGCGAGGACCACACAATCACATGGCCGGGATAGCTGGCTTCTGTATTGCCAGCAGGGGGGCTGCCTGTAATGACAGGTGGTCCCCCTGCTGGCTGGAAATAAAATAAAATAATGTTAAAAGTGTATTCAGCAAAGTCTCACGTGCAAAACAGTACCCCCTATATACAGGTTTTATGGTGTTTTGGGAAGTTACAGGGTCAAATATAGCACGTTACATTTGAAATTTAAATTCTCCAGATTGGTTACGTTGCCTTTGAGACTGCATAGTAGCCCAGGAATTAAACTTACACCCATAATGGCATACCATTTGCAATAGTACACAACCCAAGGTATTGCAAATGGGGTATGTCCAGTCTTTTTTAGTAGCCATTTGGTCACAAACACTTGCCAAAATTAGCATTAATATTTGTTTGTGTGTGAAAAATGCAAAAAACGCCAATTTTAGCCAATGTTTGTGACTAAGTGGCTACCAAAAAAGACTAGACATACCCCATTTGCAATACCTTGGGTTGTCTACTATTGCAAATGTTATGCCATCATAGGGGTAATTTTCATTCTTGGGCTGCCATAGGGTCTCAAAGGCAACGTAACCAATCTGGTGAATTTTAATGTGAATAAAATGAAACACAAGCCTTATATTTGATGCTGTAACTTTTGAAAACACCATAAAACCTGTACATGAGGGGTACTGTTGTACTCGGGAGACTTCGTTGAACACAAATATTTGTGTTTCAAAACAGTAAAAAGTATCACAGCAATAATATCGTCCGTGTAAGTGCTGTTTGTGTGTGAAAAATGCAAAAAACCCTTCACTTTTACTGGCGATATCATCGTTGTAATACATTATATTTGTGTTCAGCGAAGTCTCCCGAGTAAAACAGTACCCCCCATGAACAGGTTTTATGGTGTCTTGGAAAGTTATAGGGTTAAATATAGTGCTAGCAAATTAAATTCCCTATACTTTCGGCATGGGTTGTCAGGCAGGTCCCGCTAATTGGGATCACCGGCGACCGGGTAAGTAACAAAAACCATGAGGGCGTACTATTACACCCTGCGGCATTTAGAGCCGCCTAGAATAGGGCGTAATAGTATGTCCTCCGGTTTTTAGGGGTTAATGGCAATCAGACTTCTCGTTGGATCAACAACCTGTTTATTTACATATCAATTATATATATATCTATAGAATCTTATCAGACATTCAGCATCTTTATTGTTCTTGTCGTAAAGAACCCTTTCCTCTGCTGTAAGCGAAAGCCCTTTCTTCTTGTTTCAATTGGTGACCTCTTGTCTGTTTATTCCTGCTAATGAACAGGTTAGCACAGGGCGCTTTGCACTAACCCTATATATATTTGTAGGGTGCTATCATATCCCCTCCGAGGTGCCTTTTTTCTAAAGAAAACAAACCCAGTTTGTCTAGCGTCTACTCATAACTAATGTTGTCCATCCCCCTTACTAATTTTTAAGCTCGGCTCTGCACTCTTTCCAGTTCTGCAATATCCTTCTTTAAAACTGGTGCCCAAAATTGCACCAAATATTCAAGGTGGGATTTTACCATTGATTTACAAAGAGGCAAAATTATATTTTGATCATGTGAATCAATAACCCTTTTTATACACAAAAGCACCATACTAACTTTTTGCAACAGCAGATGGGCATTACATGCTATTGCCTAGTTTGTGTTCTATAATTGTTCCCAAGTCTTTTTCATTTAACATAATGCTGAACTTAACCCCATTTAATATATATGTGGCTTGTGGGTTCCTTGTTCTAAAATCCATGACTTTACATTTATCTTTATTGAATCTCATCTGCCGTTTACCTGTCGGTCAATTTATCCAAATCCATTTGTAGAGATGTTATATCATGTTCAGACTGTATTATCGTACTTTTGTGACATCTGCAAACACTGACACAGGACTTGCAATTCCCACTTCAAGATCATTTATATAAAGATTAAAGAGAAATGGACCCAGGACAGATCCATGAGATACTTTACTTACCACGTCTGTCCAATTTGAAAATTTTTCAGTTACAGCTACTCTCTGAACTTTCTCTTTAAGCCAGTGTTCTATTCAAGAACACGATCTAAACCAACTTTAGTTTTAATTTTAAATGCTCGAATCAGAGGTGGCTGGCCTAAATTTACCGGAAGTAAAGTTTTGACCGGGTTGCGACCATCCACCACATGTGCAGAGTTCCATGACGCTGGGTGGAAATTCCTGGTCACCCAAAACAATGGCACTTTCCGCAAATACATAGAGCTTGCTCAAGTCCAGAATATCATTCGAAGCTTCACCACCTCCTCTATCTCCCCACCAAAAATTGTCTAGCTACGTGGTTCTGAGACCGTGAGCACTCTTCAAAGTTTTAGTGGACTGCTGCTAGTCTGCGATACGATCAGGAGTTCCAGGTCATTTGGTGGTTGCTTCCGGTCAGGCACGGAATGTCTATTTAGCCTTCCTGTTGGTCTCTGATGCTCCTGAAGGCCGCTATGAAGAGCACTGATATGGGAGGCATTACTTTGAGTGATGGTTAGGAGCCATATACAGTTCCTGTGTGACCTGGTTGTCTGTCACACTTCTCCCGCCTTGTATTCTTCTCCGGCAGACATGGCTTGACCCATTTCGGGTCAACTTGGGGATGTCCAGCTAAAGTGTCCAAGGTCACTAGCTCAATCTACTGGGACAAACTGAGTGAATTAGGGGTTGTCACACTGAACCTCTGTCTCTGGCACGCTCACCCATCCTCAATGTGCCACACTTACACCCCTCAACTTGTCACACTTACCTACCTCGCCCTGCCACAGTCACCCCTCTAATCACCGATGACAGTCACCGCCTGAAGACAGTTATTATTGTACACAGTCATCTCCTATGTATGAAACGCAACCTCACCATAAACAAAGTGGAAGTGTGGGTGTATGCTGGGATCTCACTAATCCTAGTGTGCACCAGCTGCCTGCACTTGAAAGGAAAAATAAAGGACATTCAAATGAGTCTCTGGCCTGGGTGAAAAACATGTCTAATTTTGCCGATATACATTTAGAAGTTAGTATATATTAATTGCTTAGTAAGTAAGGGCAAGTAGACTTTTGCTTCAAAGTTCTCCGTTCAAAATGTTGCTATACCAAGTATTTGTGATGAGAACTATTATCTAATATCTATGTGGGATTTCTTTTTATCTAGCACTCAAGATATCAATTTTTACACAAGAGACAGAATCTTTGATGCTGTGGCAAATGAGAATGTAGAAGACTTGGCTGGACTTCAGGAGTATCTTCGACGAACAATGGCTAAACTCACTGACACAGTATATACAGGTAGGTGTACAGAGCATAGCATGGCTAATGGAGCTACAGCTCGCGGCTCATGCTTGCTAAAAAAAAAAAACTTTTAACTTAACACATTACTTTGTGCACTGTTCAGCAACTCTTGCTGCTTCTATCCCTCTAAGAGTCTAACATCCTCCTGTCATTATGTGGTCCTTTTCTGCTGCACTCACTAAACACACATTATTCTCCGTACCAGGCTGCATGTCAGGAGCAAGCTTCTGCCTGGTAGTAAGATGGCAAGCTGAGTGGTAGACAACAAATCCTGAGGAGAGTGCATTCGGAGTTTGTGATTAGCGAGAGAGAGGAATTGAGATCTGTGGAGCTTGTAAGATGGACAGGGTTGACAGGTGAAGGAGAGAGATTAACATAGGATATGCACAAACTTAAAATGCATCCTGCAAGTGTCTGTTCAGCACCACCTCCACTAGAAACAAGACACATACAAAACATGTCGGTGCGCAGAATGATTTAACTGCCTTATTTTGTTTCATAAGTGTATGAACATTCTATCGTTCAGGTCAATGTTGTCTACCATCCAGTCCGCAGACTGGTTGCAGTGTTTTCCATAGATTGAATTCTGGATGGAACTTTTTGCCATGGTTATCGTGTTTTTAGTGCAGTGTGAGAGTGCAGCTTGACCTCTGCCTACCAATTCCCTGGATTTACCACCAGAGGTGTAGATCTGCAGGGTAGTTTCTGGGCGGGTGCACAGCAGCTTCCAGATGTCCTGTTGCTGGGTATGAGCCCAAAACAGTACTGACCCTGCTGTAGCATCCTATGGCCTCTTTGCCTGGAGTAAGTTGGTCGTCTCAGCCAACTGCTAGAGCTACAAGCTAACCGAGGAGGTTTAACACCCTGGGCCATCTGTGCTCTGCTGAAGAAGATAGGTAATACTTGAAGGTTTTGTGGAGGTGTGCTGGTTGCAACAGCCTCCCTCTCTTATAGTTTCCTCCAGAATGTGGCACATAGGAAATAAAAAACAGGTAATAGGCCACAATAACCTGCCAAGTTCCCAGGGGTTGCTGCATGGTGCTGAGCTGCCATCTTAGGTCAGGCTAAGAAGAAATAAAATGCAGAGTACTTGAAATATGAATCCAAGTCAAAATCTTTATAAAACCAGGCTAATCCCCGCCAGTCCAAAAAGGGGAGAAGAATGGGGCCAGCTGAGACTGTGTACATTTGAGAACAGGAGTTCAGCTGCTTTGCTCACCCCATTAGGCTGTAACAGGTAAGCCTAAGGTATCGAAGCAAAATCCCAAAGTCAGCAAACCAAAATAAATCTAGTTTTATAGACATAAATCCAAGAAAAGCTCAGGAGCTCTGGTTGCATCTGGCTTGCTTGGCTGCTTGGCCCCACCCTCCTGTTTTAGCAAATATTTGCAAAGCTCCAAATTAACTTTACAGAATACATGGTTGATGAGGGACTGACAGGGAAGTATTAATATAGTTGGGCGGGTACTTGCAAGGAAGCGTGTAATATGTTTGTGATATGTGTAAAATCTGGCAGGGGCATTGCTTAGGTCAAAATATACCCAGGGCCTAACCTAATCTCAGAAAAAACTTGTGATCCCTCCCTTAACTTAACAATGCATACATAAAGACACATACTCACAGTTACATACTAAAGAAGCACATAGAGAGTTAAATACAGAAACACACAGAGTAACATGCCAAGGCACTCACATTTACAAATGCATACCTACAACCATAGATGTACAAAAACAACCACACATACATAAATACACACAGGCACACATATACTTACATAAACAGGAACAAAGATACACACAGGCACACACAAGTATATACAGGTGCACTCCAGACCACACAGACAGAAATGCACTGATACACACAAACACATTCACAAACAGACATGAAATAATACGCAGACACATAAATATACATAAGCACACAAACATACACATACAGAAAGCACACATACACAGACACATACAGAAAACACACATACACTGTAGCGGAGATACAATATTCCCCAGGCTATCTCCGCTTATAATCCTAGTGAGGCTCAGGAACAAGGAAATTATAAGTCCACAAGCAAGGTTTCCAGCAGGCAAAATAATCCAATAGTATCCCCACAGCAATCCCAATGACTGGACGACACACAGGATCAGGAGCAGAACTGAAAGCTTTATTCCACACTGGCCTTTTAAAGCATGCTCCCATGCAAGGGAGGGATTACATTCATTAATACATTAGCCAATCCTGTCCGGGTAACCTCCCACACATCTCCTCCCCTCAGCCTGCATCATAATCCCCTTATCCAGTACAGCAATTCCCCCCGTTTCTGGATGCAGGGCCGCCATCAGGGCATGACAACCGCAACGGTTGTCATGGGCCCGGCGGTCCTGGGGGGCCCGGACTGCTCAGGTCGTCCGGGCCCCACATTCAGTGGGTACATACCGGGTCGCAGGGGCCCTGCGACCCGGTATGTACCCACATGGACAGCCTCTTCTCCTGGGGGGCCCAGCAGCCGGTCACCTCAGGGCCCCCCAGAGGCTGGCCCTGCTGACACCCGGTGGCGGACGGCGCGCGAGGGAGCACTCTCTGTGTGCTTCCTCTTCAGCTCCCTCGCGCACCGCACTGATGCCGGAGCCGGAAGATGACGTCATCTTCCGACTCCGGCATCAGTACGCAGCGTGCAAGGGAGCTGAAGAGGAAGCACACAGAGAGTGCTCCTCGCGCGCCGGCCCGGGGTGTCGGGGGAAAATGAAATTCGAGGGGAGGGAAGGAATGAAATGGGAATGGGGAGGAGGAATGAAATGGGAGGGAGGGGAGGGATGAAATGGGAGGGAGGTGGAGAGAATAAAATGGGAGGGGGGTGGAGGAAGAGAATAAAATGGAAGGGGGGGGGAAGAGAATAAAATGGAAGGGGGGGTGGAGGAATGAAATGGGAGGGAGGGGGAGAGAATAAAATGGAAGGGGGGGTGGAGGTCTCAGCGGTGTTCGCCTAGTCGAGTGTCCGTTTTGAGTTCCAGACACTCGACGGCAAAACACCGCTGTTCGGGAGTTTAAGATGGCGGCCGCCACGTGTTCGTTTCCCGAATGGCGGCCACCCCCGAGAACAAAGGATTGCTACACAGCTTGTCAATTACCCGTTCGCAACAATGCTGCAACGGGAAATTGAAGGCACACTTCACACAGGGGAGGTTTGACTGTTCGGTAGTTTCATTCGAACAACCTAAGGGAATGAAACTACCTAACATTCAGACGAATCCAATATATTTTACACATAGAACTTTGCTATTTTACTCGAATGCATTCCCTTACTGCATAGACATTTTAGCAAACAGACGAATACAAGTTAAACATAATGTAAGTCCCAGGCAGCTCATGGCCATCCGCTACACTGCTCCCCCTTGCCCACAAGCCGGCATACACAGTCTGATCCAACGCAGATCGGCTTGGGCATGTCCGGGGAGGCTCACGGATCATTTCTCCAGGTCGGTTTGTCTTGACAACCCGTCAGCATTTCCATTCTGTTTACCCGGGCAGTACTGGATATTAAAGTCAAAGGGCTGCAGCGTCAAACTCCAGCGCAGCAGCCTGGCATTGTCCCCAGCCACCCGGTTTAGCCAGACCAACGGGTTGTGATCCGTGAGCAGGGAAAAAGCTTGCCCATACAAATACGGCTGTAATTTCTTTAGGGCCCACACCACAGCCAGGCATTCCTTCTCAATGGCGGCGTAGCTTACTTCGCGGGGTAGTAACTTGCGACTGATGTAAGCCACGGGATGTTCTCCGCCATCGGCCCCGACTTGGCTCAGTACTGCTCCCAATCCAAACATAGAAGCGTCTGTGTGGACAAGAAAATGTTTAGTTGGATTGGGAGCTGCCAAGACAGGGGCATTTATCAGTGCATTTTTCAGATGTTGGAATGCCTGTTCACACTCCGGGGTCCAGGTCACCTGGCGGGGTAGATTCTTCCGGGTAAGGTCAGTAAGGGGTTTGGCCAGGGCACTATAGTTAGAAATGCTAAAACTTGGGTCTTAGTCCTAGGGGTGGGCCACTGGGCCACAGCCTCTACTTTGGCTGGTTTGGGCTTCTGTTTGCCGCACCCCACTCTATGTCCCAGGTACTGCACCTCGGCCCTCCCTATGCTGCACTTGGCCGGTTTCAAGGTCAAACCAGCTTCCCTAATCCTGTCTAGGACCGCTCCTATATGGGCCAAGTGCTCCTGCCACGTATTGCTAAAAATGGCAATATCGTCCAGGTAGGCACAGGTATAGTCCTGGAACCCATCCAGGAGTTGGTCCACCATCCTCTGGAAAGTAGCTGGTGTGTTTTTCATCCCAAATGGCATGACCTTAAACTGGTACAAACCAAATGGGGTGACAAAGGCCGACTTAGGGATGGCATCTGGGGCCAGGGGAATTTGCCAATACCCCTTACATAAGTCAATAGTAGTGAGGTCATCCTGTCCAGTAGTTCATCTATCCGTGGCATTGGATAGGTATCCGACACGGTTTTCTCGTTCAAACTCCTGTAGTCCACGCAGAAGTGAGCCTCCCCAGATCGTTCCCCAATAAAACCTCCGCCGGTAACTGCGGCATCAACCCCACCTTCACGTGTCCTGACCCCGCTCCCCAATGCAAATGTACCCTTGCTGTAGGTAGCCAGTACACTGCTCCCCGGCTACCCTGACGGCCACAGTTTTACTTAGCTTAGCCTGATCCGAAACCAGGTGACTCTTTACCAGGGTGATTGTAGCTCCCGAGTCACGTAGTCCTTGGACCGCATTACCCTCCAGGTATACTGTCTGTCTGTGATGCTGTCTGTTATCAGCATTGGCCTGGACTAGATCTGCCTCGTGCAGTACTTCCCACTGTTCCACGGTGGTAATGGGCACTGCTGAACCATATGGTGTTGCCACTATGTCCTGGTAGTGGTGGGCTGCGGCTGCTCTTGGTGGTTGTGGCGGGCCTGGTCGGATCCAGGTGGAACGATCCCGTAATTGTGGGCATTCCCTTTTATAATGTCCCCATTTCTGGCAGTGATGACAGGGCCCAGAAGTGGGCTAACGGAAACGTGGCTGTGCAGTGGGCGGTGGTGGTGGTGGTGGTAGTGATCTCGGTGGAGCTGGGGTGTAGCTGGTTCCCCCAAAGGTTTTAAATGTGGCTTTTGGAGCTGCAGGTTTTTGCTGCCTGCGTGCATCCAGGTACTCATCTGCCTTCCTGGCAGCTTCGGTGAGGGAGGTAGGGTTTCTGTCCATTACCCACTCCTGGACATCGTTGGTTACTCCCTCATAAAATTGCTCCATCAGCATCATCTGTATTACATCCTCCATGGACCGCGCCTTGCTAGCTTGCACCCACCCGAGTGCTGCCCTTTGTAACCTGCATGCCCACTCTGCGTGTGAGTCTTTTTCCACCTTTTTTAAATCCCTGAATCTCCGCCGGTATGCTTCTGGTGTTATAGCATACCTGGCTAGTATAATTTCTTTTACTTTACTGTAATTCCGGATTTCCTCATTGGGTACAGTACGATATGCCTCTTCTGCCCTCCCAGTTAACCTTCCTGCCAAAATAGGTACCCAGTCCTCTGCGCTGATTCTATGCAGTGCACACAGCCTCTCAAAATCTTGCAGGAAAGCATCTATATCTTCCTCTGTCTCCACATACGTTTTAAAAGCCTAGTATAGTATTTTAGGCTTACCTTCTTGTGGCATATTTACTGCAGAGCTGCGTTCTGGGGCTGCTGTTGTCTGTTTCCTTAAGATGAATTCCTGGACCTCTGTCATAGTCTTTGAAATAATTTCTGCTGGAGGGTGTTCCCCTTAAAAAGACAGCCTAAATTGTAGCTGCCTCTGGAACTCCATCTGTTCCTGTGTTTCTCCCGAATCCCCCTGTTCGGGAACCGAATCGCCATCCATTCGGTACTCTGCCATAAGTTCAGTAATGAGTACTGCTTTCTTCTTGTTGCTGGCTTGGATACCCCTTGCCTCCAGGAGGTCCTTTAGCGTGGAGAGTTTTAGCCTAGCAAAATCAATCTCCATCCGTACTCCATTTATGCTTGTTCCTCTGTGAGTCTGGATCCCAGCACTGCCAACCAACTGTGAGTCTGGATCCCAGCGCTGCCAATATTCCCCAGGCTATCTCCGCTTATAATCCTAGTGAGGCTCAGGAACAAGGAAATTATAAGTCCACAGGCAAGGTTTCCAGCAGGCAAAATAATCCAATAGTATCCCCACAGCAATCCCAATGACTGGACGACACACAGGATCAGAAGCAGGACTGAAAGCTTTATTCCACACTGGCCTTTTAAAGCATGCTCCCATGCAAGGGAGGGATTACATTCATTAATACATTAACCAATCCTGTCCGGGTAACCTCCCACACATCTCCTCCCTTCAGCCTGCATCATAATTCCCTTATCCAGTACAGCAACTCCCCCCGTTTCTGGATGTACCCCTAAACCTAGGGGTACCCCTTTAAATTATGCATCCCCTGGTAGCCCTGATCTGGGTGAACAACATATCCAAAAATCACCCAGATCAGACCAGGGGTTTGGGAATTTCATGGAGGGAATAAAATGACCGACCACACTGGATGAACTAGCCGAATTGGGCTCCATGCGATTGGGCCCTGCGGTCGGTCCTGGAAAAGGCGAATGCAGTACCTGAAAGCCTCCAGCTATAGAGGCTTGGGAGGGTTCGCCTGAATCCCCTCGTTCGGTTGATTATGCCTACCGAACGAGGGGCCGTTCGGTAGTTTGGAACCGAACGGACCGGGCTGATGGAGGTCTCAGCGGTGTTCGCCTAGTCGAGTGTCCGTTTTGAGTTCCAGACACTCGATGGCAAAACACCGCTGTTCGGGAGTTTAAGATGGCCGCTGCCACTTGTTCGTTTCCCGAATGGCGGCCACCCCCGAGAACAAAGTTTTGCTACACAGCTTGTCAATTACCCGTTCGCAACAATGTTGCAACGGGTAATTGAAGGCACACTTCACACAGGGGAGGTCTGACTGTTCAGTAGTTTCATTCGAACAACCGAAGGGAATGAAACTACCTAACATTCAGATGAATCCAATACATTTTAACCATAGAACGTGCTATTTTACTCGAATGCATTCCCTTACTGCATAGACATTTTAGCAAACAGACGAATACAAGTTAAACATAATGTAAGTCCCAGGGCAGCTCATGGCCATCCGCTACATACACAGACACATGTATGCACAGACAGACACTGACAGACATAAACACAAACACACACTCACTATAAAATAAAATTACTGAGCAGCAGCGACCAGTTAAATATTTAATTATGAACCTCACTCTGTGGCTTAGGTCGCAGACTTGCTGCTCTCCCTGTCCTGCTGGTCTCCTGCATCAGTCTTAGCTCAGACAGCACAGTGGTAATGCACAATAATAGAGGTCTGGGAATATGATTCTATATGCGCTGTGTCTCTATTTAAACTGTGCTGCCCAAATGAGGGCCACATTCCCCTTAATCATAGGATCACACTATCACATAGGAAGCTAGCATAGCATCACAACAGGAAGCTTTTATTTGTTCAAACCTAACTACTTCAACCTCCAGCGTTTATGGTTTGAGCAACCCCAGTCTGCTACAATTCATATGAGTAGTTTTCTTTTTATTATTATGCACTATTTTATACAGTCGGCACTATTTTATATACTTTGTGTTTCCACATATTCATGGTGAGGATGCTACAACCACTGAAATCCTAAAGTGGAGATCATTCCACTGATCACCGTCTACCAGGAGCCAGTGAAGGCTCCAGAGAATGTGAATGGACTAGTCACATATTTTTATATTTCCTGTGTACAATATACTACACTATATTGCCTTCTTTATTTCTAATTTTATATATCCCATATTACAAGCAGTACCTACACAATGGAGTATTCCCTCCAGATACACCAAAGCAGGGGTTATACTATTCAAGCATTCATACCAGTGCTAGATTTTATCTCTTTAGAGTGTAAGAGCATTCTCCTCGTCTTACCTCATATTAGCAAGACATACTACACTATTATATGTCTCCATTTCTCTTTTTTACATACCCATTGGACTGTGAAGGCGCAACCACCATCTCTCCCTCAAGGTTCCTTTTGTCAGGCAGATACGAGAAACTTCTGGCATGGGTGTGTTGCTGCCTACACTCTCCTCCAAGACACTCCTCAGCACGGAACCATTTTGTATTGTTTATAACAATGATTGCCAGTGAGCTAAAATGAGGGTGCCCAGTTGCAGGATAAAGAAGTGTGGATTTTTACATTAACAGGGTTATCCACTAAAGTGAGAATTCAAAGTGAATTTAAAGTGAATTTTAAATGTATGGCCAAAGTAGCTGAAATGAAAGCACAGCGCAATTAGATAATTTTTCCAGTTCAGCAAACTGTGACCTTAAATTTTAAATTCACTTTGAATTCTCACTTTAGTGAAAACACTGTAAATGTTATTGTTTATTAGAGGTAACTTTTGGAATTTTAAATTTAAATAACCTCAATGAAAGTATTGCTGACTGAAATTATAGGAGGAATCTGAAATATTGATTAGAAACAACATATTTTAAAATGAAAACCCTATCAGAACTGTATAATTCAGTATTCAATATTATTTTGAGCATTGTTATGCATCATTAAACTCACTTTTGCAACAATGGAATCAAACTATGAAGAACAGGAAGTAATAATGCATATATTTTAAAGAAACACTATAGGGTCAGGAACACAAACATGTATGCAAAAACCCACTATTTAGGTGGCTTGCCTCCCCTCTCCCCTTAAAAGGAATTAAAACTCACCTTATTTACAGCGCCTCGTGGGTCCGCCGCCACTGGTCCCGCCCTCTTGGTGACATAATCAGAATTGCTGATTTTTAGCCAATCCAATGCTTTCCCAGTGGGGAAAGCATTGGGTTGGCTAAAATCCACGAGGGGCAGGGCCAAACACATTTTGCCAATCAGCACCTCCTCATAGATATGCACTGAATCAATGCATCTCTATGAGGAAAATTCAGCGTCCCTATGCAGAACGTGGCGACGCTGAATGGCACTGCTGCCTACTGTGCAGCACTGAGCCAGGAAGCACCTCCAGGGGCCATCTGAGGAATGGCCACTTGGAGGTGTCCCTAGAGGCAATACATGAAAATGCCTACATATAATCATTATACTCACCAAACAACTACATAAACCTGTAGATGTTCTGGTGACGATAGTGTCCCTTTATGTCTGCATACTTCTGAGGTTACTCTATAGACAATATTTCATGCCAAGATGCACTACATTGTAATTATACTATTTTGTTATTACATTTCAGATCCTGCCACAGGGAAGACATGCCTACTTAAGGCCATGTGGAACTTGAAGAATGGAATGAATGACACAATCCCGGTCTTGCTGGAAGCTGCTAAACAAACTGCTAATCTGAAAGATTTGGTAAACGCTCCATACACAAATGCTTACTTTCACGGTAAGGGAACAAAATCTTCTCCAGGTTCTGAACTAACAAAATATAGCTCGTGACAGAATTACTTAGTACGTCTGCACATTCTTTTTGTTCCGACTTCTGTCCACAATTTAATCCCTTCTTAAATATTAATAAACTCTTGAACTGTCAAATTGTCTCCATTCAATAATTCACACAAAATACAGTGAAAGAGCCACATTGGAAAACTATCTTGTTGGAGTCAGAGAGTTTGTCTACTTATTTATTCAGTGCCAGGAAACTAAACAGCACATAGCAATGAGTTAAACACTTATATAATTTGGGTTTTCTTTAAAGAGCTATGTCTTGAGGAAGTAAGACATGGTTCAATGTACTAGCAAACCAATGTTGAAAGACCAGGGACTAATTGACATAATCCAAAAATACAATAAAATGTGATTTAAAAAAGTGTTGTGCTCAAGGTGTAAAAGGAAAGCATTAAAACAGAAATGGTAGGGCCCAAATTGGAAAGAATTTAGGGGGAATTTACTGAGTTTATCAAAACTGAGCCAGAATTTGCTTGATAGTGGGCAAAGCTATTGCCAACTCTTTTGCCAGTTGCAGAAAAGTGGTGCTCTATTCCCTTTTTAAAAAACAACAACTTTTATAGATTTATGGATTTTATAGATTTTGCATAAATAGCGCAAACAGTGTACAGTGCAAAATGTAAGTAATGCAACATTACATTCAATTAAAATAACATGAGTTTGTCTAAGTTTAGGTAGTTTCCTTCATGCAGAGATCACAATACTTTTCATTTATTAGACGAATGTTAATCCCGTAGTTGAATCATGACTGTGATAGGACGGTTGGTCAGATAAACTAAGGCGTCAGTCATTTTTGTAGAATCAATGAGCAGGATAACAGTTAACCGTATCTTGCTCCTAAATTATGTGGACCATGTAGACTACTCGTAGAGCGTACGACTATTCTGGGAAACGTGTTCGAACTGATCTTTGTTTAGTAAATTCTCTTTAGTGTGCACTTGTTAAAATGAAATTGTGAAACAGTAAGACATAAGGAAAATTTAACAAGGGGAAAAGGGGGGCAAAGGTGCTTGGTTCTTATGTCAATTCCAGACTCGTGAAAAATAGTAGATTTTGATCCCTTTATGACAAGATGTTGAGTAAATTCCATCATATAGTAACAGCCCAGTGGCATTAAGGGGTTAATGTATTCTGTATGAATCTGATGGATGGGATCCAGACATAATGCCCTATAAGTGGCATTTGAGTACATCAAGGTGTATGTTACGAGAAAAAATGGATATGCATGAAATGTCTGAGATGAGGTGATAGTCAAGTATGAGAGAATGATAAAGACAGCTGAGTGGAAAGGAAAGTAAAACATTTAAAAACAACAAAAACAAAACATAAGGGATAATAAACATCTAGTGGAGAAAGATGGACAGGATAGTGTAGGAAGAGAGTAAGGGAAAAAAACAAACCAAATATTAAAAATTACGTAGAAGGAAAATGGGATGGATAGAAACTCAAACACCATTTCTGTTTATACATTAGATTAAGGATATTGTTTGATAGTTACCCAAGTGTAAGGTAAAATGAACAGCAACCATACTTTTGATTATTTTTGTAATTCTGGAGTTGTGAATTGCATGCGAGACATGTTCCAACTGTATATGCAAATAAAATTTCCTTTTCATGCATATGTAATTAAGTGATCACTCCAGGCCAATACAACTTTAATGTATTTGAGAGATTTTGGCCTCAGTATTTTTTTGTATTATTTTTGCATGCTCAATTCCTGATAGTTACATAGCAATCTTGGATGAAAAATAAGACCAAAATCCGTTAAGTTCAACCTTAAAACCCATTAAAGTTTAAACACACACAAAAAATATTTTTTCAGAATACCACTCCCTCCTTATTCAGCTCCCTCATGCCAGTAAGAGTTCATTATCGAATATATGCACACAATATCAGCCCCAATAGCACCGAGCTGATTATAATTAACAACCTGGCTCTAAACACTCAGAGAAACTGCAAACAAATAGTGGTATCATCACTTAATCATTCCCTCTTAATGCAAGTTGCTGCATAGTTAAGATCATCCAATATTGTGAGTGGCTGAGCTGTGTGCATACATTTGATAAGGAAGCTTTTTTCTGGAGTGTGTGGGTATGACTAAGGAGGCAAGCCTAAGGTGGAGCATTGTGTAAAACATTTTGTTTTGGGGGAAAAATATAAGATTTTTGCATGCAAAAAATACAGCATATTAATGAGATCGGAACAAAATGCATGACAGTTGTATTGAGTGTCCCTTTAATTCACAGTGAATCGTGTGAGCAGAACTCTACTACAAGAAGAATTAATATTAATTCCTCGTATATCTTCTCATAACTAAGAGAAGAAAAGTTACAAAAAGGAAACTGTATTTTAAATACATTTTGCTGCTTTTTTGATACAGGATACTTAATGTAACATATTTTCCAGAACCCTAATGTTTCACATATTACCCCCAGATTGCTAAATTGTACATAATGTCAATTTACTTATTTTGTGCTTAGTTTCCCCATATACAGTATCCCACAAAAGTACACTCCTCACATTTTTGTTAATATTTTATTATATCTTTTCATGTGACAACACTGAAGAAATGACACTCTGCTACAATGTAAAGTAGTAAGTGTACATCCTGTATAACAGTGTAAATTTGCTGTTCCCTCAAAATAACTCACACAGTCATTAATGTCTAAACCATTGGCAACAAACATGAGTACGCCCCTGTCAGGATCTTACCTGGGTTGGGAGTCTGTAGCGCAGATATGTTGCTCACCCTTGCAGATAGCCACAGGCCAAGGTGGTCAGGTAAGAATTCACCCGGCCTGTGGGTCTGTGCACGGGGGCTGTGCAGGATGAAGTACCAAGTCGCAGGACAGGCAAGGACTCAAACAGCAGGATCGTCAAAGGATAGCCGAGGTCAAAGGATGCCAGAAGACAGGAACAACGAGGAGTAGCCGAAGTCAAGGGATGCCAGAGGTCAGAGTAAACGTAGTCAGAAGCCGGGGTCAATAACAAGTAGCAGTTCAAACAACAGGAACACTGGTACAAAGCACACAACAGGATCAAAGACTTGATCCTGATCACAGGGCGAGGCTGAGTTTAAATACCCTGCTAATGTCTGATCAGGTTCAGGTGCAGCACAGCCAAATTCAAGGTACAGCCCCCAGAGTGATAGACAAGCCAGGATGAACAGGACCGGAATGACTTGCAGACTACAAAAGCTGCTGTGGCTCAGAGGTAGGAAGCAGGACCAGGACTGCAAAGTTCCCCGGTTCAAGTCCCTTGTTGGGATCTCCACGGGTGACCACGTCTAGCCATCTGTTTGATGTGGCGAGAACCGTGACAGTACCCCCCCTTCAAGAACACCCTCCAGGTGTGATTAGGTTTGTCGTCATAACAGAACACCTCTTCAGGTTCACTGTCAGAATCAAGCGAGTCCCCATAGTCAAAGTCCTCAGTGTGGAATCCCTTTACAGCATGGGACTCCTTAGTACCAGCTTCTGGTACGGCTGGAGAACAATCTTTCAGGATCTGGGTGCAGGTGGTAAGTACTTCTGTTACTTCGGCAGGAGCAATGTTCGTGGCTAACAATGCTTTTTCGAACATTTCAAGATCTTCTGTACGGACTGTAGTGCCATTAGAAGCAATGGCACAATCCACAGGTACATCTTCTTTGGGCGGGCAGGAAGTAGTGATGGTATCACAGGAAGTAACTTCGGGAGTAGATACAGGCGGCACTGGAGCAGGGGGTTTTCTTGTGGAAGCCAAGCATGGGCAAGAATAACGGCTTCTATGTAGCTCTTTAGGCTGGCATGCAGTGTATACAGGGTGGAGGAAAGAAGTACCCAGTCGGAGAGCTGGAGGTCTAGGAGGACGAACAGGGCAAAGTGTGATGAAATGCCCTCTTTCTCCACAGTAGTAACATAGGCCATGACTTCTCCTTCGGTCTCTTTCCTCAGGTGTCACTTTGCAGTGAACAAGTCCTAATTGCATAGGTTCCTCAGGGTCAAGTGGAACACAGGATACCTCAGGAGTTTTCCTAGGAACAGGATCATAAGGAGACATCACTGGGGTGTAGTGGTGGTACTGGGTTTCTTGGTTACGAAGAATCTGAGATTTTTTGGTACGTGGAGCTGGCTTGGTCACAGTAGCCTTGCATTGTGAGTCCATAGCGGTACTGAAGGATTCCCAGCTGACAAGGACAGGACTCTTTGTCTGCAACATTTGGTGAGCCCATACTTTGATGCATCCAGACAACAGGTTGATAGCCGCTCGGACCTTGATGAAATCTGTGGCATATGTTCGAGGCTTTAAAGAAAACAACACCTCACAATCCATTTTAAAAGACTGAAAGGATGTGCGGCTACCATCAAAACGGTCGGGCATGATGACAAACGGTTCAGGATAAGCTGGTTCCGGGGCTGGATGTACTGCGCCTTTAAGAAATAAAATTTCTTGCTGCAACTCCAAAACAGTCTGGGCCAGGCTGGACACTGGTTGGGACATGGGTGAGCACATCTCTGCGGACTCCATATTGATCAAGTCTTATGTCAGGATCTTACCTGGGTTGGGAGTCTGTAGCGCAGATATGTTGCTCACCCTTGCAGATAGCCACAGGCCAAGGTGGTCAGGTAAGAATTCACCCGGCCTGTGGGTCTGTGCACGGGGGCTGTGCAGGATGAAGTACCAAGTCGCAGGACAGGCAAGGACTCAAACAGCAGGATCGTCAAAGGATAGCCGAGGTCAAAGGATGCCAGAAGATAGGAACAACGAGGAGTAGCCGAAGTCAAGGGATGCCAGAGGTCAGAGTAAACGTAGTCAGAAGCCAGGGTCAATAACAAGTAGCAGTTCAAACAACAGGAACACTGGTACAAAGCACACAACAGGATCAAAGACTTGATCCTGATCACAGGGCGAGGCTGAGTTTAAATACCCTGCTAATGTCTGATCAGGTTCAGGTGCAGCACAGCCAAATTCAAGGTACAGCCCCCAGAGTGATAGACAAGCCAGGATGAACAGGACCGGAATGACTTGCAGAATACAAAAGCTGCTGTGGCTCAGAGGTAGGAAGCAGGACCAGCACTGCAAAGTTCCCCGGTTCAAGTCCCTTGTTGGGATCTCCATGGGTGACCACGTCTAGCCGTCTGTTTGATGTGGCGAGAACCGTGACAGCCCCTAAGTGGAAATGTCTAAGTTGGGCCCAATTAACCATGTTCCCTCCCCGGTGTCATGTGACTCATTAGTGTTACAAGGTCTCAGGTGCAGGGGAGCAGGTGTGTTAAATTTGGTGTTATCGCTCTCACACTCTCTCATACTGGTCACTGGAAGTTCAACATGGCACCTCATGGCAAATAACTCTCTGAGGATCTGAAAAAAAGAATTGTTGCTCTATATAACTGGCATAGGCTATAAGAAACGTGCAAAGACCCTGAAACTGAGCTGCAGCACTGTAGGCAAGACCATACAGCAGTTTCAAAGGACAGGTTCCACTCAGAAAAGGCCTTGCGATGGTCTACCAAAGAAGTTGAGTGCACGTGCTCAGTGTCATATCCAGAGGTTGTCTTTGGGAAACAGAAGTATGAGTGCTGCCAGCATTGCTGCAGAGGTGGAAGGGATGGGGAGACGGGTCAGTTTGTTAGTGCTCAGACCATACGCTGCATTACTGGAACCATGTCCTGTGGTCCGATGAGACCAAGATAAACTTATTTAGTTCATATGGTGTCAATCGTGTGTGGTGGCAACCAGGTGAGGGGTACAAAGACAAGTGTGTCTTGCCTACAGTCAAGCATGGTAGGAGTGTCATGGTCTTGGCCTGCATGAGTGCTGCTGGCACTGGGGAGCTACAGTTCATTGAGGGAACCATAAATGCCAACATGTACTGTAACATACTGAAGCAGAGCATGATCCCCTCCCTTGAGAGACTGGGCCACAGGGCAGTATTCCAACATGATAACGACCCCAAACACACTTCAAAGAAGACCACTGCCTTGCTAAAGAAGCTGAAGGTAAAGGTGATGGACTGGCCAAGCATGTCTTCAGACCTATACCCTATTGAGAAAATGTGGGGTATCCTCAAACGGAAGGTGGGGGAGTGCAAGGTCTCTAACGTCCACCTGCTTTGTGTGTCCTGTGGCAACCTGTAAAGTTCTGGTGAACTCCATGCCCATGAGGGATAAGGCTGTGCTGGAAAATAATGGTGGCCACACAAAATATTGACACTTTGGGCCCAACGTGGACATTTCCACTTAGGGGTGTACTCACTTTTGTTGCCAACAATGGTATAGACATTAATGGCTGTGTGTTGACTTATTTTGAGGGGACAGCAAATTTACACCGTTATACAGGCTGTATACTTACTACTTTACATTGTAGCAGAGTGTCATTTCCTCAGTATTGTCACATGAAAAGATATAATAAAATATTTACAAAAATGTGACTTTTGTAAGTTACTGTATATATATATATTTATATATAGCTGCACATATACTCATATATTCTCATATTTTGTCACTTTGCCATGACACTGCCCGTGTTGCACCAGGATTTCTGCCAGAAATTCTAAATTAAAAGTCAGTCCTTCTCATATCAATGACACTATTTTTTAGCTATTTAATATTTTAGGGTAAACATATGATTTTGCAATAGTGATGCTTTGATTTCAATAAGTTTTATGTTATCAGTACAAAAATCAATGACCGCTTTGTCAAGTCTTCAGATTTACACATGATCTCTTTCATTGTCATTTCATGATCAAGTCTGGATGTTCCATTAGAAACAGAACCAGTCACCAGCACTAATTAATGGGGGCATTAGACGTGAGCATCACAAGCAAAAAGCCATGGGATGGAGTTTGTTGAATCCAATATTCACTTACAGAAATTTACCTAATGTCAGTCTAATAGATTTTTTTTCACTATGTCTCAATAAGTTGCGACTTGGGATATATGCACGGAGAAGCCAAAGGTTTCATTGAATGAAACATTATTTTTTTAGAAAAGCCAGACAGCAAATAACGTTATTGTTTTTGGGTGATACAGACTTGGCTCACAGTGCATTGTCTGATCGATGAGTGCATGAACAGTATCTGCAGTTAGCAAAAGGCAATCCATTTTTAAAGCAGAAGAACATCAGATTTGCAAAGGGAGCTATTCCCTAAACAGTAATATATGGCAAATTGGTGAATAATTAAAAGGTAACTGCTCAATGTATGGTGAAATGCCAAATTAAAAAGCATCTCTCCTACTCAATTATTTTCCTAGATATTCTGGAGCAGGAAATTTGGTATGTAAATAACCATGAACGCACAACCCAGACAAAGGCATGCATTTTACTTAAACTGGGAGTGGGAAAGGCTTATTTTAGTCGATCAAATGAGTATTCCAATACCTCAATATATTAGAGTGCTATGTTTGCTTAGCACCAAACCTCTCCTTGATCAATTGCTGTTTATTATTCCTTTTTGAGTTGCTTCCATTAAGCAAGCCTTTATTCATATTTTATTTATTTTACTGCAGGACAGACCGCACTTCACATTGCCATAGAAAAAAGAAATTTCCAATTAGTTGAACTTCTAATAAAAACACAAGCGAATGTCCATGCCAAAGCAGATGGAGAGTTTTTTCAAAAGAAAAAGAAGGGAGTTGGCTTTTATTTTGGTGAGTATCTTGATGAAAATAAATGTATCACATGACCTAAATCTGAACCTGTCTATGGAGCGCAGGAGCGTACTTACAATACTAACATTATTAGAATCCATGTTGTTTTATTTTTTACATATATGTTACACATACATTAAATTCATCCTGTATTATTATTCATGCTATGTGGTATAACCCGACTGCAGCCAGTGTGCCCCTGTATTAATAACTTGCTAGTGTCAGCAAACTTGCAGCAGCTAATATCTTGTGACGGGATAAACATTAGCGTACACCAGAGAAATGTGTATATATACTACACTGGGTTGTATAGCTTGTAAGGTGGAGGGAGTAGAGAAATGCGTACTGCGTTTAGCTCAAAAACTGGATCAAGGATCACCAATTCATATAAGCATATAAACATTAGAACAAACTAAATCCACCAGAAACACTAGTGGAAACACCAGTAGCTTGTACTTAGGTTAGGGAGGAATTACAGTAAATAGCAATACAATATGCCAATAAAAATAATCAATTAATTTGAAATCAAAGTTATAAGTTAACTAGAACACAGATCTCAATGGTAAAAAAGAGGATAAAATAAATAAAGACAGAACTAAATAAATGAAAAGTAAAAAAATTAAAATAGAAAAGATAGGAAATGTTAACAGAGATTTAAAAATAAAAAAGGGGGGGCGGCGCGGTGTATCGGTAATCAAATAGTGCAATAAGTCCAATACCTAATGGTCCTGGACAGGCCCGATCCTGTTCTCAGTGAGGGAACAGTAAGGAGCCTAGGGTCACAGACGCCTGGATGCAGAATTTTGTTTGGTGCCCCAAATCTGTATGTATGTTAGTGCAGGCACCTGTGTAACTGTCACCACACACATTGTTAACCTCCCTTCACCCTGCATGTCCTTTTCCTTGCTATATCTAATATTAGATACCGGTGCATTTCCCACGTATATTGCAATATATCGTATATGAGACCTGCGTGTCTCCCATATTCTAATGTGCACCTTGATATTCCATGACACCTTGACATTTATGACCCTCATTTTGAATCGTACATTGCTTAAAATTAAAAAAATGAAATAAAAACGTATTTCCAAAATAAAAAAAGGGTGGGTAAATGGAAAAGAGACACACAAAACGGCTGGCGGGAGAAATAGACATACAAAAGGAGCTGTGAGTAAGAGACACACAAAAGGTGCTGGGTGGACAAAGAGAAAGAGTCACACAGAGGGGCTGAGGGGAAAAGAGACACACAAAGGGACTGGGGAGAAAGAGACACACAAAGGGGCTGGGGGAGAAAAAACACACAAAGAAGCTGGGGGAAGTAAGAGACAAACAAAGGGAGGAGAAAGATATGCACAAGGGGGTTTAAGATACACAAATATACATGACAAAGGGGCTGAGGAAAGATAAAGAGTCACACAGAGGGGCTGAGGGGACAAAGAGACACACAAAGAGACTGGGGAGAAAGAGACACACAAAGGGGCTGGGGGAGAAAAAAACACACAAAGAAGCTGGGGTAAGTAAGAGACACACAAAGGGAGGAGAAAGATATGCATAATGGGTTTTAAGATACACAACTGGTTTCCCTCTGGGGGGAAATAAACAAAAATGGCCTAAGAAATGTAAAAGAGGGTGGTTTTTCCTATGATGAGATAGAAAGAGTTAGAATCGATGATCTTTGAGAGACAGAGATCTGCACCGCCATCTTTCCATTAGGGATATGTTTTGGATTTTCACATTATCCACTAGGTCTCCCCTTGTAGAATGGTATCTCTCTTTCTATCTCTTATTAGTTGGTTTATACAGTGTTCTTGTGTATCTGTTGATATTTAAAAAAAAAAAAAAAGTAAAACAGCACCTGCCATGTTTGTTACACTATATGTATACTATTTGATATGCATGTTTTATGCATCTTTCTGTAAAGTGTTTAGGCTGAACTATCTTATGATGTAATAAACTAGTATTAGGGATCATAAATGTATTTGGTGAAGATAACAATATGAGGTTATAAATATACATGACAAGATACTTATATGATTATGATAAGATGGTAAACTGTAAGATTAACATTAACAACACAAAGCTACAATAGTCCTTATAATGTTACTTTACCTATGCTTTTCTACAGGAGAGCTCCCTCTGTCTCTAGCAGCGTGTACGAATCAGCCCGATATTGTAAATTTCCTTCTAAATAACCCATACCGGAAAGCTGACCTCGCTGCCATAGATAGCCATGGAAACACTGTATTACATGCTCTGGTTTTGGTGGCAGATAACACAGAAGAGAATACAGAAACAGTAACCAAAATGTATGATGATATTTTGAAGAAATCAGTGAAAATTAATCCACAACTCAGATTGGAAGAAATTCCCAACAAGGAGGGATTAACTCCTTTAAAACTGGCAGCAAAGACTGGCAAAATTGAGGTAAGTCCATGGAAATATCCGTGGGGTCCGTGTGCCAAATGGGGAGCACGTCAAAAGTCAAGTTTGAAAAAATTAATTATAATGAACAATTATATTAATATTGTGTTCACCTGGCTAAGTGTCACTAAACCAATGGAAAAAAAAGAAACTAAGAAATGCCACAATGAAAATGTCATATAGGCAGTGAAGTATAAATTAACCTACAACATAGATTTAGGGTGCCTAAGCTAGGGGATATTTGGGGCTAGCTGGGGACATAGGGATGGAGGAAAAGATCTGCCTGAGAAGTTACAGTCCATAACACCTTGTAGGCTGATAGCAACTAACCATAAGTCACTCTAATCGTAACATCCCTCTAACCCTAAACATACCCTATCCCTACGCTCCCCAAACCTAATTCTAAGTCCCCATAAATGCTACCTAATTCATTGACCTTCTTATAAAATACTACTCTAATAATAAACATTACTTTAGAGATGTATTTTTGCACAGGTATAAAGATGCTGTGGCACACTTATACAGCATCATTATAATATATATTCTCCAATTTATTTTATATATTTAAAACAAACCAAATTTAAATGTATACTAGAGGACATATCTATATCTAGAATATGTCATATATATGATTCACTGTACTGCACTGCTATCTACAAGACAGATCCAAGCGTACACATGTTAAATAACAGTGCATAAAATAATTGGTTCTTCTTAGGCCCATTTTGTCCTAAGGATAGCATTTAGTTAAAAGTTAGTGTTTTTAGGAATTCACCTATTTAAGCACAGGATCTTTGGACACTCTAACTAGTTAAATATTAAAAATACTTTCCACTTATATTTATATATTTCAGTTGTTCAGACACATACTTCGGAGAGAGATAACAGAGCCAGAGTATAGACATCTTTCTCGAAAGTTCACAGAGTGGACCTATGGACCAGTGCACACATCACTATATGATCTGTCATCTGTGGACACGCATGAAAGGGACTCTGTTTTGGAAACAATTGTATTTAAAAGTAATGCCAATGTGAGTATGAAATTATGTTTTATTGAGTAAAATTATTTTACTGGGGGATACAACTTAAACTACAAATAAAACCAGCAACTTACTGCCTATTCCTTAGATAGTGATTTGCTGTGAGTTGACCCGTGGCTTTCAAATAACAGGGCAAAATTGACTAGTTAAACTAGTTAAACCCTTGTCATGTGTTTTTGGCTGTTGGTTGACTATGATGACATATCCTCAGCCAATCAGAAACAAAGGCACAAACTGTAGGTCTTCTCTCTTCCATGATATGAGAATTGCCGAACGGTTTACAATGTTTGTTTAATGCAGAAGCAGAGTGATGTTAAGGAGGTGCACAGGATACCTCACCAGGTACCTCACCTACAAGCCAGATTTTAGCTTGCAGCAGTTACTGCCAATTCATATTACAGTCAATTAGTCTTTTATTAGCAGGTGGTTGCAATGACAAGCAACAGAAACAACTGTAATTGGGTGTCCTTTGCCCCTCACTTAAGTGCCCTCTATGGCCTTGTCAGACCAGCTCTATATATCTCTACTCAAGGTTGATTATGGTGCAGGTAACATAAAACCTTATCCCCAGTCACCTACCCAGTTATATTTTCTCATCTAATTACGTCCACAGTCTCCTGCTCCTATTCACCCAGTAAGTACTAGAAATAAAAATAAGCCATAAAAGATGGAGGTTTATGGCATAAAAACATAGGTAGGTAGGTTTCTAGCACTTCTTGTGTAACGTGGAAGGCAGTTGAGCAATCCAATCCAGAGGCTCTCCTATCAAGTCACAAATGCATAGTTTAGAAGGTATAGGAAGCAATGCCTTCATAATGTCCTCAAATCCAAGTCAACGTGAAACGAGACGGAGAGGACAAACCATAATATAATGTAGTTGATTTTTGTTGTGGAAGAAAAAAAAGAATTGCACTTACAGTGTTTTGAGCTATAAACTAGTTCTAATTGCAGTATAAACCCCGCCGAAGGATATAGACTTGGTGTCTTGATTCGGAAGGGTGAAATCAGAGTATATATATACGTATATATATATACTCTGATTTCACCCTTCCGAATCAAGACACCAAGTCTTTATATATATATATAAAAAGAACAATAACACTAATATAATGTAGTATATCAAGTTTATAAAGTAGTAAATAAAATATATACAAAGTTCATACTCACATTTACATGAAGCCTTCTGATGCTTGAGAAAGCACCAGGAGTGGTGTGAAACGCGTCCAGGGCTTCTCTAATCTTTCTTTAGGGTCTGCTTCTTTGGTGGTCTCTCCCCTAAACAGCAGCTGCGGGTGGTCCTATGCTCTGGTTTTGGACTTTTTATACTTTGTTCACTCATAACTTTTTTTTTTCATTTTCACATGCTTGGACCAATACAGCTTACATGAGGACTGCTATTCTAGTATCTTGTCATATGTATTTTCATTTTTTACTTCAATAAATGTGCATTTTTTTCTGTGATTTCTTTCTGATGTACTATGGGAAGAAGGCAGGCTGGCGAAGACAGTATTATTCTATGGGAAATCTTGAATCCTGGCATTCATGTGGATGTTACTTTGAGATGTACCACCTACCTAGAGATTGTTGCAGACCACGTACACCCCTTCATGGTAATGGTGTTCCCTGATGGCAGTGGCCTATTTCATAAAAACAGGGGGATAAGGCGCTCGCTATAGTAATGGGTTAAAGCAGTAGTATTGGGCAGCAGTAACCAATACAAGGATTCCCAACCTTGTGGTAAGAATAGTGCAGGTAAATAGAGATAGGAAACCACGCCCTAGACAGTGTAATACAGACAAAATTGTATACGTACACAGGTGTTATTGCGATGATCTGAAACAATTGACCTCAAAATAAGAAAATATAAAAGAAATAATAGTGCAATATAGCAAGTATAATGGGTGGATATATGAGTGCTTCAAAAATGGTCACACTCACATTTCCCAGAGCTAACTCAGAGCTCAGAGCAGCGGGTGGCCTATATGATATCAGACAGTTGTTTATAATGCTGTGGTAATGTATATATTTGCATTTTTTCCCTTAGAAAAAAAACTATTTCCTCTTAATAGTTTCATATTTCTCTGCAGAATCGACATGATATGATCGTACTTGAACCAATCAACCAGTTGCTGCAAGACAAATGGGATGCATTTGCTGGCAAAATATTTTATTTGAAGTTCCTCTTGTATATTGCATATATGATCATATTCACAGTGACAGTTTACAACAGACCCCGTGTTGGACAGGTAAGTGTGGATGTGGATTACTATTGGTACTCCTTTTATTCCTCTATTAATGAGAGTGCTGGGTAAGAAGTACTTTATCAGAAGGTCTGCAACACGTGCTGTACTGGTCAGAGAGACACTTTGGTCTACCGGCCAGCCTAAGGAGCTACAGATTGAAGGAGGTGTAAGGAGACTGCTTGTCGGGTTGTGTGTGTGTGTGGATTCGGCTTGTAGTGTTGCATGTGTGGGATTGCACATTGGGGAGGAGGCTGCTTTTGGGTTGGATGTCTATGAAAAGTGTAACGTAGAGTCTTGAGTGTGTGGGGGACATGGGGTGTATTGTGTGTGGAGGAGGGGCTGTAGGGTTTGTGTTGGAGCAGTAACAACATTATGGGCCCCCGGGCAAAGCAGTGCACTGGGGCCCTGCCTACACTACCACTCACAGGAATAAAAATGTAAATTATCGATAAAATTAAGCATATATTTATTAATACCGCCAACAAATGCAATACATTCATACAATTCATACACACAGACTGCTGAACACACACAGACTGCTGAATACACCCACAAAGACTGCTAAATACATACATATGGACTGCTGAATACATACACAGGCTGCTGAATACACACACACACACCGAAGAATGCATACACAAAGACTGCAGATAATTTCTTACAAAGTCAGTCTCAACTTTAGCAGAACCGTAGTCCTATAAATACAGGGTTGGAACGATGTATATGCAAGTTAGTGGTTTTTAACCACACTTTACATGTGCGATAGATGCTTTTCACCCTTTTTTAGACCTTTAACTATTAAAAGTTACATTTTATACAAATTCGAGTGACACACCTGTCATTTGGTACTACACCTTTTTCCCTTGTGTTTCCCAAGACTAGGAGGGAAACCCACTTTTTATTATATTTCACTAAATCCTTTTTCTCCTGCTTTATCTTTATTTTTTGTACATTTTTGGTGAAGCTTCTTCACTAGGGATTAACCCCCACTTAGGAGAAATCTATTTAGTATCAGTTAGTTTTTATTTTACTGTTTATATTCTACCTTGTACCAGTTTTGCAGACTTTTTATTTTTATTTCAATACATTGCATTTATTCATTTTATTATATTTTCCTATTGCCTATATTCTCTTACAACACTCCTGGAACATTACTAGAGTTCATCCAGTTGCTATTTCTTTCCTAAATCACTTACTGGCTTTTAGTGGGGGGGGCCTTTTCTCCAGTTGAGCGATGTTCTAATTCTCTATTTCACAGTTTTCTTTTCTTATTTGAGGATTTTAATAGTTATACTATTTTACATTCTCTCATTCTTGTAAGCAACATAAAAATATTAAAAGATGAAATGGTGTTGATTTTTTCCTGAATACCCTCTATATAATAAACATGGCTGATTATTTTTACATTATTCTTAAATGTAATTAATCCTTTATTTATTTATGTATTACTCCTTTAATAATGATTGTACTGTTTGTTGTTTTTTAGCTGTATCAATACTATCTACTTAGCTTACACTAATTCTGAGCTTTCCATACAGCCTCCATTCCCTTTAGAAGGAACCGTAACAGATTCTTTTCGTGTGTCTGGAGAAATTGTCATCATGGTTGGTGGTGTCTACATCCTAATATGGCAGGTACATAATCACATGATGCTACTTTGTTATATAAGGTAGGCCAAATTTCAAAGTAAGGTTTGACAAGCAAATAACTCATTTGTTAGCAGTTCAATTTTTTGGTTGCAGGTACATATTGTAACTGAGTCTTGTTAGATTCATTATGGGTAATTTCATAAAGGAACAACAAATAAAAATCGTGGATTTTAATTGATGTGAGATATCAGGATATGATTAAAAAATTGTTTACGTCCTGTTATGGAAAATCATCCTGAAATGTGGTTTCAACAACATGAGACTACTGCCCATTCGGCCAGGGCCACAATGGACCTCCTGAGACAACTATTTGGTGAGAGGATACTTTTAGGAAATTCCCATATTAATTGGCCGCCACATTCCCTCAACCTTTCAGCTCCCAATGACTTCCTGTGGGGATATCTGAAGGAGTGGGTGTACGCGAACAAACAGCATACACTTGAGCAGTTTAAGGAGAATATCTGCGCAGAAATTTGAGCGCTAGAGTCTTAAACATTAACTAATGCTATGAACAATGAAATTAAAGAGCCTGACTTTGTGAGGCTGTAAACAGAGCTCAATTAAGAAATGTCATCTTTCATACCCAGTCAAAATAATCTCCATACGTTAAGCATGTATTGTATGTAATATAACTGGAATTGGTTCATTAATAAAAATGTTATTGCCTCTTCAAACCCTACACTGAATGGCCCAATTAATGCACTATTTCACAGTAGAGTTGTATTATTAGTGAAACAACATGCACAACATTTAAATGAAATTTTAATGGAAAATTTAATGAAATACTGGTATATAATTCTGTGCCTAGATTGTCGTTGAAAGATATTTAAAAAATAAAAACTGTAAATGTACTGAATTGAATTTCTTCATTCATTTATCATGCAGGAAATTGGAGAGTTGGACATATAGTATTAGTCATTTTCTAAAACCCATTGTTTAGTTCATAGTTTAATCAACCTTTGTGCTTGTTCAGTCCGTAGACATACTGTAATACTAACATACTGATTTGTACCTATGCATTCCATTATGCAGTGTTTGTGATATAAGCCATAATCATATGCAACCTTAACCCCTTAAGGGCCAAACTTCTGGAATAAAAGGGAATCATGACATGTCACACATGTCATGTGTCCTTAAGGGGTTAAAGGGCTACTCCAGCCGCAAATCGTGACTTAATGACAGAAAGTCGCACACACACAGTCAGACTTAAAGTCCAGAACGACTGTAGCTGCTCTAGAAAGTACACAATGTCTTGGTCCACACATTCACAGTTAATGGAAGGTCAGTAAATCCCCCCCTGGCATTACACACGTTAGGCCGAAAGGACTTATGCACTTCTCATAAAAACGCTGTCCAGCTCACCCAGAATGTAATCTTGCCCTTCAAAATGTATTCTATTGCACAGTATGTTTATTTGTCAAATGTTATTGTTATTATACACGGACAACTGTAAATTGTATAACCTCATTATTCAATGTCTGTGACCTGAACAGAAAAGAAAACCTAAATAAAAATATAATAAATAATAAAAAAAAAAGGGCTACTCCAGCCCTGTTGGGCAGTATGTATAAGGTCTACCCCCCCTCCATGTTCACTAAAACCTGAAAAAAAAAGAGATTTACTCATCTTGAATCAAACACCGGGCAATGTTCCCAGCACTGACTTTCACACCTCCTCTAGAGAAGTCTGTGATTCCATAAAATAAATTCTGTGAAACATTAACTGTCAAATGTACATTTACCATTTAATGTCAGAATTTTAACTTGGTTATTGTTTTCCTGGCCTGCTTTATGCAATTATATTACTTTGGGGTGATGTCCTTTATCTCTCAGGGAGAGAAGCTTATGCTACCTTCTTGGTCTTGACAATGACTTTTCGCACTGATGACAGACGCAAATATGTGCAGAATTAATATTGGCAGCCTGGAACAGAGTTCTTTTATCATTTGAACTAAACTGGGGTTATTACATCTTTCCTCTTATACAGATTATCTATTTCTGGAAGAGACGACCCTCTGCACAAATCATAATAATGGATGGTTATTTTGAAGTCCTTTTGTAAGTTGCAAATTATTATATATGAAGATTGATGTTCTTACAGTACCTGATAGCTCATTGTAGATGTGCTCCATATATAAATTGTGTGAAAAATTAACTGCCAAATGTGTAAGTGAACTTGACATTTGGTCCTTGTTTTCCCAGCCTCCTCTATTCAATAATATTACTTTGTGGTGGCGTTGTTTACCTCACAGGGAGTGAAGCTTATGTCACCTTTTTGGTCTTGGCAATGGTGATAGGATGGATAAATATGTTATATTACAGTCGTGGCTCCCAGCAGACCGGAATCTACAGTGTCATGATACAGAAGGTATGGCATCATATTGATGGAAGATTTAAGTGCTACATCTTTAGCCATGTTATCTGTTTTCTGAAGTATTAAACAGGCAAATATATATATATATATATATATATATATATATATATATATATATATATATATATATAAATAGTAGCAGGGAATTTTGTTTGTATTTTTCAAGATTTTGTTGGAGAGCATAAATTCTTGATAAATATCACCAGGAACTGGGCAGTATATTCCAGCCCAGGTCAAAACTGAATGTACCTGAGCAGTTGGTGTGGACCACTGAAGAGGGAGAGTAAAACATTTGGTGTTTTATGAATTATATATGAAAGGTTATATGCAACAGTGAGACACGGTGCATAGTAGTCACATATGTGCAAGGGATGGGCTTCCACATTGATATCACTGGAACCCAGTTGTCTTTCATTTTAATGCAGAGGAGTGCACAAAATAGACTTATAACAGCTACCAGATTTTAAAATAAAAAGTTAATCTTCTCTATTCTTACACATTCACATGGATATTAAAATTAATTTAACAACATGAGGCATACAAAGTGACAGATAACAGCAGAAGAGTGGCTCAGCATAAATAAGAGAAAGGGAAACCAATGCATTCGCAGTCCCTGGGTACTTACATACAGTACCTACCTAGATTAGCCTTGTTGTGGAGTATCCATGCACCTGTCTCATAGCTTCCTGGACTTCATGCTTTTGTTCTTCTGCAAAGTCCTTCCAATATATTGCTTTCTAATGAACACTTCAGGTTAATTATCTACTCTTACTATTGTAGGATTGTTTGTGTGTTAAAATACCAATTTGGACATTATTACAACTTATCGAAATTAAGGTCTTATGGTGCCAGGAGGTCCCTGACACCAGCTTACCTTTAGCCGTTCAATCGTTCTCAAATGGTTTAACCCCAAAGTCTGTGTTCCAGCACCATATATCAGCCCTCTCTGTTTTCCATTTTCTCATAATAATGCAGCATCAGCAGCAGTGTCTCTAACTGACTGACAGAGGCACATTTATTTTCAAGCCAGTTTTATGAATGAGTAAGTCTATGATTGGATGAGAGCATTAGCTGACCACTCTCACCCAATTAGCAGTGCCGCTGCCCAATGCTACAAGAGTCATCCTGTTTACAGATTTTGAAAATGGAAGGACAACATTGCAGAGAGATCCAGCGCTGTAACACAGAACATGTGGGTAAACCATTCAACAATGGTTTTCAGTTACAATGGTTTGGGCAGGCTCAGGGTTGCCATTGGGAACACCTGGCAAATGCCCAGTGTGCTAAGATCAGTGCTGGACAGGGTAAAAAAAATTGGCCTTAGCATTTAAAGTCTGAGCAGCCCAATAGGAAAAGTGGTGCCGGAGATAGGGATTGTTGTCTAACCACAATTACCCATACACCTCTCCCCAAATTTGGCATTTCTGATCTGTGCCTCTCTAGGGACACCGATGAGCAGAGTATTGCTAAAGAATTCTCACATGAGGAAAATGCCCTGTATTTGTTCAGCACAGCCTAAATCAAATTTAATGACACACCCGTTCCGTGTTTGCTTGTGACTTGTTTCTGGTATCCACATAATTTGGATGACAGAGAACAAAAGAGGGACAGGTCTGATAGAGGGTTATGTATCTGTAGGATTTGTATAGATTTGAGTGCTGCTTATACAGTGGTGGGAGTGGGGTGGATAGGCTGCCTGTGATGTTTGTGTGTGTCTATGTGTTCATGGAAGCTGCTTATTGTATTGTGTGTTTGTGGTAACACTGCTTGTGGTGTTGCGAGTTTGTGGGGATGCAGCTTGTGGAGTTGTGTGCATGGTCAGATTTATATGCCAGGTAGGATTCTGTAAGCACAGAATTCTAAGGCCCCTCTAATAAAAGGCAGATAAAGTGGGCTGTATGTATATATTAACTGGACATTGCAGACATAAAGAAAAATCTGCAAAAATACTATGGGGTGGGAGCTTCATGGAATGGGTTTTCATGGCCAAGCAGCTGCACGCAAGCCTCACATCACCAAGTACAATGCTAAGCATTGGATCGGGTGGTGTAAAGCACGCCGTCACTGGATTCTGCAGCAGTGGAAACGAGTTCTGTGGAGGGACGAATCACGCTTCTCTGTTTGGCAGTCTGATGGGTGTAAAAAGCTCACATAAGGAGTAGTGATAGGTGTTTTACTCTATAACTACTCTATATGTGAGCTTTTTACCATACACATTAAGCTATTAAATGTTTCCGTTTATGTCTCCACATACTGCACTTTATTGAGGAAATACCACCACTACTGCCGAACATATATCCTTAGACGGGGATTATACTTTCCATGCTAATAACAGCAGAGCTCTTAGTAGGTCTCAAAAGTGTGAGTGTGCTCTTGTTACAAAATATTACCCTACAACTTTTTTAAAACATATTGCACTAATATTGCCTGTTCTCCCCTTTTGTCTTTTTGAGAGATCTACCAACAAACAAGACCTTGTTAATATATGTATGTATATACCTCTTCTGTGTGATTTTACCTAAAGATCTAAAGGTTTTAATGCACAGGTTATCTATTTTATATTTTTGTTTATAGTAATATCTATGTATTTAAAATGCAGTGTCATAAAAGTCCCTGTTGGTGTAATGGTTAGGTGTCCCAATAATTTTGTCCATATAGTGTATGTGCATAATTCTATTTGTAATGTATTTTGTTTGAATATTTGAGTATAGTGAATGTACACTGATCAACCACATCATGAAAGCCACACTCTAAGAAATAGTGCGTAAAAACCAGGAGCTGACTCGTGATGATGGCTTGATGGGACAGTAAAAAATCACATGGGATCTGCAGAGACTGGAATATTGCAAATATATATAAAAAATAAATGGATGTAAACATTAAAGGACCACTATAGTGCCAGGAAAACATACTCGTTTTCCTGGCACTATAGTGCCCTGAGGGTGCCCCCACCCTCAGGGACCCCCTCCCGCCCAGCTCTGGAAGGGGAAAGGGTTAAAAACTTACCTTTTTCCAGCTCTGGGCGGGGAGCTCTCTGCCTCCTCTCCTCCTCCTGGGCTGAATGCGCACACGCGGCAAGAGCTGCGCGCGCATTCAGCTCTAGGAAAGCATTTACAATGCTTTCCTATGACGCTTGCATGCTCTCACTGTGAAAATCACAGTGAGAAGCACGTGTGGCTGTCAATGAGACAGCCACTAGAGGATAGGGGAAGGCTTAACCCATTCATAAACATAGCAGTTTCTTTGAAACTGCTATGTTTATAAAAAAATGGGTTAACCCTAGCTGGACCAGGCACCCAGACCACTTCATTAAGCTGAAGTGGTCTGGGTGCCTAGAGTGGTCCTTTAAGTGCTGTGCCTTTTTTTTTTACATCCAATTTTTACATCCATTTATTTTTTATATATATTTGCAATATTCCAGTCTCTGCAGATCCTCCTGGTTTTCATGCACTATTTCTTAGAGTGTTATTTTCTTGTTATTGTCTATAGGTTTTTGTGAATCCCTATTTGTTTCCAGTGTGAGCGACTCAGTGTTAATTAGACTCCCTCTCATCTGTGCATACATTAGGTATACCAGAACCCTCTAATTTTACTTCCATGGATCATATTTGTTGTTCTAGCACAAGCTCAATCGGATTGAGATCTGGAAAATTTGAAAGCCTTGAACTCTTTATCATGTTCCTCAAACCATTGTTGAACAATGTTTGCAGTGTGGTGCATTGTCCTGCTTGTAGAGTCCTCTGCCATTAGGGAACATCATTGCCATGAAGGGGTGTATGTGGCCTGCAAAAAGTAATATCCACATGAATGGCAGGACCCAAGGTTTGCAATCAGAACTTTGCCCAGAGCGTAACAGTGCCTCAGCCAACCTGCCTTTGTCCCATAGCACAACCTCCAGCCATATTCTTCCCCAGGTAAATTCCCAATCCTCTAGCCAACCCCATAAAATAAAGTCTCTATCTACCCACATTACCCTAATAATGGTGAGAAGTAGGCCAAACAAATCTAAAACCTGTAAAAAAACAAAACATTACTTACCATCAGAATTCTTCTTTCTTCTAATTCTTCTGTTCTTCAGCCTCCAAAAAAGGCCAAAATAAATATCCATAATAACTGATTAGAAGTTATCACAACCACAACCCCCCTTACCCCCCAGAAATAATAAAACACGGCAAAAAAACACGGAGGGCTTACTGTAGACATTTTCTCAGTCCTGCCTTGGTTATGGGACCATAATGTCAAAGGGACAATCAACAAATAAAAAAACACACAATTTAGTAGATATACCCCAATAAAAAAATGCATGTGTCTTATTATGTTTTTGTCATTGGGTTATATCTAGCAACAGCTTGCACAAGCTACAATTCTCTTGTCTGAAGTCTTTGCAAACAATGCCCTTCTAAACCTGTCCAGAGTTTCAGTGGCTATCCACCGGGATTACGTCAACTGTGGATGGAGAGATTACATCGGCTGTGCAGCATGCACTTGTTTCCCCCTATCATTTCATAGAGATCACGGAGAGCATCTGCTCTGTCATCGGCAGAGAGAGGAGGGGACATAACACAAAAAATTGGGTGTATGTCATGACATATCCCCACCTCTCTGATAGTGCAGGGGCTCTGCATTTTTTATAAATATAGAATATATTCTCTATCTGTTTAAGCTGATAATTACAAGACTTAACATTTTTAATTTACAGTGTATGTGTCACTCATGATTTTTATGTCCCATCTTCTCTCTTTCAGACTATACTGAGAGACATGCTTCGCTTCTTGTTTGTGTACCTTGTCTTCCTTTTTGGATTTGCAGCAGGTACTTTTTTACATTTCATTTTGGTTATTAACTCTTACATATTGAAGGGTATGGCTATATATATATATATATATATATATATATATATATATATAAAAAGTATTTGACTCCCTGTTGATTTTAAACGTTTGTCCACTGACAAAGAAATGATCAAACTATAATTTTAATGGTAGGTGTATTTTAACAGCGATAGACAGAATAACAAATAAATCCAGGAAAACACATGTCAAAAAAGTTATAAATTGATTTACCTGTCAATGAGTGAAATAAGTATTTGATCCCCTATCAAACAGCAATATTTTTTCCTTTGGTTACTTTCTTTGTATTACTTGTAACTTTGAGTATCTCTATGGAACACTTTAACCTTAGGTGTCTTGTGTGCCTCAGAGCACACAGTGACCATTTTTTTGTGTTTTATATTCTAAATGTAAACAGGAAATATTTTGTTTTCTGGTTCTGGATCTGCCTTACTCCATTTGCAAAACATTTATATAATACCCTCAAAACTAATAACATATTTGTTCTTGCTGTAGCTCTGGTAACACTTGTTGGAGAAGCTCCACAAGATTCTGGAAACAGCACTGAGGCTGAGAAAAGTGAAGGAGTATCCTATTCTGGACTGTATATCACCATTTTGGAACTCTTCAAGTTTACCATTGGCATGGGAGAGCTGATGTTCAATGAGAACCTTAAATTTAAGCACTTCCTCATGTTCCTGCTCATCCTGTATGTAGTGCTTACCTACATTCTTCTCCTGAACATGCTCATTGCCTTAATGAGCGAAACTGTCAGTAAGATATCTAACAAGAGTGAAAGGATATGGAAGCTCCAGGTGGGTTACTTAAAACAGTCCTGAAAAAAGGTGTATTACACGAAACATGCAGTTTCACCACAGGCACATTTCATGCACTCACTCAGGACTATTTACTAAAGTGAGAATTGTCATGAATTCAAGTTGAATTTCAAACTTAACCCCTTAAGGACCAACCTTCTGGAATAAAAGGGAATCATGATACATGTCATGTGTTCTTAAGGGGTTAAAGGCAGGGCTGTCTATAATATGAATAGAACCCTGGGCAAAGAATTTTGTTGGGCCCCCTGGGCCCTGCGACCCTCCCAATCCCCCCTCTCCCCAAATTACGCCCAACCCCCAATCACACTGACATACTGACACATACACACAGACAGACATATTAAAACATTCACAGATACATACTGACACACACATACACTGACACACAAATATATACTGGCAGACATATTGACATACATTCAGACATATTGACACACACATACATACACACAGACACATACACACGCAGACATGCTGACACACACAGGCATACTGATATACACACACTGACACAGACAGACATAGTGACACACACAAAGACAGACATACTGACACACACACAGACAGACATACTGACATACACACACAGACATACTGCCACACACACAGACATACTGACACACACACATAGACATACTAACACACACAGACAGATATTTGACACACGCACACAGACAGATATTTGACACACACAGGCATACTGACTTACACACAGACAGACATACTGACACACAGACACACATACACTGACATAATTTTGACCACACACACAGACATGCTGACATACACACACAGGCATACTGACATAACACACACACAGACATACTGACACACAGACATACTGACACACACACAGGCATGCTGACATACATACAGACAGACATACTGACACACACACTGACAGACATACTGACACACACAGACATACTGACACGCACAGACATACTGACACGCACAGACATACTGACATACATTTAGCCACCCTCCAACCACCCTTACCTTTTCTGGAGAGTGGTTTCCCTGGGGTCCAGTGGCAGGCTGAGGCAGTTGGGAGTTCTCCTCTGAAACTCCTCTCCTCCCTGCCTTCCTCCTCCCGCGCGGCTCTGATCTCCTGTAGGAGGAAGTGACGCGCGGCACTCACTTCCTCCCAGCCGGCTGCCAAACAGGAAGGGGCCCGGTCGCGCTGTTTAAGCGTCACAGCCCACCAGGTGGCCCTTAGTGCATGGGCCACCCGGGGGCCCTCTGTAGCGTGTGGGACGATTCGGCTGCGCAAATCGCGGGGCCCACAGGGCAGCTGCTCTGAGGGCCCCCAGGAGCAACTGGGCCGGGAGCAGCTGCCCCGTTTGCCCCGTGCTAAAGACGGCCCTGGTTAAAGGAACACAATAGCGTTAAAAATACATACATGGCCGCATCTGCTAGTGCCACACTCTTCTGACTCTAAGCGAACCCCCTCTCTGACAGTCTGCCACCTATATCACAGTAAACGATCAAACGTCAGCCAGAGTCACAATGCTGGTCTGAGTGGAAAATGAAAATATCCCCTTTAGTGGCTGTTGGGAGTAGGGTAGTGCTTCAGTGCTTTGCCCTGTAAAGCACTGCAGTTTTTCATCAAAGGAACACTATAGGCTCAGGAATACAATCTATATAGCCTCCTTATTGTGTTTAAAAACATTTTAGGTCCCTTGTGCCCCCTTCACCCTTTAAACAAGTATAAAACTTGCCTGTTATCTAGCATCACGCGGGTCACCTAATCCGCTTCCTTGGCTGAGATCATCAAATTTGATGATCTCAGTCAATGCAATGCTTTCTCATAGGAAAGTAATGAGAGACTAGCGAGCATGCCCGGCAAAACACAGAGCTGCGCCAATCAACATCTCCTCATAGAAATGCATTTGACCAGTGCATCTCTATGGGGAAAGTTCGGCACCTCCATGCAGTGTGAAGACGCTGGACGTCAGTGCAGTATGTTGTGCAGCACTGACCCATCCAGGAAACACCTCTAGTTGCCGTCTGAGTGACAGCCACTGGAGGTGTCCCTAGGAAATAACGTATACACTGCCTTTTCTCTGAAAAGACAGTGTTTACATTAAAATACCTGCAGTGACTGGCAGTACACATCAGGACAACTACATTAAGCTGTAGTTGTTCTAGTTACCATAGTGTCCCTTTAACCGTGTTACAAATGACCTGATATAAAAATATCCCATTACTTATCCCGTAGTTCCATTTACAGGAGTGCTTTATGGACACTGCAGAACTTTCTGGAAGTTGTTCAACTGTCAACTGAATAATAATTCATAGAAATTAGGGATGCTAGCTATATTTAATTCTACAGGTTGGCAAGTGTTGAAAGGGAGGTCTTATTGAGAAAAAAATAACTACTCAGCATAACTAGGAGGACCATAAGCTACTCATCATACCTATATTATATTGCTCTTATTTCACAGAGAGCTGCCACCATCTTAGATACTGAGAGGTTCTTACCTCAGCTGTTTAGGAAGAAGTGGGAATCTGGACACTGGCTAACTGTGGGGAAAAACCCAGAAGGAAATCTTGATAAAAGATGGTGCTTCAGGTAAGAGTAAAATTTGAACACTCTAAACCTGCTCATTAAAACAAGAATCACATCTTAAATATTGTTATATTTGCTTTAATTCCATACAGTGTATTTAGTGTTCTGACTGAGAGATTCCACGTTGGTGTATATGAAATTAGACAGGATTTGATGTTTTTCAAAATCTAAGTACAATTTGTTTACCTATTTTTTGTGTTGTGGCAATAGTCTTACATTTTATTCAACTTGTTCATATTTGTCATTTAGTTCTTTAGCACTAATAGATGTACTTAGCCCTTTAATGTTAGAATTGTAGTAGGAGTGATGTGCGATATTTATGTAAACTTTTTAACTCACTAATAAAATATATGGGTAGAAGTTCGTAACGTGCCGCATAATGATTTTGATGAGGGCTGGGCCTGGCTATCGAGCCGACTGGATGTCGTCTTCTGCAGCTCTGGCTTGAGGACATACAGTCAGCCTAATCTTATCTGTTCTTGCTAAACATCTCTTCTTGCCTCGAATGGGCCTGGCTGCCATCTCCCCCTTTTGAGCCCTGGGGGTTTATCCCAGTACATGTAAGTTATGTTTTGTAAGCCCCGCCTACTTATCTGCTATGGATTGTGTATATTACTTGTAGCTCAGATTTGTCAGCATCCTGTTCTATGAGCACAGAACCAGGATATATCATCTACACATATCCAGATGTAGAAGCAATTCATAATGTTCCCAGATATGGGGGCCTACCTTGGTGCAAACCTGGATCACCCCCCCCAGCCTGTACACGGGACGGAACTTCTTTTGCAAGTGGGCCCAGTTTGGAGCCCTGAAATTGATAGCTCACTGTAGTATGAGTCAGTGCCCCCTGTTTACCAGTGGTCATGGTAGTGTTGGGTTTTTGCATAATCATTTTTAGAAACTGGGCACTGTCTCTTTATGTGTCACATTTTTGCATATTTTTGTGGTGCTGCTTCGGTTCTCGAAATAGGACATCATAGCCTAGGCTTTGTAGGAGGGCTCACCTCTTGCCCTTTGCCAGGTTTTGTTTTTTTGCTATTGCTGTTCTCTTTATGATTTATGCTATTGACCTAGCTAGTTATTTTAGCATCCCTGCTTACCCTAACTTCAACTAGTTTTACTTATAAGTTTTCTGGAAACCTGTATTTGGCTCTTTGTAGTGTCTTTCTTTAAGTTGTTAAGTCCAACCACCATAAGGCCTGGTAATACTTCTTTCTATCCTTTTACCAACAGCTGCAATTATGGATCCCAGCTTATCTAGTATACCTAATAGATTGTCAGATAAAAACCTGTAGTAGTGAAGAGACCAATATGGTTCTTTGGTTGAGCCCAGACAGACAGTTGGAGGGTAGGGTCCCGTGAAAGGGGGAGTCTGTGGATTCATAATGGGGAGGGGTGCCCATGGACTGTTCTGTGGCTGCCTGTTGCTTTGTGAGGCCACTCAATGGGCTAGAAGAGTCCTGGCTAGTACTGTCCATATATAGTTCCAATTCTAACAAAGGGTTGGTGGGATGTGTGTAAGGCTTGCTGTGATTGCTTCAAATGCCTTTGGTGGTGAAGAACCTACTTGTTGCTCATTCTTCTATAGGTGGGGCTCTCTTTTATTATGGTTAGTTCAGGTTGCATATAGGATTAGGTTTTGACCCTCACATCATACATATTTTATGGTCTCCCTGGTTGATTACTGGGGATGTTTCCCTGGTACACATCTTAGGGTCATATGTAGGCCTTTGTTATATCAGGATCTTATATGTATATCCATTTCGTACTGAACATTACAGGTTTTGGACCCCGGACCTGAACACGGACATATCACTGTATGTTTGGGTGAGAGTTCAGCGATTTAATGGCGTGTTTTGAAAGGCTGCAGGGCAGCCAATCAACAAGCGTTTGACTCGTGTGCCCTTAGAAGCCATCACAGCCATGCCTACTAATGGCATGGCTGTGATTGGCCAGTGCAGCATGTGACCCAACCTCTATTTATAAGCTGGAGTCACTTAGCGCCGCATGCACACGAGGTCTTATTAGTGCAGGGCGAGGATGCTGCAGCTGTGAGGGAGAGCTTAGGAAAGAATTCTGCAAACTAGTACATTAGTGGGGTGCACTTCATATCTGAGAGTCAAATAGAAGCGTCAAATACTGCGGTTACATCGGAGTTTTAAAAAGTCAATTTTGTTTGGTACTAAACTGCTAAGTAGTAAATTTGGGGAGTGCTTTTCATATCCGAGAGTCAAATAGAAGCGTCAAATACTGCTGTCACATTGCAATTTCAAACATTCTTATTTTCTGGGTGCTAATCTGCTAAATAGTACATTAGTGGGGTGCACTTCATATCTGAGAGTCAAATAGAAGCGTCAAATAGTGCGGTTACAGCGCAATTGTAAACACTCTTATTTTCTGGGTGCTAATCTGCTTAATATTAAATTTGGGCCCTGCACTTCATATCTGAGAGTCAAATAGAAGCGTCAAATAGTGCGGTTACAGCACAATTTCAAACATTCTTATTTTCTGGGTGCTAATCTGCTAAATAGTACATTAGTGGGGTGCACTTCATATCTGAGAGTCAAATAGAAGCGTCAAATAGTGCGGTTACAGCGCAATTGTAAACACTCTTATTTTCTGGGTGCTAATCTGCTTAATAGTACATTTGGGCCCTGCACTTCATATCTGAGAGTCAAATAGAAGCGTCAAATAGTGCGGTTACAGCACAATTTTAAACATTCTAATTGTTTTGGTGCTAAGCTGCTATATAGTATTTTAGGGGGGTGCACTTCATATCTGAGAGTCAAATAGAAGCTTCAAATAGTGCGGTTACAGCGCAATTTTAAACATTCTTATTTTCTGGGTGCTAATCTGCTAAATAGTACATTAGTGGGATTCATATCTGAGAGTCAAATAGAAGTGTCAAATACTGCAGTTAGAGCGCAATTGTAGACATTCTTATTTTCTGGGTGCTAATCTGCTAAATAGTAAATTTGGGCCCTGCACTTCATATCTGAGAGTCAAATAGAAGCGTCAAATAGTGCGGTTACAGCACAATTTTAAACATTCTAATTGTTTTGGTGCTAAACTGCTATATAGTATTTTAGGGGGGTGCACTTCATATCTGAGAGTCAAATAGAAGCGTCAAATACTGCGGTTACAGCGCAATTGGAAAAATTCTTATTTTCTGGGTGCTAAACTGCTAAATAGAACATTTGGTGCCTGCACGTCATATCTGAGAGTCTATGCTTTTCGCTACACTGTCGTGTACAGTCCTTTTGTTGTTTATATGATTCAGATGGTATCCAACACTTCGGAACTTCGACACTTTGGAACTTCGGCCCTTCAACGCTTTGGAATTTTGGGACTTCAGCACTTCTCTTGCAGCCGCATAATAGATAATTCCCTAATTCCCATGGGGAAAAAGGCTGGTAGTGGTTAGTGTTTTTTGGGAGGGGGGAATACAATAGGTCCCCCCCTTATTTTACTGTAGGGCCCCCACCCTCCGTTCAGGGGTGGGGGCCAGGGGGGCAATAGGTTAGAAGCCCCCACTCGCGCGACACGGGTGTGGGCTCGGGAGGGGGGGAATTTTTTTTTTTTCAAGTGAGCAGGCACAGGCTGCTCACTGTTTACTAAACATGCCCCTATTCGTGGTATAGTGAGTAGGGGCATAATTTACTAATACTAAGTAATCTTTACTTAGTATTAGTAAATTTGGCTGAAAGACCAATTCAGGTCTTTTAGCCTTTTATTAGATAGCTCCCTAATACCGTGGGAATTAGGGAGTTATCTACTTATTCTTTCCTGTCATTACATTGACTGGCCAAGTAATTTACATTTTATATGAATGTATGTTACTTGATTGCTGTAAGTGTTGCAAATGCTTACAGCTGAATCCTGGCTATGTCTGTATACTTTTTATTTAAAATTGTATACAATGTAACATTCTTCATTTTTCCACTGGGTAAGTATATTAGTTCTTAGGCAATACTGTGCTTCGGAACTTCGGCACTTCGGTAATTTCGGAATTTCGGGACTGCAACAATTCAGCAATTCCTCTATTCGAACATTCGGAAGTACCTGCATGTCCGAATTGCCCGAAACGAATTGCACATGTCTAATCTCAACCAATCCAATGCTTTCCCATATAAAAACATTTGGAGGATATTGCTAATTTGTGGCGAAACACTCTGCTCCGCTAATCAGCATCTTCTCAATGAATCAATGCATCTCTATGGGGAATGTTCTGAGTCTCCATACAGAGTGTGGAGACGCTGAATGGCAGTATTGCACACTGTGCAACACCGACACAGGACGCACCTCTAGTGGACGTCCGAGGAGTGGCCACTAGAGGTGTTACAAGACAATACTGTAAACACTGCCTTTTCTCTCAATTAGCAGTGTTTACATTAAAAAGCCTGCAGTAGACACAGAACAACTACATTAAGTGGTAGTTGTTTTGGTGACTATAGTGTCCCGTTAATGTATTATTATCAATGCTAAGTGTACATGTTCCTCTCAATTAATACTTTCTAACACTTTTTTCAATATTCTGTAATTTTGTCATGCCTTTGACATAATAACAAAATTTATTAAATATAATCATTTAACCTGTTTTCAAATATATTACTTTTTACTATATAGTGAAAATGATTGTCCCTATTAGTACTTTATAATGTACATTCTATATATTTATTTTTTTACTTTAAAGTTAAATAAATGGTAATAATGTTAATTTAAATTTGTACTTTTTTTTACTAGTGGGTTTATTAACTAAAAAGGAAAAAAAGTGGCAAATCTGAAACTGAATTACAAAAGTTAGGCTAAAATAGCCAAATTAGGCAAGTACTGGGGCACCTACCTACCCTAAACCAGCCCAGACCGGGTCAAACATTACAGCGCACAATGGGGAAGAAAGCCAAAAAGCTAAAAACCCTTACTGGGAACGGCTCCCGCGATATTGCCGACCTCCTACAACCGCGGCCTAGGCCCAAAATGGCGCCACAAATAGACGCATATTCTACATCCTCTGAGGAAGAACTCTTAGACGCACCCGATGAAATACCCTGTTCAGGGAGCATGCACAGCCCTCAAAGAGAGGAAGATCTAACAGCCCCAGCTACAAAAGGGGACATCAAAGCTCTGTTAACAAACATAAGAGCCTTCTTCAATGCAGACTTGAATATCATCCGTGAGGATATAACAGTGGTGACAGCAAGACTGCAGGCTAATGAGGATGCCATCACCTCCCTAGCCCAAAAGCAAGAAAGCACCAACGAGCACTTGCTACAGCTTCAAGCAGCACATAAAAGCATGCAGGTCAGACTGGACACCCAGGACGACGCAAGGAGGCGTAATAATCTTAAAATCAGGGGTATAGCCGAATCAGTTACCGAACAGGAACTGCCCCATTTCTTACGCCGGCTATGGACTACCCTATTGCCGCAGCGCTCCGCGAAGGGCATTCAGGTAGACGGCTGCTACAGACTGGCCAAGTCAAATAGGGCCCCGGCTGGGGTTCCCCGAGATGTCCTGATACGTTTCCCGCTACTTCGCGACAAGCTGGCCCTGCAGGATGCTGCAAAATCCAGAACACCTCTTAAGTTTGAAGAAATGCAACTCCAACTTTTACAGGACTTATGCCGCTCCACTCTGGAATGGAGACGGTCTTTTCAACAGGTGACAAAGATCCTACGCTCTGCAGACATCAGCTACAAATGGGGGCCCTCTCGTGCTCTACTAGTCCATAAAGACGGGAGCATGCATCAGCTTTCCACCGCCGAAGACTCAGCAACATTCCTACAGGGACTGGGACTTACCATGTCTTCTGACAACACGGCACATCCAAGCCACAGATGGGACGTCCGCAGAATTGTCCCTTTTATCCCACGCTCTGCAGATGACACCGGCTGAATGTGGATGCACCAGCAGTCACACGGACCTGGACTGATTCGGACACCAGTACCAGATACCGGTCAACCCCTGATGTTTAAAAGTTTAAATGTTATCGTTTTTAATGTTTCGTTAGTAGGCAGCGCCGCCCGGCACTGTTAGAGTTCCCGGGTTATAGATACTATAGATGACCCTAGGCGACCGCACACTTCTTCCAACATGTCCCGATTAGAGGACACAGACAACGGAGATTCCCCTCCGCTCACCCTCCCCCAACACTCTGGGGTAAATGAGTGTAAATCGACAACCAACACACCCGACTGACCACGACATTGTCTACGTGTAAGACAAGACCACGGCTTCCTTACATAAGACCCACAGGGCTAGATCACACTCCTAGGCCCACGATCTTGGCACCGTTATCACGCCCTCCATTACTTAATGTAACATGTAAACATGTATAAGATAACATACCACAGCACACTCTTACCTGACACAAGCACTAAGGGTAGTATTATGTCAACTCGTTAATTGTTAACTACCTCAATTTTAAAAATACCTTACTGCTCTTTATTGTGCTAAGGCTATCGAAGTATGGCATGCGAGAGTTGTCGTGGTACAGCTCCGGTAACATTTTTCAAATGTTCTTGATTATGATGTTTTTATTTTGTTTTCTTATGCTCTGTGGGCAGAACGGAGCTACCTCCAACCAAGAAAATAGCTACCAGTACCCAGTGGCACAATTGAAGCATTGTTCAGCATAACAACCCAGCATGTCTAGAGTGGCTGACCGCTCTATGCATCTCCTCATACGTTACTCATCGTACTACCTTACAATGCTTAGCCACAGGCCTATGTTTATGCAAAGGTCAGCCACTCTCCCTTCACTGTAGCTCCAGATATATACCAGTCAGCCTGAACTCTTAGCATACCATAAAAACTTAAAATGTGCGATATATACAAATGCCATAACCCTGTTTTATATGTCTTGTTATCAATCTGAGCGCAGAAGCTGTTGTGGCTTACTGAACACTATGTCTTTCTTTGCACGCTATAAATAAAGAATTAAAAAATAAAAAAAAAAAAATAAAAAAAAAAATAGCCAAATTAGGAAAAAAAAAAAGAACTGCATTTGGAGAACTTGTCCATCTCAACTGGTTCGGCCTAAATTTCTGAATTCAGTTTTCAGTTCAATACACGACTCTTCATTTTCACATTTTTGTTTTCATTTTCTGTAGCTGCTTTGAAGTTACACAATGTACTTTGCAGCACAACTTCTTTTATTTACTACTTTATAAGAAATATGTGATTTTTACTTTTAAGTAAACACACATTTTAGGCAGACTAAATGCATATCTCCCTTTGTTTCTATTTAGAGTAGAGGAAATGCTTTGGGATGTATGGGAGAATAATCCATCCAATCTTAACGAGGAGCCTGGTGACATGGAAAAAGAAAAACCGACATCAGTAAAGAGAGATACTAAAGGTACATTAAGCCTAAATAAATATTACTCCAGATAGAATGATTTTATCATAGATAAAACAAATGTGTATAATCCAGCCATTTTCAAGAGCATGCATCAGATACCACAGAGAATATAGAAAAATGAGGTTGTGTACTCAAAGGAGGAGTTTGTAGGATTCTTAGGAAAAAAAAGGAAAACGGATTGTTGTTGTTCAAGGTGAGTGAGTAGTGAAACTAGACAAGGTGTTTATAAAAGTGTAAAGAGAATGAACTATAACTACAAAATCTGGAAATGGCCTTCTGTACGAAGGCAATTAAATAAAAAGATTTTAAAAGGAGTTCAAATTCACCACTTATAGTATGGGACAAGGGTAAATCAAAGAAAATGTTTTATACTGTATGGGAATTTATTATTTTTTTGAAATGATTGTCTACTGACTAACAGACAACCCAAGAGAGGTCCATATAGTTCTCGATTTAATAAGCTTTCCAAAAGCTCCAAATTATTTAACTACAGAGCTCCCAATTAAAGTCTATGGGAATTATTGTAGTTAAATTATTTGGAAAGTTTTCTAACAGCATTAAATCATTTGGAAAGCTTATTAAATTGAGGCCTTTATTTGGAAATGGATTAGGCACCGTTTCGGCTCTTTAAGAGGGCCTTTCTCAATCCAGGTTTGATGGTTTGTGAAATGCTCTGTCGAAGATCTAAAACTTTGCCTGCTCTTTTTCCAAATAAAGTCTACTTTGGATAACCCTTGAGTGACCAAGTAAACCCCTTTACTGCACAAGTGAACAATGTGCAACAATTTCTTCAGTCCATTGTGTTCAGTCCATTGTGTTCAGTCCACTGTGCAGTGTGCGAGTGTGGGGACAGTTTATAGATTGCTGAGTGCTGCGTAGTGTGTCTTAAAGTCAAACACTATAGCATTAAAGTAGTAAGTCCACCAAGCAGCGACCCATTTTTCAACACAAACATCTTTTTTTGCTGAATGAATGTGTTTGTTTACTCAATACACATTAAATAAAAATAAATACATGTAATAATAAACACCATCATCAATGTTGTGTCCTAATCCCATTAAGAAATTGAGGAAGGGTAGAGAAAGGGATCGAATTCCCCAATCCACCATCAGCTATAGTGCCATAGATTCTGGGGACGCAACAGCTCTCACTGCCACAATGATAAAACACCTGAATCTTCAGCAGCCATAAGGCTAATGTATTCAACCAAAGCATCACTTTGAGTGCCTCCACGAAGAGTTATTTACAAAGTGCAAATTGTATGGCAAAGACGTGCGTAGGCGGATAGGCCACTTCACTTGTGTCAGTATGAATCAATACATGCAAAGATTCCACAGGTCCGTATTACTGAGGGAATAAACAAAATAAAGACAGTACTAGATCAGGCAAGAAATCCCCTAGTACTGTATTGGATTCTGCACAACACCTACCACCAGCAGTATGTCGTCCACTTCTTCCACTCTTAGCCAGAGCAGAAGAGATATTGAGCATAGTAATACTAGACAACTGGGACAGGCAAACTCCCAGTCCTCATCATCCCAGGGACGTGTCTACGAACCCATTCTTGAACATTTTGTTGGATTTAAATCCAGGGCTAACAAAATCACGTGATTGGCCAGCTGATCACTGTAGGTGGAGCTTCTTTTTCCATGAAAGAAATTGATTCCTTTAAGCAGGCGATACAGACTCTTGCTCCACAATAGGTTATTCCCTCATGATTCCCATCACTATGCTGTTCATGTGCAGTAGCATTGAAGGAGCAACTGGCTATGACTGTATGTCAATCAGTGTACTTCATCAAAGAGTGCTCCTAGCAGCCAGCATGCCTTCCCTTTTTATGATGGCACACTGATGGCAGTGGTGTGGTGGTGGTAGTAATGGAGGAGGTCCAACCTTATCAGCTAGTAAGGCTGAGAGTGAATCTGAAGGGCAGCAGAGTTAGCATTCTCTCCTGCTACATGTTGATGTGGTGGATGACAAGCACACAAGTAGTCAGTCAGACAAACGGTAGCAAATTGGTTGGAAAAGAAGACACCAATCTGCGTTTTGGGTTCCTGGTCACTGACAAAGCTAACATTGTCATAGATCTGCAAGATGGTTCCTTTGTTGGAATGAAGGGTGAAAATCCCAAAGACAACACCAAGGGGCAAACCATACTTGATTGTTACAGAAGGATTGCTGGACATTTTCACCATAGTGTGAAAAGTTTCTTTCCCCACTATTTATGCTTTTTCAGTTCTAGTATCATGGAGCTTGAAGGGCACAGAGGTGTTGAGTTATTTTTAAAATTGTTTGTAATATAAATTTGGTTGATATGGAGTGGATTTTGTCTTGAGAAAGGACAGAGTCAAGTGGAATCATTGACACACCTGCGTTATAATAGGTGGGTTAATAAACACACTAATACTTTTTTTGCAAGCAAAGGTCTGTGAGTGCCAATGTTTCTGCAATTTAAAGCTTATTTCCAGTTGTCGAACACAGTGTCCTTTTTTTCACAACAGTAGTGGAAAGGGCCTATATATGTTCACTCTCTTGTGACAACAAAATGTTGGATCTTAATTTTGTAAATAAAAATTTTAATCAGGGAACTGGAAATGTGTCCATTACTCTCCAATGTAGCTCACTTTTTCACTCCAATATCACCCTTTCTTTACAGGATGGAAACGTTGGGATTCCAAACATAAAAAAAAGGCAAGAGAAGAAGAAAAAGCACCTTTTAATTCTTATTCCACAAGCCCTACTACGCATGTTGAGGAGGATTATGAGCCATCATCATGAGTACATGGTTTAGTTCTGAATTTTCTTACATTCCAAACCATGGGTTTTTCCGTTTTGCAATGCAAATGATGGGTTCTTAATCTGATACAACTATTTACTAATAATAGAAATGAGGAACAATTAACTAACTGCAATGGAAGGTATATGTGAATAAGTTAATTCTTGTATAAATAAATGATTACACTAAAACAACAATATAGAATATGCAGTGGCAAGATTAGCCATCACTTATCTATGGTGGCCTTGCATAAATGAATAATGACTGTAACATGCACATTTATTTTTTTTTTTTAAATTACCATGTCTTTAAAAGGAACACTATTGTCAAAAAGGTTTTCATATTGGGGGCGAGGCCTGGCTGTCATGGTGGAGAGATGCACTCGGATAGAGCTCCTCCAATATTCTCACAAAAACTGCTGTTTAATCTATCTCTCTGACTTGAAACAACAAAACTCCAAGAGGGGGTTAACTTCCTAACCTACCAGAAAAGCAAAACAGCGACTAGTGACTTACCGGGAGCTTGACCACCCCACCGTGACTGATGCGGCCTGGCGTGCACCGGGCAGGGGAGGCGGCCAATCCCCTTACATGGAAGTACTCTGAGGCAACTATCCTGCTAAAGCCCTGTTACTCCTCCTGGACTGGCAGGGGTGATCCCGGTCCACACCTGAGAGGCTACTGTGGCCCAACAAGACAGAGGTGTGAGGCCACCCAGGAGGGAGAACTCTGCTCCAACTTACCCAACATGGAGGGGACCACGTGTATCTCTAACCTCGGAGTAGCACAGCTTGACTTTGAGACCCGGTTCAATGCCTTATTTGATTACTTCTAGAGGTGAGCTTCTGGAGAGCAGAGCCAGTGACTGTCACCTAAGCGTTGCCTCTCGTGGGTTTCCAGTCCAGCCATGGCAGAGTTTACTGCTGTGCCCTCCGAGAAGGAAAATGGCGCCAAGACAAAGGCGCACGCAAACACGGCAAAGGTGCTCGGGCCGGCGGAACATCAGGGAAGCCAAACACATCTCACCACCTGGGCAGCTCATAGAGAGGTTCTATCCAACTTGAAGTGAAATTAGAAAAATATATACATAAAACTATTTTTTAGAAATAGAAAACAGAAAATTGGCACGTGCATATGTATTTACCCCCTTTGTTATGAAGCCCATAAAAAGCTCTGGTGCAACCAATTACCTTCAGAAGTCACATAATTAGTGTGTGCAATCTAAGTGTCACATGATCTGTCATTACATATACACACCTTTTTTGAAAGGCCCTAGAGGCTGCAACACCTAAGCAAGAGGCACCACTAACCAAACACTGCAATGAAGACCAAGGAACTCTCCAAACAAGTAAGGGACAATGTTGTTGAGAAGTACAAGTCAGTGTTAGGTCATAAAAAAATATCCAAATCTTTGATGATCCTCAGGAGCACCATCAAATCTATCATAACCAAATCATGGGCGTCCGCAGGAATTTTTCCAGGGGGGGGCATAATTGTAATGACATCCATGCTTGGTACCTTTTTGACAGTGTCATGAAAGGGAAGGGGCATAGCCATTATCACATAAAGCCAAGGTGAATAGCGTTTTCACAACTATGGTGTCAGGAATATATGTTTGTATTCCTGACACTATAGTGTTCCTTTAAGCAAATTAAAGGACATTTCTGGTCACCATAACAACTTCACCTAAATGAAAATGCTATGATGCCAGGAAGCCCCTGGTTGCTCGCTTTCCTTTAAGGGGTTAAATCGCTCTCAAATGGTTTAACCCCAAAGGCTTCCTCCAGCTCCAGGTCGCTCAGTGATATTTGGCTTCTGAAACAGTGTCAGGAAGTGCAGATTGACATCAGGCATGGGTGCCGCTGATTGGCTAGAGTGGTCAGTTGACGCTCTAAGCCAATCGCTAGTTCCCGGTTCATAAAATATTTTTACTTTTTAATGAATGGGGAGCTACTGATTGGCTTAGAGTGCCAGCTGACTGCTCTAGCCAATCAGCAACACCCCTACCCAATGGCACTCTGTGCTTCCTGACACTCAGTAAATAAAAGTGAACACATTAACACCAATATTTTTTTACCTTTGGAGATGAGAAGGTCCAGCTTTTCCCTGCCAGGCACTTTACCTTTGTGCTCCTTCTGATTCTTTCTGCTCCTTTACCTTTGTGCTCCTTGCTGTCCCTTTGTGCTCCTTCCTGCTCCTTGCAGGCCCTTCCTGCTCATTCTCCTACTTTATGTTTGTGCTCCTTCTGCCCCTTCCAGCTCATTTCTGACCCTTTCTGCTCCTTCTACTTTACCTTTGTGCTGCTTTACCTTCCAGCTCCTTGCTGACCCTTCCTGTTCATTTCTATATATCTATAGGCTGCTGCCCCCCAAAATCTATAGGCTGCTGCCCCCCTCCCCAAATCTATGAGCTGCTGCGCCCCTCCCTAAATCTATGAGCTGCTGCCCCCCTCCCCAAATCTATGAGCTGCTGCGCCCCTCCCCAAATCTATGAGCTGCTGCGCCCCTCCCCAAATCTATGAGCTGCTGCCCCCTCCCCAAATCTATGGGCTGCTGCCCCAAATCTAAATGCTGCTACCCCAAATCTATGGGCTGCTGCCCCCTCTATGGGCTGCTGCCCCAAATCTAAAGGCTGCTGCCCCCAAATCTATAGGCTGCTGCCCCCTCCCCAAATCTATGGGCTGCTGCCCCCCCCCAAATCTATGGGCTGCTGCCCCCAAATCTAAAGGCTGCTGCTGCCCTCAAATCTATAGGCTGCTGCCCCCCTCAAATCTATGGGCTGCTGCCCCCAAATCTAAGGCTGCTGCCCCCCCCCAAATCTATGGGCTGCTGCCCCCCCTAAATCTATGGGCTGCTGCCCCAAATCTAAAGGCTGCTTCCCCAAATCTATAGGCTGCTGCTCCCCAAATCTATGAAAATCTATGGGCTGCTGCCCCAAACCTAAGGCTGCTGCTGCCCCTCAAATCCCCAAAAAAATCTATGGGCTGCCTTTAAATCTAAAGGCTGCTGCCCCCCCCAAATCTATGGGCTGCTGCCCCCAAATCTATCTGCTGCTGCCCCCTCTCAAACCCTCCCCCCATCCCTCACTTACCTGATCTGTAGGCTGTCTCTGGCTGCATGTGTTGCTCCCCTGCGGTTTCAATCAGCAGAGAGAAGCAGGGATAGATGCAGCTTCCTATCCCTGTCTCTCTCCATACACAGCGCCACCTACTGGCCGGCGCCGGTATTGCAGTTCATTTTAAATCTCACACGAAAATAGCAGAACAAGCTGAAAAATCCAGGGGAAATGCCCCCCCTTGCCCCTCCCTGCGGACGCCCATGAACCAAATGGAAAGAACATAGCACAACAGCAAACCTGCCAAGAGGCGGCCGCCCACCAAAACTCACGGACCGGGCAAGGAGGGCATTAATCAGAGAGACAGCAGAGAGACCTAAGGTAAACCTGGAGGAGCTTCAGAGTTCCCCAGTGGAGACTGGAGTATCTGTACATAGGACGACAATAAGTCGTACGCTCCATACGCTTTATGGCAGAGTGGCCAGAAGAAAGCCATTACTTTCATCAAAAAACAAAATGACACATTTTGAGTTTGTGAAAAGGCATGTGGGAGACTCCCAAAATATATGGAGGAAGGTGCTCTGGTCTGATGAGACTAAAATTTAACTTTTCAGCCATCAAAGAAAACTCTATGTCTGGCGCAAACCCAACACATCACCCAAAGAACACCATCCCCATAGTGAAACATGGTGGTGGCAGCATCACGCTGTGGGGATGTTTTTCAGCAGCCGGGACTGGGAAACTGAGCAGAGTTGAGGAAAAGATGGATGGTGCTAAATACAGGGATATTCTTGAGCAAAACCTGTACCACACTGTGCGTGATTTGAGGCTAGGACGGAGGTTCACCTTCCAGCAGGACAATGACCCCAAACACTCAGCTAAAGCAACAATTGAGTGGTTTAAGGGGAAACATGTAAATGTGTTGGAATGGCCTAGTCAAAGCCCAGACCTTAATCCAATATAAAATCTGTGGTCAGACTTAAAGATTGCTGTTCACAAATGCAAACCATCCAACTTGAAGGAGCTGGAGCAGTTTTGCAAGGAGGAATGGGCAAAAATCCCAGTGGTAAGATGTACCAAGCTCATAGAGACTTATCCAAAGCGACTTGGAGCTGTGATTGCTGCAAAAGGTGACTCTACAAAGTATTGACTTTACGGGTGAATGGGTATGCACATTGACTTTTCCTGTTATTTTGTCCTATTTGTTGTTTGCTTCACAATAATAAAAAAAAAATTCTTCAAAGTTGTGGGCATGTTCTGTAAATTAAAGGGACACTATAGTCACCTGAACAACTTTAGCTTAGTGAAGCAGTTTTGGTGTATAGAACTCACTGCTCAATCCTCTGCCATTTAGGAGTTAAATCCCTTTGTTTATGAACCCTAGTCACACCTCCCTGCATGTGACTTACACAGCCTTCCATAAGCACTTCCTGTAAAGAGAGCCCTATTTAGGCTTTCTTTATCGCAAGTTCTGTTAAGATTTTCTTATCCCCTGCTATGTTAATAGCTTGCTAGACCCTGCAAGAGCCTCCTGTATGTGATTAAAGTTCAATTTAGAGATTGAGATACAATTATTTAATGTAAATTACATCTGTTTGAAAGTGAAACCAGTTTTTTTTTCATGCAGGCTCTGTCAATCATAGCCAGGGGAGGTGTGGCTAGGGCTGCAGAAACAGAAACAAAGTGATTTAACTCCTAATTGGCAGAGAATTGAGCAGTGAAATTGCAGGGGAATGATCTATACACTAAAACTGCTTTATTTAGCTAAAGTAATTTAGGTGACTATAGTGTTCCTTTAAATGATGCAAATCCTCAAACAATCCATGTTAATTCCATGTTATGTGGCAACAAAACACGAAAAATGCCAAGGGGGTGAATACTTTTGCAAGGCATTGTATTTATTCATTAAACTTATTAAAAATTAACCTTCTTATATCTTTTTGGTTTAGGGCCTCTTAACAACTAAAATTCACACCAGGTTATATGACCACAAGAGAAGCTTAACTCTACACCTGAATGTATTTGTTAACTTACTTCAAAGCGCCTTTGTTAACTTAGAATAGAATGATAGAAACTTTATGACATGCTCTCATTAACTGTGTTAAAATTTTATTGAAATCGCAACATAGTCAATAGATACTACTTTGTCTTATGGCAAAACTTGAGATTGCCAAAACTTGTCAAACGTTGGATATTCCGCAGTAAAATGTTGTCAGTTTCCTAACCCCTTACTAGGGATGGCTGTGGGAATCAGGATGTTAATGAAAGATTGTAAGCCTTAGTCTGTGGAGGCTTGTGGGATAGTCCATAGACATCAGTGTTGTGGACTAACACATGAACAATAGTGATGTCGCGAACGGTTCGCCGTGGACTCATCATTGAGTAAACTTTGACCCTGTACCTCACAGTCAGCAGACGCATTCCAGCCAATCAGCAGCAGACCCTTCCTCCCAGACCCACCCACCTCCTGGACAGCTCACTTAGAATGCAGCTTCACAATGGATGCTGTCCAGGAGGTGGGAGGGTCTGGGAGGGAGGGTCTGCTGCTGATTGGCTGGAATGTGTCTGCTGACTGTGAGGTACAGGGTCAAAGTTTACTCAATGATGAGTCCACGGCGAACTATTCGTGGCGAACAGTTCGGGACATCACTAATGAACACCACTGACGTGGCTCCAGGCTGATGAAGTACCATGAGCTGAAGACAGAAGATGGCGGCACCACCACAGGGGAACAGCTAGGCCTCCATGCCACAAGCAGGGATGTCACCTTTTTCCATAATATGCAAAGACCCTCAAAGTAAAGAGCCTGTTTAATATAACACATTAATAATTCAGCAAATTACGGTCTTAGATGTTTATACTACATTGTTATAGACCTTTGGGTATAAATTAGTTAATTTGGTTATAAACGGATATTCATTCTATTTAAGCTGAACAATTTCACACACTTGTACTTATGATGTATATAAACATTTACAATTAGTTTAGTGAATACACGATTGATTGGTTGATTGATTACAGCAAGGGTTGACTCTTTCGTTAACAATCCAGTTAGTTGAGAAAACAACT